CAGACGTCATGTTTCCATGCAGAAAACCAAAGCCGACTCTAGTGGAGGCAAAACAAAAACAAACATCTCGTCCTTGCCAACAGATTCTGCATCAATAAGCAGGTATCTGTTTAAACAGACTATGTGTCATAAAGGTCTACACCTGATCTTGGTTGCCCTGGAAACCGTCTGAATCACTTGTTGCGTGTAGTTTATCGGGGCTGAAATCAGCGGGACGTAAGGAAATCTGCATCCCTCATCACAGGCCAGGTGATGCAGGATGCCAAGGTCGTGGAGGAGGTATCGGCGATTACCTGCGTGTCCAGCAGCAAGGCGGCGTGTCGGAGTCTCTACCCCTCTAAATATGACTAATTGCCCCCGCTGTTCTGCTTCTTATGATACAGGTTAGAACTCATTACCGGGATGTTCTGGCTCACTGAGCTCTGCTGCTGCTGCTCCGGCTCTCAGGCGGATGAAAAGGGAAACAAACAAGCACCTGGCCTCACACACACACACACACACACACACACACACACACACACACACACACACATTTTGATGGTTTTACACCCACTCATAATTGGTCGGTTTTATCTCTTAAAGTGCATTACTGCTTTTGTCCCTTGGAGCTCCAGTAAGGAACGATTCCAGTAAGTTTTTAGTAATGGGTAAATGACCTCCAGGGATTTCTGATACCTCTGCCATGTCCACTCTGCCGGCCGCGGCAGCATTATCTGCAGTAAAAAAAAAAAAAAAAAAAACCTTTCTCATTGATTTGTATCAGTCTGAGCGTGGGTGAGGGAGGTACGCTACAAGACGGTTTGACACAAAATCCTTTCAGTGTGCCAGCGTCGTCAGTTACTGCTGTCAGCCAAGCAAAACAAAAACAGGTTATAGAGCAAAACAACACCTCAGCTGGAAAGAGCTGTTCAGGAAAATGAACACCAATAACAAAAAGTCAAACAGAATAAAAAAACAAGTTACAGGGTAGCCTAGCGGTTATGTTGCGCACCCCATGAATGGAGGTTATAGTCCTCATCGCAGTGGCCTTGGGTTCAAATCTGACCTCGGCCCTTTGCTGCATGTCATCCCCCCCGCTCTCTCCTCCCAACACTTCCTGCCTCTCTTCAACCAATAAAGGAAAAAAGGCCCGAAAATATCACTAAAAAAAAAAGTTACAAGTTCCCTGTGACCTTTCCACAATCATTAATTTCATCTTTACATTCATTTTAGTCATGCATTGATAAGAGGCAGGATTTAATTTTTATGTCTTTTTATTTATTACTTTATTTTACAAAAGACTGCAACTTCTGATTGTTTCCCATGGACTAATCTCTAGATGATTTTCTCTGTTAATTGATTGACTGTTTGGTTTGAAGAAATTCCACACAACACATACAAGATGCCTGTTTAAAGGACAAGTATCGACCGATACAGATTTTCAACCAATACATCCGTACGCCTCCAACTTTGAGTGAGTCTGATATAAAGCTTCCTGTAAATGGACAATAAGAAACAAATATGTTGAATTCAATCAGCCCTAAAGTTGGGAATAGTTTGCTGCTACAACTTGGTGTTGGACAGATATATTCAAAACTCTCACCTGTCATCATGAAGACAGTCAGGTCCGAGCTTTAATTCTGTATAAGCCCCGCTTCCACCAAGCGCTCGGGTTCAGCGTTTCCACCGTCAAACATTGGGAATGGTACCAAAATAACTGATTCATACCGTCCTACTTTTTTGGTATTCTTCTGTTGGGCTGTCAAGCGTGCCGATCCGACCCTAAAGGTTGGCACTAGACACACTGCAGTCTTTGATTGGTTGAAAGAATCTTCACTTCCTGTGCTACAGCGGTAATAAAGAACAAACACAAAACGAACCATATCCATGGATTTGGAGAGAGTCATTTCACGGGTGTTTTTGTTTTTTTGCCTCGGAGATGCAGACCTTCCTAGGAATCATTGATCGTTGTTTACTGTGTCACATTCTTCTTCTTTGTTGAATTTATGAAAGGTACAGTTGGATGTGGAAACGCAAGCAAGATCGGGGTTTACTGTACCAAACTGTGCTCAACCAAACCAGACCGCTTGGTGGAAAAGGGGCTTATTTAGCAAGTGTAAGCCTGATTGTGTTGTTTCTATTTAATTGATCAAGATTTCATTTTTAAAAATCCTCTAATTTGAGCATTCTTTGTTTCTGTTTTTCTGCAGAGCACTCGGGTGAACAATTTTTTAAATGCACTCTAATCTAACTCGACTTGACATGACTTTGTCCGTCCAGCTTCTTAAACCTTTAATTCTCAGAGGAAGTCTCGAGGACATAACCTCAATGTCCTTAACTTTTCTTAAGCTTTGGTGCTGGAGTATGAAAAAACCAAAAAAACAAAACAATACTTCCCCTTTGAGATGCAGCGGAGTAGAAGTAGAAAGGTGCATTAAATAGAAATACTCAGAACGTAGAGTCAGCATGGCAATTATTTACATTCCTCCACTTTGAGGCGGTGACACATCAACCTGTTCTGTGTGTTGACGTCTCCTCTTTGTAGTGAAACACTTTAATGATTCTGTTTTAAGGTTATGCAACAATTATAGAGGGTTAAACAACACTTGATCTAAATTGCCTAGGGTGCAGTGTTGACACATGACATTGACTTTCAGTTAAGGGCTCAGGGTGGGGCTGACAAATAAAAGGATCTAGACAAAGACTAAACAACACCTATTGAGAGCTGCAGCTACACCTCTCTGACTTTTTACAATTTAACTCGGATTCCTTCCTGCAGAAGAAGAAAGGTTGAAAGCTGCCTCAGCTCCACAGTACAGAGAAAAGGATCGAGTTGCACTTCTTTGCTGCATGATAAGAGAGCGTGTTTTCAAACTACGGCAGCCAAAATGGGTCATGTACTTTCCTGACAATTACTCAGCAACCGTCAGGTCCCGACTGAGAGATTAACAAACTTTACCATCGAGCCTCTTGGGGAATAACAGACACGCTGATAACGAATAAATCACATAAACCGAAGCACATTCATCTAAAGTATTCTTCCATTTGCATACTATCTGATGCAGCTTTCAGGATTTACAAAGATTAATCGCTATGTGCTACATTCATCAAGTGCGATGTGTCACCATGTTTGAATGCTGCAGAATCCGAGGGCCCTAAATACAACTTGGACTCTGCTCTGACTTCCAGGATTAAAGAAAAGCTTTCCCCAAAGCTTGACACCAAACAACATTTAGTGTGATGACGTTTAACCTATAATTTGCAAAGTCTCTATGATCCGTTTCTACAGTCAGAACAGGTAAACTAACTTTCCCATGGCAGGAGTTTTGCTGGGGGGTCCTTGGTCTCATCTAAGAGGGGACTCTCCTCTCTGTCGCCACAAAAACCTCTGTTTCCAAAGTCCTCCTTGTGCCCCTAAAGACGTTCTGCATTATGAAAGAAACAACAACACAACTATGGGGATAATTTCCAGTAGTTGATACACTCTCTAAGAAACAACCTCAATTCAATCCACTGTGTCAAAATACAGTTTTTTTTGTCCTCCATGTATGCAAGCAGTCAGAAATAACACATTTATATGCATATCTATGAAGGACAAACATGGATAAAAACATACAGTTTGTTATCTTTAGCAACCAGTCAAACTTTGAATTAACAGTATTAATTGGAGTTCCCCAGGGCTCAATCCTTGGGCCTCTTTTTTTGCAGATTTACCTTGTTTTCTTTTGCAGATAAGTGAATACAGCAGTGATTAAGTCTATAACCCACTGATGAGTGCACTTGCAGCAAACTTTGGTATTACAAACAAGGCTGCATTGCGGGGAAAATTCACTAAGGGAATCCATCGATCAACCACCAGCAATTGGTCCACCCGACTACTTTTTGCTGTACTGCAAGAAAACAAATACTAAACTACAAATAAAAGATATGTAACTACAAAAAACAAGAGCTAATAAAGAAAAATGAATAAAAACCATCTTCTTAAAGTTATTTCTTTTGGCATAGCCATCCCCAAAGGCTCATATTCGCCTTGTTGACACTTGGTAAATACACACACTGCTGAAATCACCTCTTATTTTCCCAGTGACGTCCTCAGTTTCAGCGCTTATTACGCTCCCAATCACCAAAAACTCAAAGCAAAGCGAGAAATCTTGATGTTTCCATGAACTAAAAGCCAAACCTTAACTGCCTGAATACGATCATCCAGAAGAAAATGGTTGATGTTCACTTGTATTAGAGTGTGAAAGCCAAGGAGAAGATCGATATCAAACCATTGTCTGTAGCCTAAGCTAGCTCTTTCCCTCTTTTTTTTTTAGTCTTAATGCTAAGCTATGCTAACCAACTCCTGGCTATAGACTTAAATAATGTAGAGTGGTATCTATCTCCTTCTCTGAAGCTCTCCAAAATAAAGAATAAGGACATAACTTTCAAAACGTGGCAAGAATCTGGGTGTTCACCTCTAGAAATGACTTTAAAGACCTTCTCCATGATTTCATTTCCAGGTTTAGAGAAACTGTCACAGAAGGGATGCCATGTTTAAATACTCCATCCATGTTTTATCCTCTTTTTGAGACTGTACTTACAGTAAAAAAAAAAAAATCTGTGTCCATGTTGGTACATATCCCAGATTAAAAAGAGTGAAACTAACATATGTCACTCCGGGCATGTTGGTGGCCCCCACCATGACTCCCAGCAGGGTGCCCAGAGGCCGCCCTTTGCTGGGCTGTTATTGGACAGTGGACAGCAGCTCTCTTGCTCCTTGGGTACCATGTCCTCTCCCTCATCATCAGTGTGCGGATCGCTCCTCCCTGCTGGGCTCAATCAATCACACAACGGCTCACACTGCAACTGTGACCTACACCGACTGTTAATGCTTTGTGCAAATCAAACCAGCTGAGCAGCCAAAGCCCATCGACTGGATGACTGAATGCTGAATGCTGGCAAAGCGACAGATGACATGCCAAATAAAATAAAAAAAACCTCCAGCTCTGACGTTTCAGATATAAAAGGTGTCTTCTTACCTGCCCACTGTTTGGTTGGCGAGCTGTCTCATTCGGTTGAACTGCTTCTTCATCTTGTGTTTTTCTGCGTTACCACCGGGCGGTACAGCCACTCCACATTATCTCATTGATAGAATAAAGTCAGATCTCCTGCGCTGATCTACGGCAGACGAGGAGGTTCAGTCTTTAAACATCCAGTTTCGGGGGTGGTGGGTTAAGGGGGTGGTGGGGGGGGACGCATTCGGTTAAATCCTCCTCATTTCGGTCTAATGAAGACGGTGTGTCCCTGTCATCCAGTCCGCTCCACTGCTCCAGAGATGCTGGACCGATTGCTCTCTCTCTGCTCTCTCCCCCAACACTGACAGCTCGCTCGCGACACGACGTTCCATCCCGGTGCATCATGGGAAATGTAGTTTACGTTGATACATCCATTGAGTTAAATAGGATGATTTAAGCCTTAATTTAAGTGTTTTCTTGTTTTTTTTTTACTTTTTATTATCAAATTAATTTGAACACTGATTTATATTACCTACTTGTTGAATAGTGGGCTGTTTTACAATAGGCTTAAAGGGGCCTGCATTGGCAGGGGCGGATCCAGGAGGTGGGCAACACTTGAAATCCTATTGGACACAGCAGGAGCTGCCCAAAGATCCTAACCTATGATTGGCTAATTGACTATTTGTATTGTCAGAGGCGTGAAAAATGTCAAAAAAAATCAACTATTTGGGCTGTGTTGCAACAAGCTGATTTGTACATTTCACTTTTTTTTTTTTTAAATCCTTAAAGCTTAAAGATGTTCATGTTTCCGTTGTGTTGTGATCCCATTTAAAGTTAAAGAAAAGATTCACACAGCACTATAACACTTGATATACTTTAATATTAGGTTAGATACGATTAATGGTGATAGGAAGGGTTCTATTCCTGTGTCTGTCTGTGTTGAGACTTTTATATCCTGGATAGTTTTGTAGACATGGAATATAAAATCCCTAAATAGGAGCAGTTAGATATGATTTCAGCTTAAAATGCTCTATTTCTAATTAACAAACAAAGGAAGTTCAAGGTTAAAGATAATATATTTGTGTAGTGTAGTGTGTTAGTGTATGTGTCAGCAGTATCAACTGGCTGGCTGAATAATTTGACTGTTTTTTGCAGGTTGATTATCTGAAGTGTTGCAGCTGGGCTTGAAATGTCAGACATAGACATAGGACTAAGAAAAGCATGCAAAAAGGAAATATCAGACTTTCATATTTTAAAGAAATTGTTAATTATCTACACATTCTCTATAATGTCAATGTGGCTGACTGTCTTAATTAAAGAACAGTTTAACTCCATCTTAATGTCTCCCTCTCTGATGTCTAACAGCAGCCTGATTTGATTGTTTTACAGTTTATGAATTGGATGTGATGTCAGCTTCGACGCAGCTGTTTGTGCAGGCAAACAGCGTCCTCTTGTGGCTGTTAGAATCAAGTAGGAAACTCCTCTGTGGCGCTCAGGTGTGTTTATCCTGCAGGAACTGTTTGAACCTGTGACAGCTGTGGTCCACATGCAGCATCACAAATATACTACGTGTACAGTTTATACGTATGACTAAGAAAACTAACGCAGACTTGAACAGATCTGCAATAAATCCTCTCTTTATGAAAGTTATAGCCTGATTGTTTTTATTTGAAACACGGTGTAACCAGTTTTTGCACAATTTGTTTTTGAGGTAATATAAAGCCAGGTTCAACACAATCTACCATCCAAGCTTTTTATTGAAATGTATTTATGTTCACACGTTGGATTTGAAAATTACATTTTTCCTGAAGTGAGAATATTTTTACAAGATAAAACTGAAGAAGTTAATATTTATAATGTGATATAGAATAAGAAATGAAACTGCAAGAAAATAAAATATTCTTGTCTCGGCCCTTTCTTCAGACTTCTTTGACGTTCACGTTTTGAACAGCTCCAGGCAGAGATAGCCCTCACACAACAATAAATTCTAAACAACAATAAAAACAGTGACTTAACGCACAATGGGGCTTTTTCTAAATTTAATAATATTGCAATAAATAAAACCTTGAGTAAGTTGTTCAATAAGAATAATTTGATTAAAAAGAAAAGGTTCACAATAACATAAAAACAAAAGGAAATGTCACATAAAGGAAATCTAACCCTAGACTAATATTAGATTATACAGTGACTATCTGTATCGGCTAATTTCATCTCAGATATGCAGATATAACAAGATTTATTCACCAGTCGTAAAGCATTTCACTTGAATTTCATTGTGTTACACTAGCAGTTCTCTGTCTGTCTGTCACCAGCAGAGGGCGCTATATGTATTACAACCATAGACTGTAGGATTCACCAGGTCTTCATTAAATATCTTTTCCACATGTGTTTGATATCTGTATTTGAGGGATATTTATCTATTTATCGCTTAAGATCGAACATAGATCTAAGAAAGATATCAGCCAATATATTGGAATCAGATATTTTTCCTCTCCAATATCTGTATCGGCCCCAAAAATCTAATATCGGTTGGGTCATATTAATAGCCCAGGCTTTTATTTACTTCACTCTATGAAATGACCCATCCTTTATTTGGAACAGGTGTCTTTGGGAGAGGGGCCTTTCATTATTTTCATACCAAACTTGTGCACAGCAAAGATGGGAAAGACTATAAATTGTTTACACCAGTAAGAATATTTAACAGAACAAAGTCAGGATATCGATAAACAAAAAGTTAAAGTTAAAAATCACTCATTTTTACAGTAATACATATTTTATGAACAAAGGCGTATGATTGAAAACTGGGATAAAACTTTTAAGGTTAGAGAAATATAAGGAAAACTAAAATTAAACAAGTGTACATATAATTTTCCAAACCAGAATTAAATAATTAAAAGATTAAAGGAAGACATCTGGATACAGATTTAGAACAAACATGAAATTAAATCATGTGAAAATAAGCAAAAATTAAAAACAAGCTGAAACACATGAAAATATAAAGCAAACCGGTGATAAATTGTTACCATGACAACGAATAAAACCATCAGAGTACGAGGCGTTTACAATGTACGGCGTGTCAAAACTCCCCACTGTGCAGTTGCTCTCTGTCGCCGAATGGGGGCGCCTCTGAGTCAACCTTAAATATCTCGAATTCACCCAGAAGAAGAAGAAAAGGAGTTTACCCCTTACCGTTGAATGACAGTAGAGCAAAGTTTACAGTTTGTACAGTTTCGTCTCTGAGCCTCGGAGCAACTCACCGAACTCCGGGACTGTAGCCGCAGCCGTTTCTGACACCTGGACTGACTGCGTCGCCCTGTAACGATGCGGGACCGGACGAAAGAATTAGGAAATGTGAGTTTTGAGTGAACCGCTAACCGTTAGCAGTTGCGTGCTAACCTGCTAAGTTAGCCAACTCCTGTGTGAGTTCGTGAACACCTGCCGACTCCTTCCACTCGAGACGACCTCCACTAAGAAACTAGACTAGTGAAAAGGGTAATAATCGCGGCGTTTTAAAGGGTTTGCAGAGCTGAACGCGAACTTTCTTTTTCCAACTTCCGTTCCAGCCCTTTCGCCGTAAAGGAAACGTGAGGCCGGTGTTACGTCGAGAAATGTATCCCTTCCAATAAGTGCATGCACCTCGCGGAAAGTGTTAGAAAACGGGATAAACCTCATTTCTGACGGCAGATATGTGATTACGAAGCATTTAAAGTTTATAATTAATACAGTTAAGTGTCCTTATTGTGTTGTAGACTCTGTAGAAGACTCATTTTTATTAAGCTGAGTAAACACGACCTGCAAACAGTGATTTACTCTGAAGTAGGGCTGGGCGATATGACCTCAAATCAATGTGACGATTAGTCAATGATTATTTGTTTTTTGCCCTCAGAGTTCACTGACATGGTCTTTTTTATTTATTTTTTATTTATTGCACAAAAAACATAAACATAATAGATCAATGGAAAAACAGACAGTACATAATGATTAGTTAATTAACAAACTTTACATTTTGAAAGAGATGTAAGGGGCTTGTAGAGTGCAGCCCTCCTAAAGAGAAACATGTAACACAGACAAAAACAATAAAGCTGACTATTATTATTATTTAGCATCTATATATATATACATTGTACATTCTATATATTTTATTATATTAGTCTATATTTTATAACATTTCATTATATGACACTATATTGTTCATATTGCACTATATTATATTATATAACTGCACTCTGCATCACTGTGGTACAACACTGCCGCTCTTCTCTGCTGTTTACATGACTTGCTGCTCTTTTATCATACCATCATCACTTTAAAGATAAAGATAAACTTTATTGATCCCCCGTGGGGGAAATTTGTGTTTTAATCATCACTTGTAACGTTATCTTTTCATTCTCTGCACATACTGTCTCAATTCCCCCCAGTTAACTTCATCATTCATTTTGTATTTGTATATACCCTCTGTTTTTATTTTTATTTATCTTATCTATTCTGTTTAATGTGTATTTTGAGCTTTCTTGTCTGTGCTGCTGCAACGCCTGAATGTCCCCTCTGGGGATCAATAAAGTATTATCCTATCCTATCTTACCTTATCTTAACTATTTTGTGGTTATTTATTGAATATTTTGAACTGAAATCAAAGCGTTGCTTCAAATGAAAATGACACATTTTAGTTTTAAAGTAGAAATGAACTTCTCTAAAACAGTAGAAAATAAATAACTTGCATTTCTTGCGATTATTTTTTCTCCAGTGTTTACATTTGACTTTTTTTTGTTCAGTTTCGTCTTCCCTAAAGACAAATGTGTGACACAAACGACGGGCAGGCTTCCATGTCAGGGATTGGTTGTGTTGTCACATGACTCTGCCCTCGACATGGGCAAGATTACGTCGGTTAGAGGTTCAGAATGTCAGTTTCGAGTTGAGGCTGGACGCAGAATTCAGCAGTGTACTAATTATGTCTTATTTGACATTTTCCGACGAGGTGAGCGCAATTCTCTGCATAACACCGGGGAAAGGGCGATGCAGTTCAGCCGGGATCACGTTTGTTATTCTCCAGATGGAAATATCATCAAACCTGATTTTAAAAGAACTCTCTTGTCTGTTTTCTGTGTGTGTTTTTGTTTTTGTCGTCCTGGCTGCAGAATCCGGACGCTTCAGAGGACGACGATGAGGGCCAAGCTCTGATGATCAAACCTGGAACCTCTTCAGCCAAAGAGGAGAAGGAAAATGAAGCGTTCCTTAAAAAAGTAAAATGAAACATGAATTACACCCTTATTATTACCTTAAATAAAATACGCTGTAGGCCTATTTCTACGCACATTTCGACAACTTTATACCAACAACCTGTTTGGAAATATTTAGTCTCCAGTATATTAGAGAGAGAGAGAGAGAGAGAGAGAGAGAGAGAGAGAGAGAGAGAGAGAGAGAGAGAGGAGAGAGAGAGAGAGAGAGAGAGAGAGAGAGAGAGAGAGAGAGAGAGAGAGAGAGAGAGAGAGAGAGAGAGAGAGAGAGAGAGAGAGAGAGAGAGAGAGAGAGAGAGAGAGAGAGAGAGACTTCTCCTGGCTCTGTTTTAAAAATGTTAATGTACAGCTGCTTGCTGCGGATTGTGTGCTGAACTCCAATAAATAACAGAATATCTGTTACTTTTCAAAACGTGAGGCGCACTCCTGTTGTTGTTTATGTCTGTGCGCGAGCATAAATTGAGCAGATTAAAGTTTTTTGTTGCAAAAACTAGATTAATTTAGAGGGGAAAAGACATTTGATATGAACACAAACCAATAGATATAAGACAGAGAAGAGTACGACAAACAAAAAAAAAGTTTTATGCTGAACAGGTTTTTTTTTTGTATTGTGGAGATTTCTTTGCGTAGCACCACAGGGAGTCCACGTACCACCGGTGGTATGCGTACCATAGTTTGAGAACCACTGCCTTAAATGATATCCACTCCTGTTTCAATACCAAGGCAACACAAATAGAAATCCTTGGCACACTATGTTGGATCTTTTCTTGATTTTAATGTTCAAACATCAGGAAACTTTTGCAAACTGTTGCATTTTTTGTGCAATGTAGACAGTGAGCAGTCTGTATTTTTGATGGACTCCTTCCTCTCCTACACACGTGTCTCATCTTAAACTAGATACGCAGAGTATGTTTCTACTCTTTTTTTAAATAAGCAACCTGTACATGGTGCTGCAAGAGACAAAAACAGAACTTTTGCATATTTTTTTAAGACTCAAAAGGAAATGAGAGATGAAATGAGATGATGGTGAACCACCGCTGCTTTTCGCTTTCTGTTCGGTTCAGAATATGACTGAAGATCTGGAAGGGTTTTATGTGAAGCTTTGGTACTTTTAAAAACACGCATCATTACAATACCAGAGTTTGTATCATTTTAAAACACGTGATAATGCTAAAGTATCAGAAATGTTGAACACCTTGTAGCAGACAACTCTTACATGTTAGGAAATGTGGTTTTGAATGCTCAGGATCATTTGTTTACATTGTGCAAACTGAGAAAAGGACTCTGGACTTTTGTTTTGGCAACATCTCAGTCCTTGCACTGGTCTGACCCCTGACCCCTGACCCCTGACCCTGACCCAGTGTTTGGCCTATGTTGATTTTTGAAATCGTAGCAGGTGCATTAACCAATTGAAACATTGTAAATGACATATTGTTGGGCTGCAGAAAAACACTCGTATACACACTACAGACTTTAAAAAAAGAATTTTCACTGCGCCACCAGCACTCCGATCACCCCCATTGTTTGAAAGGATTTCTTTTCTATTTGTGACCTTTAAGCTTATCGACAAATTAATATGACCGCTAATTGTGGCTCCAACCAAAAACTCCAACTTCTTCTTTTTATTAGATGCAAGAAATTCACGAGGGGCTGAACAACCTCAAAGGGATCGTGTCTGAACTCGAGAATAAGCAGAAAAAGGTGCTGGGTGTGCCGCTGCCGGAAGAGAGTAAGTGACTTCAAACAACATCACAAAATAACAAACCACATCTGACACCAGAAACTGGAAAAAAACAACAACAGATGATTAAAGAGGAAAGATGAAGTTAACTGCTGTAGAGAGATTCTCACATCGCCTTAACGAGAGGTTTTTATGTTGATTTCTTTTTTTGCTTTAGGCATGAAGAAAGAGCTCCAAACTCTTCGGGACGAGTTCAAAACGTTGGCGACTCAGATCCAGAAAAAACTGAAGAGTGAGTTATGCTGAGCTTGGAGTCAACGTTGTGTTTACTTTGTTGTTTTGTTGACGAGAATCCCCCTCATTAACGCTCTGTCCACAGGTATTGAACCGAAGAAGGGAGAAGATGACGGAAAATATATCTCCATAAATGTTCGCATGCAGCGGACCCAGGTGAGCTGCAGAACAGAAACACGGGTAGACTCTCACTTTTTGAAAATGGAGGGATGTGTTTGTTCAGCATTGTGAGCTTAACTTTCCCGTCTGTGCAGCACGGCGTCTTGACAAAGGAGTTGGTGGAGCTGATGGGTCGCTGTAACACCATCCAGTCTCAGTACAGAGACCGCAACGTGGAGAGGATACAGAGGCAGCTGAAAATCAGTGAGTACACCACGTAGCACTGATTCCTTCCTGTGTGTGATTCTGTGAAGTCCCCCGCCTGCTCGGCTCACTGCCCTCTCTCTCTCTCTCTCTCTCTGTCTCTCTGTCTCTCTCTCTCTCTCTCTCTCTCGCTGGACTGGAGCTTGAGTCATCATGACTTTCAGTTTGTCTCATGATGTTTGTCACATGTCACGTTTCCTCTCTGCGTCTGTCACTTTCTGTCGCTTCACTTTCAGACCTCTTCTGTCTCGTTCAGGGAGAGTTAGCAGCACATAACACCCATCCTGTTTTCCTGTATTATTCTTACTTATGTGTTTTTACACCAGCCTCTGTTTATGCATGATCACCATATTAGTTGCACAAAAACATTGGCACCTTTTTTCAGGACTGAAACGCACAGATTTAAAAAAAAAAAAGCGTCATGTCGATTATTAGAGAGAATTTAAAATGTGTTATAAGAAGCTGTTAAAACTCTGAGACAGCATAATAAGACTTTTATATGATCCATCCATCTATCCATTATTAACTCCGCTTTTCCCTTTTCGGGGTCGTAAGAACAACAATTCCCATGATCCTTTGCGACTTCATTATGTCATTGAACTCTGCTTTTATTTTGTGTGCAAAAGTACAGTAACTAAGCTCAGCCGTCATCACGTCTTTGTACTTTCATAAAACTCCCATCATGGCGTCCCAGCCTTTGATTTTACGTTGCATTTCGATGTTGTGGAAGCACGGCCTAGCGGGAGCTCCACACACACACACAGTCAGACATGCACGCACACACAGCACTGCGCTCACTTTGACAAAGGGATCACTTTGCCCCCCCCACTACGCGTCTGAGATATTCAGATTGATTTTGATTTGATATGACTTTATTTTCAGACATGCTCTGAAATGTGTCTTGCATCACAGCGGCTCCATTTGCAACATAAACGCTAAAGACGAGATGCAAACATTCAGACGCCTCCAACACGCTTCGGCTCCACATTTAATTTGAGGATTGACGGGTGAGCAAAGGAGTGTTTCAGTCTGACCTTATTAAAACGAGGGAACCTGTATCTCTGGTTTGATGTCACTACACAACATCACCGGGGTGCAAATGTCGCAGTTTGAACCTGTCTGAACGGGGCTGCTGTTTGCGTTGACAGACCTCTAGTGGCAGAAATGAGTAATTACAGATCGACTTGCCGTCATAGTTCTCGTTCAAGATTAAAAAATGTTTGGTTTTTGGGGTCTTGGTAGAAGGAAAAATAAAATTGAGTGAGTCACCTTTTCCTTTAGGATGTTAGGACAGGTGCTTTCTCTTGATTTATGGACAAACAACAAAAAGAGGACAGGTTGGATTAACTGGGAGGAAAACTGAAACTTAACTTGGATACATATTAACAAAAGTTTCCAGAAGCGTGAGGAGGAAACAGGACTTCTTTCTTTCGTTGCCAACTCAGATGGACTTTTACAGTTTTCTATATTCGCTTCTTGTTTTTTAGTTTTTTTGGAAACCCCCGATCTTACATACTTCTCTCTTTTCTAGCTGGGAACAATACGACAGACGAGGAGCTGGACCGGATGCTGGAAAGCGGGGAGACCGACGTCTTCACACAAAATGTGAGTTCTCGTCACTTCTCGAACGCTTCTCGACTGTTTGAAGGTCTGGATGTTGAAAAAAAAAAAAAAACCACAACACAGAACGCACCTGCTGCTGCACAACTTCCTCACCGTTGCAGATGTTTCCCATCAACATAAAATCTGACAGTGGTAGTTGAAGTAGTTGTAGCTCTACTAGATATAAACAACATGTGTAAGTTGATGACAGATCTGCTCTGTGGTGTCTTCCCTTATTCCCAAACTGGACATCAGATTTGGTAAGCATGATGAAGACTGCTGTGAAGTCCTTTTAGATGTCTGTAGAGCTCCAGTCGCTCATAGTGTGGAGAAACCTGATAACCTTTAAAGAAGTAATAGATCTATCTTTTAGAGGTGCTTCAGTAGTTCCTTTTTATCCTTGAAAAAAATTCCAGAAGGAGTTCCAATCCAATCCAAAATGATTTATAAAGCACATTTAAAAACAACAGAAGGCGACCAAACTGCTAAACAACCACAACAAAGGTCCAATCAGTGAGCTGTGTAGAGAGTGAGATGATAAAGGTATCTCACTATCTGATCATTAAGGAAACATGTTATGTTGAAGTGCTGGCTTCTCTGACAACAATGCAGCAGCCAGTATGTCCTCCTTCTAACTTTAGATTCTGCTCCTGAATGCTCTGGATTTGTTTGGACCAGAGAAGGTAGGCGCTTTTAAGACACACCCCCACACGGCCGTTTTGGACGCCCCTCAGTTTGCCAGATATGAGAGCAGTTATCAGGTCAACAGGTGTTGCAGCGATGGAAGCGGTCAAGAGAAGTGGTTCAGATAGAAGTGATTGTACCCGACCTAAAAAGCCTCTGCATGTTTCTAATAAGCTCCACGAGCAGAAACGTGCTCAAACTAGGATCAATATTGGAGATGCTTTTGAAAAATGGAGAGAGGTTAGAACACAGAAAGGTTTACAGACCCATGCAGAGCTGGATAAACACTGAAGCTTCAGAGTCCACCACATGGTGACCTGAGTGAACAGCGAGAGGAGGGGCGACATTTAACTTTTGATTATTTATTTACACTTTGCAGACAGTAGTAGGATCATTGGTCTTCTGTTACTCCTCATGGAGCTTAATGATCTTGTGTTGTCTATAATGCAGCTCATTAAAACTTGGTCTCTGTTGTTAAGATCCTGATTGACGCTCAAGCGACGAAGCAGGCACTGAATGAGATCGAGTCCCGACACGACGAGATCCTGAAGCTGGAGAGGAGCATCAGAGACCTGCACGACATGTTTCAGTACCTCGCCATGGAGGTGGAGGCTCAGGTACAAAAAAATTCAAATAAAAAAATGAACACTGATGAAGTCTCTCTGGTTAGTTTGTGTTGTGAAGATGATCTGATTTGTGATGTTTGTGTCTCCGTCCTGCAGGGGGAGATGGTCAACAGGATCGATAACAACATCAAACAGTCGTCTAACTACGTGGAGAAGGCGAAAGTAAACACAGAGCAGGCTGTGACGTATCAAAAGAAAGCACGAAAGGTACAAAGTCGTTTCATATAAGTAGAAACTGAGTTTTTTTTTTAAAGCCCCAAAAAGTGATCTTTGAAGCGTGTGATTAAAAAAGCCACGCTTCAAGTAAAGCTGAGTTAAGATTGCATTTCGCCTCGTTTGTTAACCGATCTGTTTGTGTTACTATTTCTATGCAGAAGAAGATCTGGATTGCGATCTGCTTGGCCATCCTCATCCTCATCTTAGTCATCTCATTGGTCTCCACCTTCGGCACCTAACACCAGGCAGCGCAAAGTCGTGGTCGTCGTGCGGTTCGGGTGAAGCTCATTCTGGTTTCATGTAAATAATTTCACAGGATGAACTCGTGAATTATGTTAGTCAGTTTTGTCACTTTCTTCGCCCCCTCTGGATATTTTTTTGGTCCTTTTCAAATACTCTAATCCCCCCGATCCAAACGGCCTTTTTGTTATTGTTTGTTTTATGAGAAGAAGAGCCCCGCCCCCACCCTCTTCTCTGACAGAATACCCCGACATCGCCCTGCATCACCGCTCCCACTCAAGAGGCAGTACTGCTGATTTTTTTTGGACCTCCCTCGCCCCTCTCAGATTCTGGTCTGCAACACAAAGACCAGGAGAACTGTTACATCAGCGCCTCTTCCCTTCCTTAAACACAGAAAGGAAAAAAAAGAGGATCAAAGTGGCCTCGAGCGACGCACAACGCAGTATTGAGACCCGACCCAGGCGCTGGTCATACTGTACTCAGGAAAACTGTGCGCTGACTCTCGTTAACAACAACTGTCATAAAGTAGAGATTTCTTTTACAGGCTGATCTAGAAAATAGTCAATTAATATAATTGTACATAACCTATAATGTTTGATGAAGACATTGTTTATGCAGATTTTTAAAACTTGAAATGGCCTTCCTGTAACACGTGTAAATACAGATGTTTTTGTGTGTGATAGCAGCCCCCCCCCCCTCGTTTTATTTTACATCGAGGTGTCTCAACACTGCAAGAAGCGGCCCAAGGCCCACGTTTTATTTGTCCTACCAGGTTGTATTTATGATTTTTTTTTTTGTGTGAGAGCTGCTACAGGAAACATGAACACATAATGAAATCTTTTTCTTCAGCGCGGTGCCTTCTCGTCTGAGCGGCTGAAGGTGAGATCGTCATGTCGTGCACTAACTTTGTCAAGAAGGGATGGAGTGAGTTTTTTTTAATTCTTGTTTGTAAAATATGTTTGAATTCACAGAAGCAGTGTTTCCGAGTCCTCCCGGTTTATCATGATACATTTACTCGCAGTCTAAGGATTTTTCTTGAACCGTTTGTCTCGATTGTGCAAAGCCTCCTCTTGTCTCGATAGTTCAATTTGGCTCGAAGATCCTGGAGAAGTGGTGACACCTCGACGGGTGCTCGGATCATTATTGCAGATTATTAGTTTTCATTTGATCTAGAAAACAGTAACGTGTGTTTATCCCAGTTACTCAAAGTCAAAGGTGATGAGAGGAAATGGCTTTTTCTTGATTCTAAACAGAAAGATATTCACTTTAACCAAAACCCCCTATCGGAGGTAAAGTGAACATTATTTAGCAGCTGGTGAGAGACAGTCACGCTACTGTGGTGTTAAAAATGACTTTGACCAATCATGAGTCGGTGGAGTTTGTGGCTCCTGCTCAATACGACAAATTGTTGAATGAAAAATCAAACAGTTTGTGTCCGGTCCTGATTCAAGTCTCCATTGGAAACAGAAAAAGGTCGACAAAAAGCAAAGCTTCCACTTTGCTGCTGTTCAATTTTTTGCATCGCTCTTTTTTTCTGAGTATTCATGTTTTTAAAATAAAATACTGCCATGTTATAAAACTGTGTGTCTTGTTTTATTTAATTACCAATCTGATGTAAGACGATAGGAAATGTCTGACCACGCCCCCTCTCTGGAAGGGTTTGTGTCTCAGTCTTTCTCACTCCATGTCCGATTGTTTACGGTGAGAAGGCAGACTCAGAGGGTAGAACAAACTCCTAGCTGTGGGAGTGTCACCCACCTGGGGGAGGGGCTACTGCCCTTTGTGATGTCATGAAGGGAAAATCTCCAAACATTTTCTGAAGAGTGGAGCAGGGTCAAAACATGTTTGTTTTTTTACATAATGTGACCTTTAAACCAATAGTGTTTAAAATCCACAATTTGCCTTGTAGTTACTAAACTTTCAAGACTTTGCAGAGACCATCAGGGCATGAAAATCCAATCTAAGATTTAGCAATACCACGATTGACTGAAAATAACCATCATGATTTTATTTTGAAATTTCCCACGTTACATGAACAGATCCGTTTTGGGTTTAATTGGCATGTGAGATACTGAAGGGCCCCAAAATAAATGTAATTGCACACTTCTTGATATCAGTAAAATAATGACTAATCTTTTCGTCTCCATCTTGAAACTTGTGATTTAAAGTCGTTTAAATAAAAGCAGCTAACGGACGCTTGACTGCATGGCACCCACAATCAGAAACATCATCGACACAATGAAAAAAATCGCAACTAAGTTTTGGTCTTTTTATTCAACTGTAATTGTCTTAATTTTTCAAGTAAAACATTGTGGAATTACAAGGGATCAAAAGGAATGCAACAAATGAAGAGAGACAAAAATCAAAAATAAGACCATCACCATAAACTACCCATCCCCCTGTCCTCTCCCCTGCTCCCACCCCATCCCCTCCCCGAAAAAAAAAAAAAAAAAAAAAAATCACCTTTTTGCTCAAAGTCGCTTCGACAAGTCCAAAAAGAAAATCGACAATTTACAGTCATCTGGAACTGCACCAGTTATTTTTATTCACATTTTGTCCAAGTAATTTTCTTTACATGAACTGAGAGCGATGAAGTGATGGTGACAAAAAAAAAATCATGTGAAAATAAAACATTAATTTGGTAGCACTGACGCACAGGGTGATACTTTTGATGTCTTCTTAGTTATAGTAGATTTTCTTTTGTTTGGCTTTTTTTTGTGTGTTTTTTGAGAGAGAGAAGCTGAACACCCCCTGCTTCAGGCGCTTCACAAGGCAATCTGAGGTTCTAACCCATTTGGCCAACGAGGCACTCTTTAATTTCAACATTTACCTGCCCTTTGAAGTATAAATACATGACAAACCGGACCATGACAACAACTGCCTGTTGGTAGATCAGGAAAACAGATGAGATTTTTGCTCCGCTCCAGGTCTGTTTTTGAGGAGAAGATATTTTTGCAGCTTTAATTAATAGATATCCGAACAGTAGAGATACACCAGGAGATACCAGGAAACCAATTAATTAACTGTAGTTGATGTCAAAACGTGTTAACTACACCACAGTGTACTCAAAAAGCCGAGGGCCACATTATCAGATGTGCAAATGAGAAATACAAGGCTGGATTTAAAAATGAATCCATTGAACAGAAACCGACGTGAAAAAAGGGGCCCAAGCAAAGACAAGCTCCAGCATAGTGCAGCAAAGATCACATTGACAGATCGGTTCTCTTCCTAATACCCTGGAAGAAATAATAAAATATGCATAACTTATCAACTGACTACAAAGAAACAATAGTCAGGACAGCTGACGAAATTTCTCAAAAACCAAACTCTCTAAAACCTCCAACTTACAATACAACTGGTCACTCCAAAGGTTTTAATGTCACACAAATGACTTTTCATCGTTAACCCTAATAAGAGGGCGCTGTAAAATCCCATCTTAACACATAAGATCTGAGCGTTCCAGTCTTTAAAGATTACAGTACAGAATGTGAACTAACAACTTTTTCTTTATTTTTCTCTTGCACCTTCGTCCCCCTCGAGTCCCAGTGGCAAATGTTTCCACTCTTTTGTCTTCTCTCGGTCTGTTTTTTGTGGACACACAACAACAGCGCCACGTTTTTTTTTTACTCTCAGTCCGGCATTCCCTGAGCCTTCCCCCAGCTGACAATGGCTGAGTCGGTGAGGAGGGGGGGGGGGGGGAGGGGGTCCAGCTACCAATTGGAAAGGGAGAGGGCCCAAGAGGCAGAGGCGGTCCCTGAATTGTGCAGCACTCAGTTTCCCTTAACGTTTTCTCAGAGTGCGGACAAAGCAGCGACCATCGGAGGTCGTGACATGCTTTCATATCGTACACCCTTTGCGTCCGTGTGTTTCCCTTTGGCACTCGATCATGTCTTGTTGTGACGATGTTGACCAGAAGACGAGCGGGTGTTCAACGCCGGCGACCGCGCCTGCGCTGCTGCGAGTGCCGCGACGCTCCGCAGCACCCTGTCCGGCGTCCCCTCCGTCCCCGAACTGCTGGTCACCTCCTGCGAGAGCTTCTGAGACCTCCTGCTCTGGCGCCGACCCTCCCTGTGCTGGTCTCGCTTGCCTCTGTTGGCCCGCTCGGAGCTGCGTTCGCTGCCGGAGGAGGCGGCGCGGGACTCTCTGTGCTCCGTGTTCTGCGAGCTGATGCTGTGAGTCCGCTGGCTGCTGTTGCTGCTGCTGCGACTCCTGCTGCTCCGCCCGTCGCCCTCGCCGTCACTGCTCATGCTGCTGCAGGCGCTGTGGCCCCGGGATGAAGACTGCGCCTCTGCATCGCCTTCCTTACCCCCCGAAGATTTCCTACTCCCTCCCTCCTTCTCCTCCGCCTTAGACCTTTTGTACTCCATTTCCAAGGGGGGAACCAGAGAGCCAGGGCACCGTCTGGTGGATCTGGAAGCGGGGCGGCTCGTCTGATTTGGTGTTGAGGCTTTGCTGCCACTGCTTTTATTATTAGTAACGCTTACAGAATTACTCTGAGGAGAGGCTGGTACACTTTTGCTTTTAGGCTTTTGGTTCTTGTCAGAAGAAGGGGCGGGAGAAGTCCCTGCTGCTTTAGATCCTAAGTCTTTCCGAGGGGTGTGTCCTGGGGTATCCACCCTGCCTTTCATAGCGAGGAGCTTGGCTGCAGCGTTGAGTGCCGAACACCTCTTACCAAGAACTTCAGGCTCAGGTGGCATCAACGGTGTGCTGTTGGTCTGGGCTTTACTCTCTTGTGAAGGCTGAGATCCTGCAGACTGCCTGGTGATCCTCACTGAGGATGTATCACTGCCGGACTCTCCACCAGTGGACACGTTGGCGTTGTTTGACACGTTTCTCTCAGAGCTGTTTGCCGGTTTCTTCCCTTGCCGGTTGGTGCTCTTCTCCCCCTCCTGATCTTGGAGCCTGCGCTTGCCCGAGCGAGTCAACCTGTGCTCCTTCCTGCCCTCACCGTTGTCAGAATCTGAAGAGGAGGACGGCGACCTGGACCGTCTTCTCCGAGAGGCGGCAGTAGTAATCTCCTTCTCGCCGCCTTCCTCATTCTTCTCGTCCGTTTGCTCGTCCTTGCCCGGTTCTGACGTGACGTCGACTCGCCTCTTCTTGGTCGGATGTCTGTTTTCATAAGTTCTCTTGTGGTGAGCTTGACGTGTGAGGGTCGATGTAGAGCAGCCTGAGGATGGGGAAGAGGAGCAAGCGGACTCCTGGCTACTCTGCCGACTAAGAGGCCTCTTCTGGACTGGAGTTTTCTGATCTTCAGCGGTTTGTTTCACAGCCTCTTGCTTGGGTTCTTCTTTCTGACTGGCAGTTGCAGACTCTGCTTCTTTCCTGCCTGCATCCTCTCTTCCTGACTCAGAGTCTTTGGTCTCAGAAGAACCCTCTACCTTTCTCCTTTTAGACTGAGACTTGCAGGTGTCCTGCTTTCCGTCATCCTCCTCCTTGCAAGTACTGCTTTTACCTCCACAGGATCGAGTCCCGTTCCCGTCACCTTGTCCGAGTCACTTATACTCTCGGACATTTCTTGCATTGGCTCAGAGGAGTGATTTTTTGATGCAGATGTTTCTGCCTTGGTTGGGTTCTCTTTCTGGACTGATGTAGAGATCTCTTGGGAAACTTCCTTCGAATCAGGGATTGGTATTTGCAGGGGAGTGGTGTTTAGGTTGGACACGGGAGGAACTGTTTTGTTTACGACAGCGGTGACTGCTGCTACTGACAGAGGAGCTGGTGTGGCGGTGGACTCTTGGGTAGCAGGGACAATGTTTGTGACTTTATTCAAATTTTCTGGGGATGACATGGTGACAGTTGATGGAGTTGATGTAGAACCTGTGGAAGATGTTACAGGGGGTGGGATCTTGGCAGTCTTTTCTGCAGTTGTAGCAGGGCAGCTGAAGTCGTGGATTCTTTAGAAGGGGCTGCTGCTGTCAGGGTCGATACCTGGACCGTCTTTATTGGGGGTGATGCTGTTACAGTCCCTGCCTTTGCTGTGGAAGTAACACTGGTAGATGTTGGGGAAGGATTGCAGATTGGGGCAGTTGCTGAGGATGTTCCAGTTGTAACCTGTGCCTGTGTGGCCACTTGCACTTGTGTTGTTGGTGGATTTGGGACTGGTTTGGAAATAACTTTAGGAGTCGTCACATTGGTCGTCTTTGCTTGGGCTATAGAGGATGGAACTATACTCGCAGAAGACGATGACACGGTTGTAACTGGAGGCACTAAAGAAGCCTTGGCAAGCATGGTTGGACTTATAGTGGGAACTGTACTTGTTGAGCTTGAAGAACTAGCTTGGGCAGTTTTGACAGTTGTCACAGTCGTTGCTGTGATTGGGGAGGATGTTGAGGTTGGTTTTGGTGAAGCTGTAGACGAAATACTCTTGGTTGCAATTTGATTGGAGGTTTCAGCAGGTGGGGTGGAAAGGGCTTGTGGCAAGTCTTTCGCAGCAGCAGTTTCTGACAGAACTGATTTTAATGGTGCAACATCAGTGAGAGTCGAGGCAGTGACTGAAGTAGGAAGTGCTTTAGCAACCATCGTAGGAGATGTCACAGGGGAAGGAGAAGGAATAATGGTAGCAACCGCTGTGTCAGCTGTGGTACTTTTGGCAGAGTCTGGCTCTGCTGGTTTCACATTCAGAGAAGCTGAAGGTGTTGGCTCTGTGGGAGGAGCTTCAGAAGCAGTGGAATCCACTAGTGTTGGTTTCACATCTGTAAGAGTTGATGTTGTAAGGGTCACAGGTGGCGATGGAGTCGTGGTAGTGGGGGTTGCTGCACTGACCGAATCAGTGGACGATGTGGAAAGTTTTGCCGAGGATGAAGAAGAAGCCTGCGTGGATTCTGTGTCTGGACTTGGTTTTGAAGCTGGAACTGAATTAACGACTTGGGCTGAGTCTGATGTGGGAGCAGGGGCAGTAAGGGGTGCTGGTGAAGGGGCAGTGGGTGCTGGGACTGAAACTGAGACTGGTGTTGAAGCCTGATCTGTTGTTGTGGAAGCTTGAGCTTGACAGTGAGTAACGACTGAAACCTCAGTCTTAGTGTCATCAGCTTTGGTAGACTGGGTCTGACTTGTAGTGACAGCAGCAGCTTTAGAGGTCTCAGACTTTTGCAGTGTCGCGTCTGCTGGTTCTGTCCTAGCACCAGTGTTTGATGAATCTGGCACCCCAGTAGTGGCGGTCTCATTGTAGAGATACGTTCTTCTCTAACACTTTGTGGCATGTGTGTTGAGTCTTTGCAGGGGCGACCCCTCTTGCGTTTTGGGGACGGAGGGGGTCTCCCTCCATCAGTTGGTGTGGGGGCCAGCAGGGAATGAGTCACTGTGTCGTCGGACTCAGATAACTGAGGGGGAGTCTTAGGTGGCCGGCCCCTTTTTCTTTTCAAAGGCGTCACAGAGGAATTCAAACTAGAGTCCGTTGACGTGTCTTTTCCTGGCGGTACGTCTGTTTTTCTGGACTGGTTCCCTCCCCTTCCTCTGCCCTGTTGGTGCATCTGCTCTCCCAGTTGAGCAGCCATGCGAGATTCAGTTTCCAGCCGGCGCCTCACTGGAAGATTCCTCAGCACAGGCATGTCAGGAGAAAGATAGGGTGGAGAATACGGAGGATACGCTCTGACAGGCTGTAGCTGCACAGGAGGACTCGGAGTAGAGTCTTGGTCCTGAGGAGAATTATTGACTGTTCCTTTAGTTTTGCCGTCAGAGCTCAGGGAGGTCTCGTCTTTGTTTGGTTCGTCAACAGTTGCGGTAACGTTTTCCTCCACAGCCGCCTCCTCTGAAGAAGCTCCGCCTCCAGTTCCACTTGCTCTCCGCCTCCTCCTTCTTGGCTCTTTGTCCTCCACCACTGTGACCAGCCTCCCTGGAAGCTTACGGAGGACTTTGGCCGATGGGGAGTCTTCGACGAGACCCCGGAGGACTTCTCCGTCCGCTGATTGACGCTTGCGAGGAGACCTGGAGCTCGTGGAGGGAGGAGACATGGCACTGTGCTCTTTGCCGTCGTCATCTTTTGTTTGATGGTCCACAGGACAGCTCGACTCAAGCGAAGATTCAGACACCCGTCTCTCACTCTCTCCGTCTGCTTTAGAGTTCTTACTGTCAGTCTCCCCAACACACTGTTGTTTCCCTCCGTGGGAGGAGGTTGTAGGAGGGGAAGGCACTGGACTGGGATGGGAGCGGTTTGGTAGACTCCTAGTTTTTGTGATCTGGTGATCTCTGGCAGGAGATGAAGCTTTTGATGATTTGGAGGAATCCTGAAGTCTGGTTGAAGATGAAGTTTTGTGATGGTCTGAGCGCAACGGGGTAGAAGACACGGGAACGGCGTCTTTGGCAGCTCCTCGTCCTCTCAGACCAGCACGCAGTCTTTCAGGCACTTCTCTGGGGGTCGTGGGCTCAGGCTCCGCTTCGGGTGAGGCCCCACGCAGCCGACCGCTAGTCCTTGTTGAGGCGACAACCTTGTCCTTGTCCTTGGGTTTACGGCCTCTGCGGGCCGGAGTTGGCTGAGCGGGCTCCACAGATGCTGGTGGTGACAAAAGGTCATCTTCGTCTTCATCGGATGAAGCGTGGAGCTTTAGCCCCTCCTCCTTGGCTTGGTCCAGACCTTTCCGGGCAGCCTCAACTTGCTCCTAAACGGACAGAGGCACAACAGATTTTTTTTCAATACACAAGTTTGGCTTTACAAAACTAATCAAAATATAGTTTTTCTCAATTTTGGTTCTTTAGGGCTAAGACCAGATAACACAAAGTACATGTTTCACGATTATCTATAGATGGTAATAAAGACAAGTCCAAGACTACTTTAACTCATCAGAAGTGAAGATTTGGATTTACCTCAGCCTGCTTCAGCTCCTCTTTGCATACATCCTCCAATGAGGCCTCTAGGAAGTTCATGGCATAGCGCTCAATGGGAGTGAGCTAGGAACAGATGAGAGAAAAAGAGCCAAGTTAACCAAGCATAAAACATATTTTGCAGACATACAGCACAATATAGAAGAGTGTGATTATTCACCTGCTCCACCAGAGCTGCTATTTCTTGCTCGGCCTTGGAGAGCTCCTCTACTTCCTCTTGCTCCCCTCCGTCATCCAGCGGTATGTTCTCGTTGAACTCGGCCAGCTCTGCCACCTGCTCGGCTTTGGCCTGAGAGGCAGCCACTATGTCCTCCTCATCCTCAGCACGACACAGAGCCTGCAAGATTTATTTCATTTTCATGAGGTTAAACAATCAGTAGAAGAGAAAAGCCTGCATCGTTTGATAAGTCCCCGAAGAACAACGCAGCTACACAACATTTTGATATAACGCGACAGATCTCTACAATATAGCAAAAACAAAAAACATATTTGCAATATTGGGAGTTCTTATTTTTGGCATTGTAACTTAAGATACATCAATGAAAAGTGAGCACAAACAAGGTGGATGTAAAAGCATTACAGTTAATAAAATGTAAAATGCAATATGATGGTGTTACAGAGATAGATATATATATGGCTCGTGTGAAGCATCTCACCTGCTCCAGGATGGTGGTGCTCTGCTTGTTGACAGCTTCCTCCTCCTCAGCCTGGGGCACCGAGAGCTCCACTGCCACCTCTCTCTTCTCGCCGTCATTCACATCAAACAGCTCCCGGATGGTTTGCTGGGGAACAAAGTGAGAAAGAGAGACATTCAGCAGAGAAAAAGAAAAAAGAAATCGTTCTCTGTACTTGCCGGGAAGCCAAATAAGTGGCACTTGAACTCCCTTAATGACCCGACATTATCACAGCAATACAACCCCAAAAAAAGAGTAGTCAAGCTAATGCTGTCATTAGTTCAAAGAATTAATTAGAAAATGTCTGCAGAACAAGTGGTGTTCCTTTTGAAAGGGGATCAGAACCAATGTAATTACAGAGCAAAAAGGGCACAGCGTGTTCCTCTGCACTGAGAAGGCGTTTTTCTTTTATGTGTCAGCATGTTCACATCTGATTCAACAAATGATTCATCATCTTTTTATCAGCGTGCAAGTTAAGCGAGACACCAGTTTAATAAGATCAGATTATTAAAGAGAAACAAGCAAATGATAGAATTCTACTTCTTGTTCTGTGATGATGTGAAACTGAAAGTAGAAATGATGCAATATTAAAAACTTTGGTTTAGTCTTTGTGCTTCTGTGTTGTGATAAAGGAAACCCCCGATGTATTTCAAGAAAATAAAAAGGTATAAGGCTCCAACTGTAGATGCATACCTCTTTGAAGAAAGCGGTGGTGAAGTTTCCTCCTTCAATCGCCATATCTCCCAGCATCCTCTTCTGATTGGCTTTCTTTAAAATGTTCTCCTCCACCGTGCGCTCACTGATCAACCTGGCGAGGAACATTTGTTCTTGTTGATGTTCTTTGTTCATGTTGTTCATAAATAAAAAGGATATGCAAAAGCAATGAAACAGCACAGGCACTGATTGACTTATGATCTTATTCCATTTCCTTCTAATCTCAAGTTCCTCGTATTCTTTGTCATGCACCATCTCGTTTTTTTTTGTTAAGCCCTACTCACATCTCGTGCCTTCTTATAGCGACTGTACAGATTTAAATTCACTCCATTTGCTGAAAGAATCGTCGCCGTTTCTGAGCAGCGAATTAAAATGGCTTTTGTGTGCGTTACCTGTAGATGTGGACGTCTCTGGTCTGGCCGATTCGGTGGCAGCGGTCCTGTGCCTGGGCGTCCATGGTGGGGTTCCAGTCGCTGTCGTAGAACACGACTGTGTCAGCACCGGTCAGGTTCACCCCGACACCTCCGCTTCGAGTCGACAAAATGAAGCAGAAAATACGGCGATCTGCGTTGAAGCGCTCCATGAGGGACTGGAGGAGGAGAGGAGGAGAGGTTAGCAGCAGGCTGATGTGTCCCTTACTCATATTTTTTTCTTCCTTTAGTGCTATGCAAGTTAAGATCAGTATTAAATATCATTTAGGAGAGGCAGGTCCGGAAAGAATATCAGGAATAATCAGATAATGTTCTGATTGGTTAAATCGCACTGACCTGTCTCATCTCCACTCGGGTGCTGCCGTCCAGACGCAGGTAGATGTGTCCGTGGTAGTTGAGGAACTGCTCCAACACGTCCAACATGCGCGTCATCTGAGTGAAGATCAGCACTCTGTGGCCTCCCGTCTTCAGCTTTCGCAGCAGAGTGTGGAGAGTCTGCAGCTTACCTGCACGCAGCAAGACAACAAACTATTTCAGACGATCGAACTCAACGACAGATGATTGAGAAAACGTATGCTTTGGAGTCGTCCTGCGCTTCTGCAACTGACGATTTGGCTTTTCACTAAGAAGCTTCAACCGTATGTGTCTTTACTTCAGTTCTGCATCACAAATAATCCTGTATCAGCCCACATGGGTCTCATGTTTAACCCACAAGTCCAATATTATCCTTGTTTTCCATACCCTGACAGCAATCTACTATCCAAGTGTCTAAAAGTATGCTAGAAATTTAGCAGAAAAATTAAAGCATGAGAAAACTGTCTGAAGTACAGTCAAAGACATCGTGGAAAAAGTGATTTACAGAGCTAAAATGCTTTTACTTAATCCCCCTTAATCTGTTTTTTTGGAGAGAAAAGGAATGCATATTATTTGGCTGTCAGTAACAATGTACTCTGCTTTGTGTAATTATCTGTGCACAATCAATTAGCTCTGGAAACCAAAGTGTAGAGATTCTTCCGACTGAATGCTCATCTCGTAAACTGATGTTAACAATTATTTTTTATGGGGGGATTCACTGTCGTTCGTGCAGCAAAAAAGAACATCATGACATCGTACCACAGTCATACTGAATGAGCCTCAGGTCAGGGAACAGGGTCCTCATGTAACACTGGATACGATGGAGGCTGCGAGTCAGCGGGGCGACTTGACTCGACAGGGCGGAGGAGAAGACAGCCTGCTGGTGGCTCAGAGAGGGCGGAGGATGGCAGCTGTGCATGGAGATCGGAGGAGCCTCCACCGGGGGGATTGCAAATGTAAACCTAAAAAAAATGCAGAAAGTGAAGTCACAACTCGTTCCTCTTCGTTAAAGCTCTCGCATGTCCGGTGAAATGAATCAAGTTATCTACCTGTCCGTGATGTCCTGGAGCATCTCCAGCCTCTCCTCGATGCTGCTGATCGCCTCTCTCACAGCGTGACTCTGGAACCAGAAGTCGGATTTGTTCTGCCACTGAGCAAACAGACAGCTGCTGTGTCCCGAGCGGCCCCAATCCCCCTGAGAGCTCGAGGCGGCCGGCGAGGGGCGGCCACCGGGGAGAAAAGTCAGGAAGTCCAAAACCTCCCGGCCATACACGGGCTTCATCCCACAGCGGAGCTCGTTGACGGCGTTGATGAAATCCAGTTTGCCGTCGCGCTGTTTCTTCTGACTCTCTGCCAGCCATGACTGCCGGGTGAGAAGGTGAATATTAGCGAGGAGAAGAGCTGCAACGTTACACGCTAAAGCCGTCTTAAAACAGCAAAGATAATGCTTTCTCAATGTTTTTTTTTTGCTGAGGTGCTTACCATGTGGAAAGGAGAGCGAGGAGGTGGACGAGGCACTCTCCTGGGTGGTGGGAAGGATTTTGCTGTACTGGGCCTTGACTTGGTGCTAACTGGTGTTTGACTGCTGCTGCTGTTCTCACGAGGTGCTGCTGAAGACTTAGAGGCAGAAGACGAGGCGCTCACTGGAGTCGGGGCTGAAGGGAGGAGAAGAAAGAAAGTTCATAGAAGGGAAATTGTTTCTTCACTAAAAATATTGCCTTTCTGCTGTTACTGTGTCGTGCATGTGCATACTTCCTAAAGCTGTCGATTGAGAAATCAGCGTTACAAAAAAGAAAAATCTGATTTTCTAATGTCAGACCAGACGTTTGGAAACTAGATTTCTTGTTGCACAAAATGTAAAAAATAATGCTTGCTGAAGGAAACCAATAGTAACCAGGTTAAGTGCATGGACTTTTCAATCACAGTGAAGGAGCAGAGACTATTAGAAAACCTGTTGCCCATTTAGATTTTTACAGAGCAACAGGGCACAAAATGACCACCCAATGCATGCTGTTGAAAAATGATCGTGGCTGATAAATTTCTTTCACTTTGCAGCAGAAAAAAAAAAGTTACTTATCTTTCAAGTTTCTGGCAATATTTACATTTTGTTTAGCCATTTAGCCAGTGGAAAAAAGAGTTAACTGTGCACCCTGCTGGGCGATAACTGCTGCTGATTGTCTCCACCAACAGGTTCAGTATTTTTTGAAGATACTGTCCAGAAACTTTTCTGTGACTTGCTAAACTTTTCTGCATGTTTTCTGCTTTTTTAAGAGGTTAAAAAAAAAACTTGAGTAAGGTTTTGTTGCAGTTACAATCTGACCAAATTTACTTGGAGAGAATAACTCCTGCGGCTTGTTCTCTCACCTGGCTGCTCTGTGCTCGACGGAGGAGGCTGTACTACTTTGAGGACAGGACGAGGGGGGTGGGGCTGGTTGGGGGTGGAGCTAGGGAGTCCTGGAGGAGCTATGGTGTAGTGGGCGGTGGCAGGACCAGGGGTGCGCTGAGCTATCTGCAGTGGAGCAGTGTTTCTGAGAGGAGGGCTTGTGATGGTTTGAAGGTGAGGGTAAGGGGGAGCAACACGAGGGGAAGGGGCGACTGCTAGAGTGGGCACAGGCCCACCCTCCTTGCCTGTTGACTGACGCACAACGATCTTCACGACGCCGGGGGTGCCCAACATGGAGGGGGGGACTGAGGAAACACAAAACACATCAGCAGTCAGAAACAAGGCTTTCTGTTGAACCAGTAAAATAATGACGATTATAACAAACTTTACAGGACATCAGAGTAACTCTGCTGACACATAATGTCAGTGGGATATTATTATTTAGCCTGTTAATCTAATCTTAATTGGTTTTAGGTGTTTTAAGGAACTAAAATAAATCACTTTTTAAAAATTAATTTTGTGTCTATTAAGAGGTCGAACATGAAAGAGAGGCCGAGAGAAAGAAGGCATAAACACCTTGAGCGATTGCATTGTGAGGCATCCGGCTCGCAGTTATGGCGGTGGAGGCAGGAAGTGTGTTGGAGTTACTCTGTACAGCGACCTGGGCGGGCTGGCTAATGAGGTGGTGCTGCACCCCGCTGGACACTAGGTGCATCACATTACCTGCTGCATGAGAGGGAATCAGACCAACCCTTAGTAAAGAACACAAAACTCAATTCTCTCTCTCTCTCTCTCTCTCTATTTTAACAGCATGTGACCAAAATAAAGAAATGAAGCTGCGCAGTCGGCTATGTTTGCCTAATATTAGAAACTGTGATACCGATCATCAAAATGCAGTCTTGCTTTAAAGGAAGTGTTCAACATTTTACACATAAATACAGCAGAAGTTGAGTGTATCTGTAAATGTGTCTCTGAGTCATGACTGTCTACAGTAAGTGAGAAGCTCAAGTCATGCTGGCTGTGTGCAATTTAACTAAAGAGCGCTAACACAACAAAGCAGGACTCATGAAATCGCAGCTTGAGCCAAGGACAATTTTGTCATATTTTTTTTGTAGTTCTCGTGGTTGCTTGACTCGTTTTTAATGACTGAATAAATCTCCTTTTATCCATTCAGCCACGGTAAGTGTAAAGCAGCGTAGCACCAACCTTGAACGGAGCGTGCAGGAGCTGCTGGGACTTGATGGATCTGAGCTCCGGACAGAGTCAGCTTGTTTCCCTGAAGCTGGAAGGTGACGGGTTTACTGCCCTGACACGAGGACACGGGACGCCCTGCCAGGGAGGCGAGCTGAGCTATACTCACGACCTCACCAGCTAAGGATGGAAAAAACACAGAAGAAGAAGGCAGAGTTAATTCAGTTCACGCTGATAATCTTTGTTATAAATATTTAGTAGGTGTGTTCACGTACATGGCAGCCTGGCCTGCATGTCCGGGCTGAGCAGGACCCTCTGGGGCAGGATGTTTCCGGGGTTCGGACTGGGGTGAGCAGGGATGTTAGCCGTGCAGCCAGCAGTCGGAGCTCGTACGGTCAGAACTGGTTTTGGAGTGCTGGATCTCACCGCAGTCTGAGCCGTCAGATGCATGGACGGGCGAGGAGGGGGCGCTGTAGACACTGAACACACCACTGAAAGGAAAAAAGGAAAAGAGGACAATTAGCTGGAAATAATAATTGAAGGTTTTGTGGGTTTTTTTCTGGTAGTTTTTTTTCCCCACACACCTTGTTGAACAACAGGAGCAGGTGCAGGTGTGGAGCTGGCTTCAGGAGCAGGTGGAGGTTTTGGAGTTTGTGCTGCAGGCGGCACTGACATGGTGGGTTTGTTCATCAGCAGGACCGGTCGGTTATCACCTTTAGGAGGCGGCTGGAACATCCTAAAACAGACAGAGGAACATACAAAGATCAAACATAGCACTCTATTTTATAAAACTGATAAATATCAAGTAAGTCCTCCTTTACCTCCCACTTCAGCTTTCACACTTAACTCACATTATTCATTAAAATACACTCCCCTCCTACAGGTGCGTCAGAGCTAGCTGTCCTTCATCTTTTCTGGATTTAGTATTGATATAAAAATGTAGGATAGGAAACTGAACTTTAGAAGCTTATTAACTCTCACAATAAGCTTCTTTTTTTTTTTTCTATCAATAAACTTTTGGACAAGAGAAAAGGAAACAGGGATACACATTTCCTTTCCAAACTTTTCAAACTTTTAGACTGGATATATTTTGTTTTGTGACGACCCAGCTGGTTTCTTGTTCTGCTGGTCGGCTGTTCAGTGTTTCGGTTGTCAGTGGGTGTGGATGGGTCATCATGGATTGAGAACACCTGGGCCCGGTTTTCTCTAATAAATAATTGTGGGAGAGATGGGGGGAGGTTGCTCCCTAATAATACTCCTAGTTACTTTATCTAAAAATTGTATGAGTGAATAAACTTGAATGTACTCTTGAGAGTAACTCCTCGTCTCCTCCACTTATTTGTCACTGGTTTTGAGCTGGCCAGATTATACTAAAAAAAAAGTGATTATTTTAAAAACCAGGACTAACATAAAATATTCAGAAATAAAACACATTTATATTGTTCTTCGAGGTTTTGGTCTGTGTAAAGAAACTTTATCAAACATCTGTAAATTAACCCATCTATCTATCTATCTATCTATGTAATACATAAAAAAAATGTATTACATGTTACTTCAGCATCTTTTGCACTACTCACCACTGCACTGTTATCTTATTTAGCCTTGTACATGTTAGTCTTTGCTTAGTTGTGTTTGTTGTTGATATTTAATGTTGTACTTCTGCACATAGAGAGCACAGTTCACCGAACTAAAATTCCTTGTGTGTGTGTAAGCATACCTGACCAATAAAGCTGATTCTAGTTTACATTTATTGGAAGGAACAGCTGAAGAGAGACAAGAAATGTTGGGTGGAGACAGTGGTGGGGACGCCATGCAGGCAAAGGGCCGAGGTCAGATCCAAAGCCAAGGCCGCTGCAACGAGGACTACAGCCTTTGTACAAAGGGTGTGGGACAACCACTAGGCTATCCGGCTAATCCTTTATTTGTAAAGGAATGGATGTTATCTTTATGGGGGTGAGGCAGATGTTAAACGTTTCTTAACTTACTCATTGACTAAGACAAACTGAGAGGTGACCTTGAGCACTTCAGGCCATGCGTCTCCTCAACAACACAGCAATAACACAATGAGATATGTGCAACTGCTGTAAACAGAAGCTAAATGTTTGTCTGAAATCAAACTTTTGCTTTGCTGACCAAAGAGGCTGAAATGTTCAAAAGTCCAGCAGTGAAGCAAAGTTTTTGTTTTATAGACTGGTGTACTTAAATATTAGGACAAACAAGCTTTTGCATTATTTACACGATGCCAAGATGGTGCTATGACATTTCCTCCCTTAATTAAAAGACCTGGGTCTTTTTTTTAGTTTCAGACTCTGCCAGGTTGCTTTGAAGTATCCGTCTCTTTGATGTTTACCTGTTGACCTTCATGCGGACCGGTCTGGGTCTTGGAGGGGGTTCGGGGGAATCCATGATCTCCTGTATTAGAGGTCGGCCGACCTTGTGGCGCGGCATGAACACATCCGCTTGGTACCGAGACACGCGGCTTTCCAAACCGACGAGGTCAAACATCGAGAGGTCGCAGCGCTGGGGACACAAAACACACACGTTATTTATTCTATTTGAATCATGGTGCACTTTTCATCCAGAGGCTCAGTGAATGACAAAATGTGCTTTTTTTCCTAGTTAACATCGAATGCTTACCTTAAGAGGAGAGACCTCCAGGGCGTCCTGCACCAGGGAGGCTGTGTGGAAAACGATGGGCTTCGTGATGAAGGGAGACTGGATGGGTCTGGGGTCGAACAGGTTGGGGTGGTTGCACACTTTGCGGAGCTGCATGAGGATGTTTATCACTGACATGAAGTGACCGCTGGCCAACGTTTCCCGGGTCCTGTGGATCAGAAAAGAAAAAAGGTGAAGAATGGAGAAACAAAGGAGAGACATCATAGGACACAAATAAGATGGGGAGGGGGTGAAACTTTAGTGAATTATTTCAGTTTCTTTCAATACATATTAACACATTTGTTTTTTGTATTTTCCATATATTTCATTATGATTCAGTCGTCTGTTTAAATATAAACTCCTCAAAAAAAGTTTGGAAACGTGATTTCGGTCAATTATTTCGCGCCTTAGTTTTCCACTCTTGCACTTTTATTCTTGTGTTTGAACTTCGAGGTCTATTTGTTGGACTGGGAGCGTTGTTTATAGGGAGAAGTGAAACTGGATTTTTCAATGTTTCTGGGGTGGAATAAGAAAAATGTTGACTGCATCCCAATTGCACTGTATGTCTTGAACTTGCTTTAATAAAAATATGTTGAAAAAAATATACATATTTCGCCCCTTTAATGATACTAATTGGTGTTGTATTACCGTATTTTCCGCAATATAAGGCGCACTTAAAAGCCTTTAATTTTCTCAAAAAACGACAGTGCGCCTTATAATCCGGAGCGCCTTATATATGGATCAATTGGTTAATTGGTTGATCCATACTGGTTGTACACGGCGCTCAGCGACACTGACTCGGATAATGACGAGAGGGAGCCGGGCATGTTGGATGCCGTACTCGCCCAACTGTTCAATTCGGACACTGAAGAAGAAGAATTCGAGGGATTCGTGGACGGGGAATGAACTGAAAAAGTGAGCTTTACGTGTTATACGTAACTGAACAATGTTGAGTTACGCACTAACGTTTGAATTAGCGGTATCAGACTGTGTTTCTTTTACGTGTTTACAACTGAACAAGGCTGGGAGATATTGTGAATATGCACATTAACGTTTGAACAACGTTACCATGGGAGTGAACGGAGTTGTCAGAACGCTTAATAAAGTTTGACTTTATCTGACTGTTTTGTTGACGTTCCCTTTAGCACAGCTCCATCTAGTGGATGCATAACACAACCCCAGTCAAACGTTTGACTGCAGTATCTTCTATTCTATGCGCCTTATAATCCGGTGCGCCCTATATATGAAAACAGTTCTAAAATAGGCCATTCATTGAAGGTGCGCCTTATAATCCGGTGCGCCTTATAGTGCGGAAAATACGGTATATATTGTTGGAAAGCCTGATTAGCCACCTTTATAACAAGGTATGACTTGTAAGGATCGTGCAGTTGTGGAATGAGCGACACAGCTAAACATGTAGGTAGCGCCCCAAATAAAATGTACCAAAATCGCCATGCTGCCTTACACATTACTGAGAATACAGGTTATTCATTTAGCCCTGGGATCGAATCGGTACTCTGTATCATCAGATACCCAAAGCTAAGATATCTGATCCAAGCTTCAAAATGCATTTTACTTCAGTTTGAGAAAGAACCAAATATCTCGTTGATATGAACTGAATGAAGTTACTTACGACGCCTGAGCCATGAAGTCGTCGTAGAGGAACCGCTGCCTCTTGGAGAGGCGGCATCGCACCACGTGCTCGTACTTTTTGGGCATCTGTTTCTCCACGTCCACTTTGATCCTCCTGAGCAGGAACGGCCTCAGGACCTTGTGGAGCCTCTTCACCAGGCCCTCGTTGTACTCCTGGCTGCCCTCGATCATTCCCGTCAGCGGGTTGGAGAACCATTCTTTGAACTCGCGGTGGGACTGGAAGACGTGGGGCATGAGGAAGTGCATGAGAGACCACAGCTCCATCAAGCTGTTCTGGAGAGGAGTTCCTGTCAGCAGCAGGCGTCGGTGGCTGGAATCGGGAGATATAAACATGAATAATCACATTTTACAAAAAACTAAGAATTAAGAAGACAAATAAGCAGCTGCTTTACAAAACTGTTGTTCTAGGCTACACCTCATGTTGTTACACGTTATGCTAGAGGTTGAAAACAAGCAATATGAACAATAGTTTGGAGTTGAAGTGACCAATAAATGAAGTCTAATAATCACTCTCTTTGTAGTTTTGTTCTGCACTAACTCCTGAGGGAAATATCAGGTTCTTTAGCTGATATATTGTCCACTTTGAAGTCAGCTCATTGCAGTCCCTCCGCCCGCTGTGTGTTGCTGCGCGGGTAGTGTACAGAGGATTTATAGGAGATGTTCTCAGGGAAACTGCAGCCTGCTTCTGCTGTAAACAGCACGAGTTGAGCTCTGGGGCTGCATCAAAAAACAGTAAAGGTGTAGACAGCACCGCCATCAACAATGAGATGAATGAGGCTATGAAGCTGTGCAGACCTGAGGGGTGATAAATCCCTGTGTAGTCATCGTACAGCAGCCAATTAAGCTTTTTGATGTTTGGCGGCTTTTATTTGCAAACACATCCCTACTAATGGATATTACAATATTTGCGTAAAAAACATTATTTATTATGCTTAAGCCCAGGAGGGTCTTATCCCGGCAGGAGAGGCCAGGCTCCCGAGTAGACGGAGCCCTCCCAACTTCCAGCGAGTAAATCTGGCACTTCTACCACCCGACGTCCCTGACGCCCAGCCTCCATCATCTGTCTGTGTCGTCCCCACAACCACCGCCGTCCTCGTTCATGCACGGCCTGCTCCGACCTCCACCTCAGCCGACAGGAAGTGTGACAAAGGGGAAATCCTTCCTGCATATTATCCCATATGCTCTTTAGTAATAAATAATGATTGATTAAATAAGAAGCTATGGGGGGGGGGGGTCGATCAAAAAGGCAAACATTCATCATCATACCTCTTGTGACACAATTTGACCCTCTGCGTCACTACTTCACGACTCCTCACTGTGTCTTTATGACACAAATTATGGTAACAGGAACAGGAGATTAAGGAAGATGTGCAACTTTTTGATCCAGTAGATGTCGCCCTTTAGTACCAGCATGGAACCAAAACAAACTGCTGTTTGGCCACGCCTCCTCTGTACTGAAGCCTCCGCTCTCCTCCAGAGACACACCTCCAACCCCTCTACACTCGAGTTCACAAGAAGGAGTTGAATGCGTTCTAATTGAAATTCATTAGAACGCACCATAATTAAGCTCCATTTAGCACAGGCAGCAGACATAATTGTCCTCTGCTCGAGCTGTAATCACCTGTGGCCTGCCTTGTTGTGTTAGCATGCTAATGTTAGTGCTCTTTTACATTGCATGTAAACTGACACAGAATGAGCGTGATCTAAAAACTCTTACTAACCACTCTTACTGGTTCAAATAATCAGTGAATATCTTCTTCTTCTTCTCTCTAGTTCTTGACTAAAACAGCTTTTATACACAAGGGGAGGAGCCAGCCGTCCCGTCCATGTAAACACGACTCTGACAACAACACAGCCAGCGGGACTCGAGCTTCTCCCTCATTGTAGACAGTCAGGACTCAGAGACACATTTACACAGGACAGACTGGATTTCTGCTGTATTTATTTATTTGTAACAACTTGCACATTCTTCCTTTAATTAATCAAAGAAGGTGTATTGGTAGTAAAACAGCGTGAGCCTCACGATGTGCAGCCCGCTCTTCTTTCAGTGTAACAATAAGAAGTCACCACCAGCAGCCAAATGCAGCCAGTTAGTCTCATCACTGCTGCTTTTATTAGTTTTAAAGACACACAAATTATGTGATTAGCTGATTCAGCTTCACATCCACTGATCCACTGTGTCCTGTGATTACTCTGTGTTTGTGTTTTGAGGGGGGGGATGCATTCAGAGTCAAACATCGCTGAATTACAGCTCGTCTGTCTCCTGAAGCTGAAAGACGTTTTGTCAGATTTGCTCACAGATGAGACAGAGAGGCGGGTACTTCAAGTGTGTGTTTTTTTTTTTTTTTCAATGAGCATTACAAGTTTGTACAAAACGTTCTGGTACATAACACTTGCTTTTGACACTGGTTCAGATTTTCTGCCTACAAGCCTGAAAAGACATCGGTAGCTGCAATCATCTCAGTTTATTGTCTTCTATCAGCGCCGTGACTTACAAATTAAATATTAGGAAAAGTGGGACCTTTGCCGCATATCTTTCCACTCTCTCTCTCCCTGGTTTCAGACTCTGTCCACTGTCTTATCTCTACAATAAAAGGCATTAAAAGCCCCCCCAAAATATTAGAAATAAAGACACTGTGATCTGGAAAACAGCTGAACACTCACTTTTTCTCGCTTCAACCTCGTGTAGTAAGAGGAAACGATACAGAACTTGTATGCTCTCCGCTCAGAGAAATGTATCTTGGACTCAAAGTGCTGCACACATTAAGCTGCCTCCACAGACGCATCAATAAATAAACAATAATAAAAACTATCCTCATAAAAACAGAGAAGCAACTACCAAGGAAAACAACAAACAATAAACAAAATGTGCTGCACGAGACCTGCATAAAATCACAAATAAGAGACAAAGAAAAGAACATCATGACACTATTGCACAACCCGTACAGCCTAAAGAAACATCATGCACACTCTCGATCGAGGTGGGAACATAACAGTTCAGTTGATGCAGTCTGAAGTTGATCTGTCATTCATGTGGATGATGTAATAATTCCTGAAATCTCTGTGAATAAGAGAAATGTGTTTTGTTCTGTAATCTGAAGCCCATCAATTAAAGCAATTACCGTAAAATCCGGTGTTAAAAAAAGCACTTGTAACACCTATTTCTTCAAGTCTATTTTCTGAAGTCTTGTTCACTGGTGCGATCAATACACCAGTATAAAATGCTGACACAAGCGGCGTCATTACAGCGGGAGCAGCCTCCACCATCACACACTGTGCACATCCTGACGGGATCGAAAATTCATCCCCATTCAATGTGTATTGAAAGCTAATCACGTGCTGTGCTGGGAAACACAGTGACACAGACCAGGCTGGCTGTGCGACTTTTTCACATCTTTTCTCCCTCACAAGGTCATAATCATGCATTTAGAGAAAACGGTGGTATATTGTATCTTAAATAAACCTTGCAGAGTGCTCTACTGATTGAAAGAATCCTACTTTAAAGTTAAAGAGCGACCAGTGAAGTCGGGCAGAGAGCTCGTAAGCTAAGGGTCTGTGCTTCACAACATTCCCTGCAGGCTGAGAGCTCAACTACCGTGCTGTAGCTGGTAGGAGAGCAAACTTCAAAAAGTGAAAACAAACCGAACACAGCTGCACAGAAACTGCACGTTGTAGCCTTCGCTGAACACAATATAAATTGTCACGCAGGGAGACAGTTTAAACTTTTTTTTCCTCTCTGAGACCCCCAAAATCTGACTGCATCTTATATACCGGGCGTCTTATATTCCAGATTGTACAGTATATATTTAAATGTTTAATGCCAATCAATCAGGGTTTCTCATTCTATAGACGTTCCTATTTTTGCCTTTGTTTTTTACATTTGAAATTCGGATTTTGTGTACTGAAAACACCCCCAACATCTCATTGGAAACGTAAAAAAACCTCTCTAGTGAAACCCTCTACATTAATGTGAGTAAGCAGAGTTTAGGTATGAGGATCTTGCAGGGACTATTTAAGTTACATTGTTTGGGGACAGCTTATTCATGTCTGCAGAGGCTCGCTTGAATTCTCTAATACATGTTTGAGTTTTAAGCAACGACACTTGGATATAAAACAGGCTGATCCATCCTGGCTGCTGTAACAGGGTGTGTACGTGTTATGTTCAAAACTGCATGAAAAACAGTTTACATCATTGATGATGTGTTGAGATTCTTCAGATGTTTCTGATAACAATAGTTGTGTTGCTTCCAACTTGGCTCCTTCCTTCTGGATGTTCTAAGCATCAGTGATATCAGCCTTTACAGTCTGCACAAGTTTACCTCCATGAATACAAAAAGCTCCACTCACCTGTTGAAGTTCAGCAGGCTCTGCCAGCGCTGGGACTTGAAGTTCTTGATGTTTTGCGCCTCGTCGAGGATCAGGTACCGCCAAGACTTGCGTCTGAAAGCCTGGTGATCCTGCAGCACCAGCTTGTACGATGTGATGCACACATGGAAGGCATTGGGCTTAGTCCAACCCTGAGAGAAGAATGGAACAACTGACAATCAGAATGGTTCACATTTTTTATGAAGGTTAACGTTTAGTAGCTAGGCAACAGTAAACTGCAAAAAAGAAGTCAACTACAACAACTGTTTTAAATTCATTACCTGTCTCTTCAGCTTCCTCTCCTTTTGGCTTCCAAAGTACGTGAGGATTTTAAACCCAGGACACCAACGCTTCAGCTCCATCTCCCAGTTCAACATCACGCTGGTGGGGACGATGATGAGGTGAGGGCCCCAGTTACCTGAACACAACAGGTGATAGGACAAAACATCAGCAGCTGAATATCAAAGGAAGAACATGCATGCTCAATTGCTGTTGTAAAAAAGAAATTATAAAAGCAGTTTTTTTTTTACAAACCTTTTTCACAAGCAAGGTGAGCGAGCAGAGCGATGGTCTGGATGGTTTTACCCAGACCCATCTCATCAGCCAGGATGCCGTTTAGCTTTTTCTCGTACATGGTGACCAACCAGTCGAGTCCGATGTGCTGGTATTCTCGTAATGTGCCGTGAAGCAGGAAGGGAATGGGTGTCTTGACCTTTAAAAAAAAAAAAAAAGAGAAAATATAAGAAATGAATGGTTTATAACTCCCACACTTTAACACATTTTTGCAACCAGTACGTTATTCTGAACAACTTTGACGATTCTTTTAATTTAACATAAGCTCCTAAAGTCATAATTTATCACATGCACATTCTCAACAACCTGATCCTGACCATGTCACTAACAGCGTCAAGTTCTCCCTGTAAGACGGGGAGGAAGGTCTCAGGAGGCTTTACTATACGTTAAAAAAGACGCTGCATGACGAAATGACAGAGCCCAACACTTTAACTTCAGTTCTTTGCCTTAATATCAACGCTACATGTAATTGGAAGGATGAACAGTTTCAACAAACGAGTGAGAAGAGAACACAGGCGAGCAGGAAAAGAGTGTGAAGCAGCTTTAAAAAGGTGCATGACGATCGCACCGGTTGTGTTACATGCATTCATCTTCAACCCGTCTGCTCGCTTGTTGGGAATTTTCTTGAATATTTCCTGCTGCGTTTAAACATCAGCTCAACTGGCTTCAAGTGGAAATGTTACCAGGGGGCTGGTTGGAAACAGCCGGGGGGAAAGTTGGGGTGAAAAGTGCGGCTGTCTGCGTTTACAGCTGAGCCTGAACATTTTGAGGAGTTTTGTGTAAGCGTGGAAACACCACAACTGAAGAACGAAGTAGGAAAAAAAAGACTGACCTTGGTGGTAGCCAGAGTGTATCCTTTCGGCTGCAGACTCTCGGCTGTAGCGGCGATATGCTGATCTCTTTCTTTGGCCGTGAGCTGGAGGAAGGCGGGCTGTTGTCTCCCTCCTTCAGCAGAACCTCCATCCCTTCACACTCATCGTCCTCTTCCTCCTCACACTCCTCTTCATCCCTCTCGCTGTCGTCTTCACCACTGTCTCCTGGAGAATCTGAGAAAAAAACAGATTTGAGCTTTTAAGTGAAATGTATTTAAAGCGTCAAAAGCACGGACGAGGAAACGTTCCACACCTTCGTCTCATCAAAGAGCAGATAAAATAAACAATCAACATGAGGTTACTTTGATTTCCCTTGGAGCTGGTTTATACCTGAGGAGGAAGAGTTGCTCTCTGCGTCGCTCTCGTCTTCTTCAGTCTCTTCCTCGTCGTCCCCAGACACCTCCGAATCAGAGCTCGCTTTAGAACCCGATGCAGAGGGAACCTCGAAGTCTGAGGCGTACGCTCCTTTGTACTTCTCCAACAGCTCCTCGACACTCATGTCTCCTGAAAGAGGAAGCACAGAGATGTCAGGTTAGATGTTTAAAAGTCGGTCCAGGATCTCTAACTTTGCTCTAAAGGAACTATCTCGGATATGAGGGCCAGTACTTTTCAGCTGATATGAACAAATGCAAAGCAGAATATTGAAGAAAACATAAATGCAATGTGCCAGGAGATGTGATTTGCATGCCTCTAACCAGGGCTCAGTATAAATAAAGACTGCAGGTCGTTCTTCATGTGCATGTTTAAACAGGTAACAGACCTCTGCTCTCTCGCTGATAACTGGAACAGCTTTGTCCTCTCTACTGGTATATTTGATATTTTTGGGAGGTTACAGATGCAGGGGAAAGACACGAGTAAGGAAAACACGGATGCAAATTTGGAAACTTTTGAAGCTCCCTACACAGCCAGGAGGCTTTGCTCTTAAAGATGCTGCTCCCTCACTCCTCTGCAACTTTTTAAAAAACATCCTCTGTAAGGCTTTTTCAGGCAGAATCTGCTCACGTTGAACAACCATTTAAACAGAATAGGTCAAGTGTCCCTCGTTCATTTATAGTATGTTAAGTGATTATTATACACAAAGGGATCAGTCATAACAGAAGCTCTTCAAACGAAGGGAGAAGCACCTTGAAAACCTTCAAAGCAGCGACAACAATGAGGCTACTCCACACGAGAATGAACACGCTCTCTCTCTTTTTATGAACGAGTACCTTCTTTGGCCAGGTCGTCCAGCTCTTCAGCATGATCCACAGTTCCTTCCACCTTCTCCTGAGCATCTATGGTGTCCTCCTCATCCTCAGCTGAAAAGTGGAAGAGGTAAAAACAAACGTAAGACACTTTTCACAACCTACCTAACCAACCTAAGATTTGTTTTCACTCTGAGGTGTGTACACGCTTTACAGAAAGTTGGATGCTCCTTCTGTATTTTAAGTATAACACATACATTAATGATTATGTATCTTTATTAAATTTGTATGTGTGGCTGCTTGTTGCTCAAGGCGGCAGTAGCTCAGTCTGTAGGGACTTGTGTGTTGGGAACTAGTGAGCTGCCGGTTTAAGCCAAATCTGGAAATTGGTCTGGAAGCTGGAGAGGTGCCAATTCACTTCCTGAACACTGCTGAGGCGCCATTGAGCAAACACCGAACCCACTCCACCAGCTCAGGATTGCTCACTGTGTGCAGCCCCCTCACTCTGACATCTCTCCATTAGTGCACGTTCACATGATCCTGTTTGTGCGTGTGTGTGTGTTTCAGCCTTTGTGTGTGAAGCATGTCTCAAAAACAGAGTGTAAAATGTAATTCCCCCTCGAGGGGTTAATAAAGTATATCTTCTTCTTCTTCTCGTTTGTCTGAAACTCTGTTTATTGTGCTGCTGCCTGTCTTGGCCAGGACGCTCATGAAAAACACTCCACATACACTTTCCTGGTCAATTAAGTTTATATAATAAAAAAACAACAATACAAAGCACTCTCTCACCATCTTCTTCATCGGCGTTGAACTCGCCGTCTTCCTCTTCCACCGATGACGACGTTTCATCGGAGCATTCTTCGTCTGAGACTGACTCCTATGAAACACAATGATAAGAGTGATTTAACGAAAGCATCTGAGGCTCAGGTAAAAAAACATTTCACTGATCTGTAGTATCAATTATGCATTGAGTTATTATTCTCTTATGTGGAAGTCTTGGTTCATATGACAGGGGAGTTTGAACACCTTCATGATGCAAGAAGTAAAGTATTATTTATCATTTGAGAGAGATTAATCTGGAAGGTTTTAGCAGTTTGAGCACGTGCTAACTTTTAAGAAATGGACAGGAAGATGAAACCAGTACAATATGTGAAAGTTTGAAAACGAGTGTGCACCTAGAAAGTAATTTAAAACTAGACTCCGCAGTCCTCAACTTTTTAGAAATCAATCCCAGTCCCATCAGGTTTTGGAGAGGTACCTGTGGCATTTTAAGGGTGTTGAGTAATTGGTCCAGGGGCAGCAGGCCCTCCTCCTTTAACAGTTCAATCTCCCTCTGCTGGCTCTCAGCGTCGTTTCCCTCCTGCTGCTCCTCCACCTCTATGGTCTCCTCATCATCCTCCTCCTCACAGGGAGGCTCAAAGTCTCGGTCTGCAGAAAGAAAACAGAACAGCATTTTTAAAGAGAAAAATCAAAAAGAAAAATCCTCTTCTACAGTGTTTTGAACATTTATTTGGGTAACCTGAGAGTCTACAGACCCACAAAATGTGAAATAAACCCATCCAGTCCTTTGTTTGTGGTCTGCATAAGTCTTACAACACAGAGAAAAATGTTCTGTTTCAAATGTGTCACAGTGGGATTCTGGTAAAAAAAAAAAATCCCTCCTCTCCCCTGATATCTCCAACCCTGGACTCCACCCCGCCTAGAGCTAAACTTTTGCGCAGGTCCGCCATTTTAATTCTCGCTAGCAAAAATGTGATATCTACGGGGAAAACTCGGGGGGGGGGGGGGTCATAGCATTTAAAGAGACACACACACCAAAACGGAGCGTTCTGAGAGAGCTGGTTTCTACAGGGTCACAAACCTCCTCTGGTGCTTGATTCATGTTATATTTTGACCAAAGCACAGCACAGATGTTTCATTAGACCACAGGGACTGTTTGAAAAGGTGGAGGAGGATGATAATATGTCCTCTTTAACTTGATCCGGTTCTTGAGGTGAAACACAAAGGCTCTGTTCCAGCTCTGTACTTTAAGAATCACCTGCCATTGAGAAAACCGGCAGCAGACGAGTCTAACAGGTTCAACGTGTCTCACACCTGACTGCTTCAGAGCAGCGCTGGGAAGGTACAGCAGCGGGTGAACGTTCAGTGCAGTGTTTTAATGCACCGACTAAAAGTGGAATAGACTTCTGTGAGCTCGGGTAAACAGGTTTGACTCGCACATAAACTGCGAGAACATGCTTGAATCTCTTATACATTCAATAACCTTGAGATGACAACCAGCTTTTTGTTTCCTTGGAACATTTTCTCCCCGTCGACGCTTAAGAGGAGTCAGACATCGGTGTGTAGCTATGACAACGTTCCTCTCTGAACCAATGAACCAGTTTTCTGATCTCAGAAACATCACATGGGGGACAAGTAAGCCTGTAAGACAGTCTGTCAATGCAGCATTGATTTAAAAAGAAAATCTCACCGTCCTCATCAGCCGGAGGAGCGACTGATTTCGGGGGAGTCGTCGGGACCGTTTCAGCGGGTCTGGTGGGTGCGAGCGACTTGCTGAGAAGGTCAGAGTACTTCTCTGTCTGGCCGACGATGAAGTCCAGCTGCAGATCCAGAGCTTTCTTCCTCTTTTCCTCCAGGCGCGACTGCTGCTTGTACTGCACCACCTTCACGCACAGAACAGAAACAGGCGCAATTTCCCATTTAGAAGTGTTAACAGGAACTAAAATAAAGCCTTTAGAGACAAATTCTGGGCATCTTGAGGCGCCTTTGGCAAGTAAATATTCTCCGTCAGTGTGCAAGTTTCTGTCCTAAAAAGTCAAGTGAATTTTATTTCCGTCACAAGAGCAATCAAACGCAGATCCGTTCAAACTGCACAGAATGTTTTGTTTGCTTGGTTTTTGGGAGTTGTCTGTACCTTCTCAACGCTGCTCCAGAAAGCCCGGACTTCCTTTGCAATGGAGGAGGCGACTCTTCTTATTTTGGCGTGTTCGTCCCGTTTGGCCTTTTCTTCTTTTTGCCTCAGCTCCTCGTGATGTCGCATCACCATTCGCACCACCTGGATGCAAACACACAAACACATCCAGATCTTATAGGATACACCGCGTCAGACATGAAGCCAAACGAGTCAACCTGATCAGGCAGCAACAGGCTTATAAAAAACATTTCTTCTCATAGTATGAAACCACTCTTTCATGAGTCGCTTACCTTTCTGGCCACCCCTCTTTTCCACCGCCGCTCCTGAGCAAAGTCAGCCGAGAGCCACTGCATCTCCTCACACAAGTACTCCCAGTGAACTTTGGGTCGCGGCGGCTCGGTCAGACGAGTGAGACGCTTCATTGACCAGAAGCCCTCTCGCTTCAGTGACTGGGTTCGATGCTCTATATCAGCTTCCTGAAGGACGCAGAAAGGCCAGACCGGTCAGAGTTTCATTGATGCAGGACATTAATGTGCTCACAGGATTTACCGAGTCAGCCCGAGTGCTGACTGGAAGACTTTTTAAAATCCTAGCCAAGTTTAAAACACAACACGATTAGAAGAATAACCTGAACAGAGAATATAAATGATCAAACAAAGCAGGATGTTTAGATTATTACGTGTGCCAGAGGGAGCACAGCACCTCCTCTCATGGTTCATGTGGTGTCAGGTGATTTCACAACAAAGCAGATGTAAAGATTACAGCGATTAATGCAGTGCAACAACTTAAAGTACTGTAAAATCTGGAATAGAAGTCGCACCGTTGTCGGTTTTTGGGGGGCTACGCCAAGAGAAAAAAGGTTGAAACTGTCGTCCTGCGTGATGATTTCTATTGTGTTCAGCTGTGGGGTTTCTGTGCAGCTCTTTTATTTCCATCTTTGTGGATTTAACTCCTACTAGCTACAGCACGGTAGTTGAACTCTTAGCCTTCGTTGAAAGTTGTAAAGTACGGTCCCACATTCCACGAGTCACGCTACCCGACGCCGCAGGTCACTTGTGGACTTTAATCTAAGGAGTCTTTCAATCAAAGCAGCTCTCCACAAGCTTTGTTTACTGAACGGTATACCACCGTTTTCTTTGAATGCACCATCATGACCTCGGATGCTTTGGTGTCAGACTCCCACAATGCAACATTTTCTCTCATGTTTGAGAATGAAAACAAAGTCAGAGTAATTTGTTCAACAGGTGACTTCATCTACCTTTTAAAAAATCTCTCCTCTGAATCAGCAGTTAGGTGAAGTAGACACCAGCATCAGAGTGATTTGGCACAACAAATTAACATCGGCTCATGCCAAATTACTTATCATTTTTTGAATTATTATATTGAACTGATTCATCCCTAGTTCTGTTTTTTGTCAAAATCTGGACTTTAGTGTTTTCTGTTTTCAGTGCACACTGTCTGTAATTTTAATTGAAATAAACATCATCCTGCAGCTTCCTACACAACTGTTCATTCCATCCATTACTCCTACTGCACATCTCGTATCATAATGCACCAAAAATAACCAGAGCTAATTCCTTGAAGTGTAAAACCTTCTTGGCAATAAACCGGATTCCAGTGTATCTAAAAGGCTCACTCACATGTTTCGCCTGCTCGGCCATGTCTGCGTGTCCACGGGATCGCTGAGGTGTGGTCTGATCGGGAGGGGAAGAGGAGGAGCTGTAGCCCCCGGCACAAGGTGAAACAAACTTCCCGCTAGGGCCTCGCAGCGGTGAGGACTTCTCCCGTCGGGGCGTGGACCAATCGCTGCTGGGCGACGGTCCGGGGTAAGGAGAGGAGGTGGAGGGTGAGACGGGAGATGAATTCACGGTGACCCGGTCTGCTATCCACTGGCGTACCTGAAGACCGAGGGAGAAGGTGAGTTTATTATAAAAATGTGAATCTAACTGAGGTGAAAGCAGATAGATTCAAAAAGATAAACGCCACATGCAAGAGAAGGTTAAAGTAAGCATTTATTAAGAAGTGTATCAAGCCATGCTTTAGACATAAAAAACTGCCTGTGGGCGGGTTTCTGTCACATCTCATGCAGAACTAAGCAGAAGAGAGCAAAGTAATGCTGATCTTAAGTCTAAGTGCTCCTCACTAGAAAGTGTTTGTGAACATCCTGCTGGAAGTGAACCTGGCTGAGTGTCTGACAACCACCACTTACCTTGAGGAACAGTGCCTTTCTCTCTGTCCTGCTCTGTCCATGCTGGAAAACACACATGGCTTAGCATGCGGCCAACTTAAAGGAAAGACTAAATGATGGTGATAAAAACACTGTTCACACCAGCGACATAAATAATCAACACACATGCAGAAGGACGGATGCGTAGCTTTTAAAAAAAATTTTATAATAAATATGTTGTGTTGTTTTTTTAGACGTGCCTTCTCAACAACTTGTCTTTCAGGTTAAGAGCTCAATTACAGCTCACACAGTTACGCCATGCACTCAAAATATGGGTGTAACAATCCGTCAAAGCAGTTGGATGTTTTGATTCAGAATCAACGATTCAAGATGAAAAACATCGATGATCATGTCCTCATCTTTAAGATAAGCGGACGAGTGTGACAGCAAAAGTAAACACCAGGGTCGTCATGATAACAGAACTTACATTTAGATTTGATACTAGGAAAAATCAAACAACATTGAGACCTGTTTTGAAAACACAGCATCAGAATAAGAAGTTCTAGTCACCTGATATTAGGCGATTAGGTGCTTTGAATTAACGAAAATGGTTGGGAGACTCCTGCACACATAGAGAGTGCTCTGTCTGGACCAAACCCTCATCATGTAACTTTCTAATTGGTTTAAATAAAACTAATATTCTGCAACGTTTAGGTGCTGAAACATTTCTAGCGTTAGTGTGAAAGCAGCAGCTTTTGGTTGAACTCATGGCTGAAGATTGTCATTCAGCATCATTACGGTTCAATTCAATCGATCATTTAAATCACAGAGATTGTATTGTTTTAAAACATGTGGTATCAAAAAATTAGAGAAGTATTGAATGTTTTGTCAACCTGACTGGAGACACGTTCATATTTTTTCTGAAGAAAGAAACGATTGTTTATCATCCATATGTCTGGAGATAAGTGATTCAGAAAATGAAGGTGTTTTTGTGAAATTAAATGGATCAAGTCGCTGAGTTTAACCTACAGAAAAGCATATCCTTTGACATATCTTTGACCTAAGAGTTGATATGACACTGTACGATGAAGAAATGCGGGATTCAAACCCCTTTACTAAGTTTAACTACTGAGCAAGGCACATCACATACACCTAAAAATGTTCAGATCGTACATTTCTTTATCAGGATGCAGATTTTGACCTGACCAACATTTGATGCTTTTTTTGTTGCATTCATTACCACACTAAATTACAGGAACAAAAAGTCTTGAACCATAAGCTCCAACAAAAGCCGCTAAAAACACATTTCATTATCATCTTATCGAAAAGATTTAACGGCACAGAATGAACATTTTCTAACATTGTTCTTACTTGAGCTTTTGCTTTCTTTCTGTCTGCGTCTGACACGACTTCTTTATCTCAGCAGTCAAGGACAAACCCTTTTTGTATAAAGAGGCACAAAGCTTCAATGTGGTTTTTTTGTTTGGTCTTAACTTTCTAATGAATTTTCTTCTTTTTCTGTGGAAAAAAACACTCATCTGTAACATTATTAAACTGATATTCTGAATAAAAAAAAATACCTTGTTTGGTGATCCGGGGGTTGTCATCTCACTTTCTGTTTTGTCTTCATTGGCTTCTTCTTCTTCTTCTTCTTCTTCTTCCTCCTCCTCCTCCTCCTCATCTTCGTCATCGTCGCTGCCTTCCTCTGGACTGCTAACTTGTTCTGAAGCGGCCTCCTGCGCCTCCATGTGTTCCTCCTGCTCCATGTCTTCGCTCTCCTCCTCCATGTAGAGGGAGTCGGGGTGGCTGACGGGGTCATCCCGGCTCGTTGACGCCACGACGTCCCCTTCCCTTCCGCCGATGCCGTCAGCGTGTAAAGGGCGTTAGGCGTAGCAGGTGAGGACACAGGATCGCCCGCTCCACATGTTGAAGTTTCAGAAACAGTTAAGGCCTCTTTGTCAGGTTTGCTCGTTGAAGGTGTGGTTTTGACCGACGTAGTCTGCTGAAGGTGAACGCCGTTGTTACAGCTCGTTGTGGGCTGCTGCACCTTAGCAGGCAGTGCCGCCGCCGGAGTATTATTGACGGAGCACTGCGTCTGATTTTTGTCACTGCCAGGAGCCACAGACGCACATAAAAAGTCTGCTGCTGCTGGGACAGTTCGAGGAAGGCACTCCTCAGACGCTGTGCCAGAGCAGGAGCTGTAGGCATTGGCCAGCTTGCCGGCAGCGCTCTGTTGCTTGGACACATGTGCCAAAAGGGTGGGTGGGTGCTTCAGGAGAGGACTCGCTCCCGGCTTAAGAATGAGCAGCTTTGGATTAAGAACACCAGAGAGGTGAGGGGTGCGGGAGACCTCTGGTTTGGTTTCTGTGGGCACAGTCTGTGATGGAGCCTCTGTCGCGCTTACAACAGCTTCTCCCGGGGTCGGATTTTCCACAAGAGAAACGTGCTCCGAGATGTCCTCAATAGCAACCACAGGGGATATGAGAGATAATCCACCAGCTGTTGCTTCCGCTTCCTGTTTTTTGGAGGAGACAGGAGAGACACTCACCTGTGTTCGCTCTGCTGCGTCGACCTGTTCAGGTGTGACAGTAGCTACTTCAATGAAACAAACCTGACTCGAGTTAGCCTCTTCACCAGCCGGGTTAGCTTCTAATACCAAGTGCTGCACTGTCGTGTTCACTACGGACAAATTATGAGAACTGCTGGTGCTAGAGCAAGCCTGTGTTAAATTGACTTCTAGTGATAAAGGCAAGGGCTGCTGGGAAATCATGATAGTGTCACTTTCGTTAATTGTTTGAGTGTTCTCGTTGGCGTGATCTAATAACGCGTTGAATAAGTTCACCTCGTATCCTGGAGAGTGAGGTATCTGTACGCTGCTACTCACGCAGATGGTCTCCTCGGCGACCTCCTCGACCAGGCTGCAGAATTCATACACCTCCACGGGTTGCGAGTGTAACTCCATATCTGCCTGAACGCTCTCCTCGTACAGCTTCGGTTCCCCGCTAGAGCTCAGCTCGTTCACGATAGCAGCTTCGGAGATGCTGCCGTCTTCATGCTGTACGAGGTAACTCTGATTCAGGTGCATGTTCGACCAGTCCCCGCTGATGTGAGCCTCCTCTCTGACCACCACTATTTCTTGAGCGGTCAGCTGCGTCTCTGTCGCGGCGGCGACGTCGTCGGAGGGATGTTGTGTTGTTTCTGCTTCCACTTCCTGCTCCTCCTGCAGCGAGACGACTACGCCCGTGTCATACAGAGCGGTCGCAGCAGGGGGTTCTGGGGCACTCTCCTGTGTGGACGAGCACTCGGGCAGCATTGTGACGTCAGACGAGGAGGTGTCAGTTTGTCGTTCTCCTTCACCGCTGCTCGACAAGGAGTCGTCTTTTCCAGAAGAAACGAGTAACGCGGAAATTGATTCACTTGCCTTTGGGCTCTCGAGTGTTTCAGCTGCTGGAGGCTGTGTTTCTCTGTACGAAGTGTCAACAAGCATCTCAACTGATTCCAGAGAGTTAGCATTCTGTATTTCTCTGGTATCATTTGAGAGTTCTTTGAAGGTTTGAGGTTGTGTTTTTGACATGTCAGTTTGTTTAATCTCACTGTTGTTGTCAGTCGACGACGGCAAAGGGAGCGGAGGTGATTTTGAGTCCTGCTCCGCAACACCCGACGGAGGTAACCGCTCCACAGCCGCGTGCTCTTCTGTGTCTTGGACTTTAAAACTGACACCTGATTGGGGGACAGATGGAGATGAGGCTGTGAAGTAGATTTGAGATTGGGGTTGAAAGAGAATATTTCCGCCTGTGTGCTCTTTTCCACCGAGCTCCACGTTCGTTCCAGTCTCTGGTTTATATTCCAACGTGACCGACTTTGTCCCTGTAAAGACCACAAGTCCAGCGGCTTCTCTAGGTGGCTGAGTCTGGTTTGTTTGACTATTCGAGAGGATTTTCTCTTTATCAGTTTGTGACCCGTATTGCAAGTCTTGCACTGTGCTGTCAATCTGTGTATCCGAGGTGAGAGGTGGACAAAGGGGAGCTTGAAGCCTTTGCCTCTCAGCCGAGGAGCTACAGTCCTCATCGAGGGATGTCGGCAAAGGTCTGGAAACTGCGACACCTGCAGCGGGGGCTTCTTTTGAGACGCTGATGATTGGGAGAGTCTCAGGCAAGGTGGTTGGAGGTGGTGTGCTCTCCATGCCGAGGAGTGCAGAGTCGTTGCTCTCCGGCAGTGGCACAATGGACGGGTTGGTGAACGGAGGGACTGGGCGGGGGGCAGCTGCGGCCGGCTGCGGGGCATGCTGAGGTGACTCCCCTGCCACATTCTGTGCAGCCTGGGGGTTGCCACCCAGCACATCCACAGCCGGAGGGGCAGGCTGCCGCGCCGCCTCCTCCCCAGAGCTTCCTTCCTCTGTGCTGCCCCGGCTACACACAGCAGCTATAGGGGGGGATACAGAGTTTTAACAATGAGTCAGGACCATGAGGGGCTTAAAAAGTCAAGTAGAAAATAACTCGGCTCAAATAAAAACAATCAGTTGGTGATTAGGTAGACGGTCACTGCGCTGTATCTGTGTTATTTCTTATTCAAATAAAGTACATTGTATTCTCCTCACCTCCTACTAGTCGTCCAACTCACTATCCTAAAATAGACAAAAAGGCATAGCACATATCTACTTCAACGTCACACTAAACTAACTTACTGCCTCAGCCATAAAAGTCTGTAACTAAGCTATAAACAAAGGTTGGACATGATGTAACATTCACAGTTACAATGTGTTGTATGCACAAAACTTCTCACCTGTCTGTGGTGTGAGACACAGATCTTCTGTGCTTTCTACTTCCAGGATGCTGAAATTAGGCTCCCCTCCACATATTCTGAGGAAGCAACAAATACAAACTGATTGGCAACTTTATCATTTAAACTTGAGGAGCAACAACATACCTTCCCCCCACTTCTTTTTTTGAAAACTTATTTGTAGGATGCTTTTTTTCTTTGATCCAGTGAGGATTATAGTAAATTTTCCAAAAAAAAGACAGGATCTAATGCTAGCATGAATTTCCATAGATGTGTTATTATTAGTAAACATTTTTTTTTTAAATATAAATATTTTAAAATTGTATTTTAATTGTATTTAAATTTTCTCATTTTAATTTTATTATTAAAAATAATAATAATAATATATTTTTTTTAATCCGTCTTTATTGACAAATTTAAAAGATACAAAAAAAATGTATACAGAGTCTTATAGAGGATGAACATACAACAGCAAAATACACAGGAACAAGTTAATTCAAACATAAATCAAGACTAGAGGGGATTATATATAAAAAATAAATAAAAATCTAACTTTTCCAAAAGTATACATCAGGCAAATGTAAGCAGACAACAATCTGGAACAAGGACAAAAACAAAAAATTCAACAAGGGCCAGAAATCAAAACAACAAGAATTTCGACAAGTCAGCACTCAATCTTTCTAGTAATCCTGCAAGATTTCATTTTTTTTTTAAGAATGCAAGGAAGGGATTCCAGATCTCTTTGAATTTGGCTGATTTCTTTTTCATTGTGCATGTTAACATTCTTGAAGGACTGTGAAGTTGGAGAAACTCTGGCAGCTTGAAGGTGATATGTCCCTAACTGTCGATACCATGTGATGCTAAGATGTGTATGATTACATAATGTCGTTTGTAATGATGACTCTATGACACTATATTATTTATATTTAGGTTTAAATGTTTCATACTTGCACTGTTGTTAATTTATTGCTCTGTGTGCCTTTAAATTGCCCCCCCCCCGGGACAAATAAAGTTTTCTGAATTTGAATTTGTTACCCAGTTTTGTCTTTTCTTTAACTATTTTTTTCTATATAGTTTGACTGTTATGTGCTTTGTTAAATGTATTAAAAAATTTTTTTTTTTTTTTTAATGTAAAAACTCAATAAAAACATGTCAACAAAAAATAAAATCATTGTTTTTCAGAGATAAGAAAAAATATTTGAAATAATTTATAATAGCAAACAAACAGGACGATGAGCAACATGTCAAGTCACCAAGAGAGAACATCAGGATATCCAGCCAATCCGATAACTGCTCCATTATTTGTATATATGTTTCTTTTATTTTGGGGGGGAGAGATATCTGCAGCGGTAATAAAAACAGTCCGTGAAGCAGCACTAACCTCCGTTAGCTCCAAGTTGCGTTTGCTGCAGTCGCCCACCGGAAGGGCCTCCAGTCATTCATTTAACGTAAATCTGTACTAACTGCTGCTAAATGTCAACCGTGTGTGTGGACTAGCATCTTTATTTAGCTGTGTGTGGGTCTTGGCTGCGTGTGGAAGATGAACACATCGACTTTTCATTCCTATCCTAATGATTTCACAACCACATGATCGGCTTCTTCCCCCAAAAAATCCCCCAGAATTTAACGGTTAACGCCTTTTAAGACTGCCGGTGTTATGTCGAGAAATGCGTCCCTTCCAAAAAAAAATAAAAAATGCATGCACCCCGCGGAAGTGTTACAAAACGCGATAAATCTGATCTCTACGGGCAAGCTCTTTGATAACAAAGTGTGTGAAGTTTATACTTAATAAAGTTGAGTATCCTTATTGTTCTGTAGACTCGGTAGAATTAGCCTGCGTGAGTATGATCTGCAAACAGTGTTACACTCTAAAGTGTCTGTGGAGTGATTTTATTTTTTTAAAGGGTGGATGCGAAATACGGCAGGATAGTAATTTTCAGAGTGGATGTAGTGTAGAAACTGTGTCTGCCATATTTTTGTATTGTCCTGGCGAGGTGTGTGCAATTCTCGACAGGCGTGCATTTCTCGGCATAACACCGGTTTGTGCTAGTGTGGCTAGCAGGCTAACGCTAGCTTTTACAAAAACACACTGCTTGGGTGGCACTTAAAGGAAAGCCTGCTAACTAGCAAAAAAAAGGTACAAGAGTTGGTCGGGTGCGTTCATTTGATGCGCAGGCGCCCCGTCCCACCCGCGGTTATGTAATGCTGCTCCCCGCTTCAGGAGTTAAAAGCCGTTTTGTGCCGACAAAAAGATAAGTTGCTTCGCATACGAGACAAACATGTGAAAAGTCGCATTAAACCCGCTTCTGCACTACAGAGGGGGACAATCACTCGTGACGTCATTGCGTGGGGTCAAATCCGTTTCTCGGAAGATGTATTTTTTTTAATAATTAATTTTTAACAACAAATACACATTACTTTCCGCGTAGATATGCAAAAATACAAAAAAACACTGTTTTAAAGTTCCATATAAATTTTGCAATGATTAGACGGGGGACTTAAGGGGGACCCCACTGCCCAACGGCTGGAACTTTACAAGCGACAGTAAGGAAATTATATATGCAAGATAATCTATTTTTTATTTTAATCTTTTACGGTGTTGTCGCTTTTCTTTCAGTCATTCCGACATAGTTCGCGGCGGTGTCAACCAATTTTATCGCAGTATGCCCCGTAACAGACGAGCGAGCAAAATGCAGTTTGATTGTGTCCTTTCGTTAGTCTGAGACCCCCCTTCAATTCCCCCATTACTTCCTCCTTGCTCCCCCCCTCCCTCCCAAGGCCGCCATCTTAAGTTCCCACCTACCTGAAATTTCCGACCAATTTTCTTTTACTAAATTCTCGTTGAAGAAGTCGTCATCCGCGTAAAATCGCACTCAATCCGTGTTGCCAGTAATCCAAACTGTCTCCCGGTACCCAACGAGGTACCACTAGGTCCGTGGGAAGAAGTTAATATACGGACCGGGAGAGACTGGGTTTCGGCGCAGAATGTAGCGGTCGCGGGGAGGAGACTTTACGCAGCGAAATGGTGGAGGACCGCTGCTGCTGACAAAGTACAGACCAGAATGAAATCTCGCGAGATCTCGTTGAGCGCGCCACTTAAAATGTTGATACTCCGGATTGTAGTGATTTCTTTAGAGCCCCGTCTGATTAAATAGTGCAATATAACCGATTAATTTAAACATGTTTTGATCATCGCTTTAATAATTATATTGCGGCTGTATTGTACATCTTTCCACACAGCTCAGAATAAATATATAACCCGTAAAACTCCGCTAAAATATATTTATAATAAAAGAGAACAGGATCTTTCATACATGGAGATGTGCAAAACTTACCATTTAAGCCTATGACGTAACTGGAAACCCTGCTTTTATTATCCTATCATAAGATTATTTATATGCAAGATGATTAAAATGTTCTTATAGTATTTTTGTGAATATAAAATATACTTTTTTAATCTTAAGGGTAATTGAAATTTGCCAGAATGTCTCTTAAAATCTAGCAGGGATATTAATTTATTCATAAAAACCTTTATCTGAATTTTTCATTGAAAAAAACCCCAACAGAAATTCACTGCTTGGTCAGAATATTTTTTCTTATGATCATTGGACAGTAGGTCCAACAAATAAATCATTTAGAAGATATAACTTTAGGCTTTTTTATGCCTTTATTGTAGAGAGAGGACAGTAGATAGAGTGTAAATCATAGAGAGACAGTGGGGAATAACATGCGATAAAGGAGCCACAGGTCTTATTTGAACACAGGCTGCTTGTCTGCAGGACTCTAGCCTCCGTGCACCGACCACTAGGCCTCTGTGCACCGACCACTTGGCCACCAGCACCCCCAAAATAAACGATTTAATGTGTCAGTATATTCCCAATGTTCCTTTTTTTTTTCAGTGTATTTTACAGATTGGTGTTTCAAGTAAGAAAGTATTTTTCCCAAAACAAATATTGTGTTGATTGAACAAGAAAGAGAACAAAAGACTCACACAACAGAGTAAACAACAATTCATTTAATAATTAATCTTTGTGGTCTCTAGGGGAGGGGTTTGAAAGGTATAAAATGGTCATATTAAAATAATCGACCCAGTCTTTTCCCTCTCAGGATACCCACTGTCTAATTGTCCTTTGACACAAGTACATATATTTTTTTCAGTTCCTCAGCAGATGTCCCACTTATCCATGTATATAACTTACTTTAGTTGATGAAACAACTTCAACAGTTCAATGTACAGGGCTCCCAAAGTCCCAAATGGATATAACACACAACCAATGACACACAGGCAAACCTTCCTCTCAGCACTGAACAGTCATAGATGAGATCCTTGAAGAGGCCCGGGGGGGGAGGGGGGGGGTTGCAATGGATGCGGCTTCATGTTCACAAGCGTTACAAAGTCTCCGTGAAGCGAGCCTTTTGCATGATCTGAAACAGATTTACTACCTGGGAAGAGAGTACTGGTTGATACCCGAAACAAAGACAAATAACATAACAGTGAATATATTTATTATTATAGAAGATAATTAATGTTAAGAATAATAATTACAAAGGCAATTTCTCTAGACTACTATAATCTGGTCCTGCACATATATAGTCAAGAGGAGACTGGGAAAACAGTAACAGGAAGCTCTAAAATACTGTGTTCACTCACACAGCGTAGCACAGTTCATTTTGCCATTCATCATTTTTAACAAAACAAAAACAAAAAAAAACGAGCAAAAAGGGGTTGAATCTCATCAGTGAAGCTTTGTAGGGGTTTTTGGGGGTTTGGGATTTTTGGGTAAAGCAGGAAACTGAGGTGCGATGCTTACCAATCTTCAGTAAAAAAAATGGTCTCATCAGTAATCTTGTCTTTTCACAATGACAAAAAGACATAAAGACAGAAACAGAAAACCCCACTTTACCACCGTTTTTTTCCAAGAGGGTTGATTTATGCAGAATAGGGCTGAACATATCCCAGGATGAACCCCTTGCCTTGTTTTGTTTTCACAGTGTACATCCCTCTCTGGAAGTCATTTCCAATCCACCTGGAGCTTTGCTGAGGAGCATGGATCAAACTTCACCTGACAAATGAAAACAAATCTGTCCTCTGCCTCTTCATACAGCTTCTGAAATTGACTACTTTAGTAACCAACAGCCAGTACAAAATAAAAAAATACACCAAGGATGCACAGAAACCATGTACCTTTCAATTGCACTGATAGAACCATTGCGCATGTTCCAAGTCTTGCATTTCCCTCCCTAACGTCACCTCCAGTCGCTTTGTGTCCGCCCTGTTCAGAGGGGGACTTGACCTGGTTTGTTGTGTAACTGGGAGGGGCTTATTAGTCAGCAAGAGGAAAAGGGGGGCAGGTTGAGAGCAGCACGGTGATCCTGACATTTCCCTTCATCTCCTCCAGTGTTGTCCCTGTACTATCTGGACTCCCCGTCTTTGTGGGCGCCGTACAGAGCCAGATCAGCCGGTCCTCCGAGTCGAGAGCTGCGCGGAGGCGTGGACGAGCGGCTGGTGATGGACGGAATAAGTGGAGGCGGCGCCCCCATCGACAGAGCCCCCACCAAGCCCGCGGGGGTCTTTGCCAGGATGCCGTTGGGCACGTGGTGATGGTTCAGATGGCCGAGGCGGGCGTAGAGGCCGGCGTGGTGCTGGGAGGCTCCGTGTTGGAGGGAGTGGGAGAGAAGGCCGGGGTGGAGCTGCTCCAGGTGAGCGGCAGTAGCAGCGTGAGAGGGGCCCGACAGGTGGGCGCCCGCGGGGTGGTGCGGGTGCATCCCGAAGTAACGGGCCCGCTCAAAGTCTTCCCTCAGGATCTGGGCGCGCTGCTCCTCGTCGATCAGCCCGCCTCCCGGAGGTCCGAGGTGGTGAGGCCGTTCAAAGTGGTGAGCCATTAATCCGAACTCCTGGCGGACGACGGAGGAGGAAGCATTAGAGGTAGATGTCTGAGGGTGGTGAGAGTTGGCCGCCGCTACAGCCGCAGCCCTCTCCGCCTCCAGAAGGCGCTGATGCTGGAGCAACCGGGCCAAATGTGGATCAGAGCGCAGGGCGAGGTGAGGGTCTGTACGAAGTGCCAAAGCCTCCCTGCGGTGCTGATGTTGCTGCTGAGCTGCTAGCTCCCTCCAGGGGTCCCAGGTGAAGCTGTGAGGACCCTGCGACGGCCCCTGGCCCGGACCATGGGCGAAACGTTCCCCTCCTGGACCCATGATCAACCCTGCAGCTCCTGCTTGGCTCCCCAGATACGCCTCGATGGCTCGAGAACGGTCCAGCAGGGAGAGGTGTTGATGGTGTTGATGAGGAGGCGGGTTGGGCGCGTGTTGCATGAGAGGAACACCCGGAGTGGGAGTCAGCGATAAAGAGGAGGAAGGGGTGCCAGATCTCGGGTGGTGCGGGTGGCTGTTGGGGCGTTCGAAGCTGTGGTTGGGAGCCGGGGGAGGCAGGGTGATGGGGATGTGCTCCGGCTCCTCCTTCCGCTCCTCTTTGACTTTAACAGGCGGGAGGAGGAGGGGAGGTTTGGAGACGGGCGTTGTAGTCCGGTCAGACTTCTTGGCCTGAGACAAAGAGGTGACTGAGGCGGAAGCCGCCGAGGAAGATGGGAGGCTGTTGTTGTCTCTTAGCGAGTGCGACGAATCGTTGTGGTGGTTGTGTGCCGTGGAGGCGAGGGAGCGGGGGTAAAGGTCCAGGGGAGACAGGGCCGAGCGGTTGGAGGGCGGGGGAGTGGTGAGGACAGAGGATGAGGAAGACCGCGGCCTGTCCCTGTCTGCTACTAAAGACGCAGAGCCGAGAGGAAGCCCCCGCGAGGAGGACACCGTCTGCATTAGCCTCTTGTCCCCTTCTCGGTCTCGCTCGCGGTCTCTGTTGAGGCTGCGCGTCAGGTCCTCGATGGGTCCGCCGCTCCCTCCCAGGGAACTGCTGTGGCCGTTAATGTGGGAGACGGGGGTGCTACTGCGGGGCTTGAAGGAGGGGGCGACCGGAGACATTCTCACAGGTTGTCGGCCGTACAGCATATTGTCTCTGCAAAAAATAAAAAAACACAAACAAAAACAGTTAGAAAATGACGAGTTTTCATACTAAATGACTACTGCGCACAATAGTTACATAACAGGAAGTCAAACAAGTGTTCCTGATGTCAGCATCACTAAAAGGCCAATGTGTTTTTAGAGTAAACAAAAAAAGTTCTAAAATATTTATATATATAAAAGGTTATATTGTGCTTATGTTCACATGAAACCAAAACATGTTCTGGCAGGGCTTGTGTGTATTTATTTTCAAATCTATTTTTTTGTACATTTTTTATTTTTATTTAAATTGTACTGTGTTCACTTTTTGTTTGCAACCTTTGCTGCTGTAACAATGTAAATGTCCCTGTTGTGGGATAAATAAAGAATTATCTTATCTTTCTAATGATTGGTCTGTTTAATTGTCGCTCGATAAATATATGAGCACAACCGCGCCCAATATCAGAACATTTTCATAAACGAACATGATGTATCAGACCGGAAACTCGGAATTTCTGATTTATGAGATGAAATTGAACGCACCATAAACCATCAGCCCTTTTTTTCTTTTTCTATAACATGGTGATGATTAAAATCTTGTGTTTTTATTTCTGAAATATAAATTGATGCACTTCAGCACTATTGGCTGCCAACTTTATCCTCCCTGGCTTTTTCCCCCCCTCGTCCTCTCAGACGTTTCAGTTCATTTTGTGTTTCATTTATGACCTTTTTAATGTCGTTGTGAGGTATTACAACCATCCAGCTGATTTCCATACCTGTCTTTTTCATCCTTGATGTGGGGAATATCTCTCCTCTCTCCGTCCTTCCCGCGATCCCTCTCGTCCCGCTTGTCCGCGCCTTTAGCCCAGCTCGGGCCCGCGTGGAAGCCGGACGGGCCGCCGTGTAGACGGTTCCACGGGTCGTGATGGTGATTGGGGGTGGGCAGACCTCCGACGACATTGGGCGATGGATCTTTAGGACCAAACACAGAGTTGGCTGTGGAAGAAAAATATTTTTTCATTGTAAGAAAACAACGAAATGCAAAAGATGTTTCACAGATTGGGACACATTTCTATCTTTAAACCTCCGATTTTCACGTTCCTGAATATAATTTTGATCATTTTTACAAAACTTCCATCGCCGAATGTTGAACTTTAGACCAACTTTACATCAGGCTTATGTTAGGGATCATATCATCATGTTGGGTATGATAAAAGTAGCAGGAAAAACTTTTCCTCTGTGATACAAGTTCATATTTTAAATCTTAACATGCTTTGTATTTGAATAAACAACTTCTGTTACACAAAGGGAGTCTTGATCCAAAACAAGTTGGTCCATGCTAAATCCCTTTTTGTAGCTGATGAGGTTTAGCACTGTGCAGTGTAATGAACAATCTGCCCGAGCTCGGTTAAGTTGTTTCGACACAAATGAACTCCCAACAAACCCCCTGAAACATGCTCTCTTATTGGACTTTGATTTGAACAGTTTCCAGTCTGCAGAGCGACTCAAATTAATGCATTAAATCCTGAACTTGTTTATCAACGACAAAGCCCGGCGCCCTAAACAGCCAATCGACACGCATCTCTCAGTGATAGCTGAGTTGGAGCTGAAAGAGGAGAAAAGCAGACTAAGCCAACGTCGACATGTTTGTGCTGCTCTGGAGTGAAAGTCAGAAGGGCTCGGTGTTCAGGAAACCAAACAACTTGTGCATGAACAATAAAAAATCTCAGGTATCCTTCTGTTTAGTAGAGCCTGCACATTATGAGAATGCATTGCTTTCTAATTTAGTGGCTCTGATTGGAAGAGACGTGATATATCCAACAGCCGCTGTCTCTATCAACATGTAACTGATCGCATGAAGACAGGCTGAATGAAATCTCAAACTTTGAGCTTTGTGTTTCAAGACAACACATAGTGTAAGACTGACCCAGTGTTGGGCTGCCGAGTCCTCCGAAGGCACCAGAACCGAGGGCTCCCAGTGGAGTAAAGGGCGGCGATCGGCCGTACGGATCTAAACAAAACGTAGTCACAAATCATTAATACTGCGTCAGACAAACATTCATGTGTTAAACTTACAACACAGGGTAAAAGCTCGGCTAAAGCCAGTCAGAATGTGGTTTGTTTTTGGTTTTAAACCTGCGTTCATGTGGTGACCGACACATCAGTAAAACGAGTTTCCAAGTTGGAAAGTGCACATGAACACCTGTTGAAGTCTGAACAACTCTGAAGCCCGACTTCCCAACTTGACGTCATATTCATCATCGCTTTGGGGACAAAAGGTGTTCTTTGTTAATGCTAAGATACTCTTTTATTAATTCACGTTTAGCACACCGACTTCTTGCTCGAATAGAACCCAAACAGAGACATTCATGCTTCTTCTTCACGGCTTCCCCGCTGTTTTTTTTTTTCCTGTCGTTACAACATTCAGACTTTCCAAAATGACAGCCCGAGAACACACTGAAGTTAGAGTAAGAACGACTTCCCAACTCGGAAACTGGGACCATCTGAGGAGCATCTGAATGCAGCATAACTTTTTGGCTCAGCAGCCAATAGGCAGAGCCGGTGAGGTAAACCAGGCCTCAGCTGTTCCTCCTCTCTTCCTCTCAGGCCTCCACCAGCTGGTTTGGTTTGCACTTCACAACACTCAGACTTACATAATTATTGTTACGTCTGTGAGCCGTAAGGTGTATTACAGTCTGTGTTGTTTCCCTTTTTATGTAAATAGTCGTGTCAGTCCCAGGAGCTGATTGGCCAATCAATTTCCTGCTACCAATCGTATGCTGCAGAGATCTGTTCTTAGTCGATTTTGTGTTAGAAGGGGGTGAATCGTTTACTACTTTAACCTTGTTTATCATTTTTTGGTTGGTTAGGGCGGTGAGTTGGTTGTCTTGAGATTAGCTCGTTTCACCAAGTTGGCCTCGGTTTTGTTTACGTTTGGACACCGATCACCCTTATCCTTAGTTATTCAAATTGTCCGTATCCTTGTGTATTATCTAATTCCTCAAAATAAACCACATTCTGCTGCTTGGGAAATGAGGGATTTGGGTCTTTGTTCATGTTGTGCCTTGGCTTCCACTAGACCAGTGGTTCTCAACTGGTGGGTCGTGACCCAGAGGTGGGTCGTGAATGCGTGCCTAGAAAAAAAACTTGTATAGAAAAGCATGTGAAGCGCTTTTTAATCATGTTTGTTTTTGTTCAGTTTCTTGCTTCTGTCACATGTTTTGTACCGACTGAGGTCCAAACCGCTCAATTTGTCAGTAAAATAAATCTGATTGGTTGAAAAACCATCACAAATTTGGGTCGCGATTTGGTGGAGGGTCCTGAGGCTAGACGAATTGAGAACCACTGCCCTAGACGCGGCATAACATTAAGATGTTTTAACTTTAGTTTATAAGAAAAGTACTTCCTTTAAAGCTTGTTTCATGTGTGATACCTTTTTCTTTGTCGCTTACTTTGAGCCAGTTCTTAACAGAAACACTCTTTGATAACATCATCACAACTGCAGCTGGAGTTACATCTTTCATAACGGCTATAAAAGATTAAACCAAGAGGGATTTAATTTATGAATGGTGTACATCAAAGTGAAATCTGCAGTCTGCAGGGAAACGCAGCGACACAGATCGGTTGTGATGCATGAGTGACATTTCCATGTCCCCCCTTTTTGAAGCTCTCTCTCACCCAAGTGTGCAGCCGGTGCGAGGAAGGAGGAGTGCGGCGCCGATGGAGAGATGAAGGGAGCCGAGGACGGATTGACTGGCCCTGAGGGAGAGAAGTAGTGGTTAAATAAATAAAAAATGTCATCAGGAATCAAAATCAAATGCACAGCAGATCTACCGACACGCTTCATCTTCATCCTGTGAAACCTTGCGCCGCTCCTGTTGATACTTATTTGTACGACACTTATGATGTTTTAAAAGAACACAATTAGAATCTGAACCAAAAGGGCGTCAGATAGCTTAGCGGTTTACAATGTGCAGCCCATGTAGAGAGGTTATACTCCCGGAAAAAGGCCGGTTCACGCTCTACTCTGACTCTCAGTGATTTGACAAACTTCATCCCCCACTCGCTCTAATCCCAGATTCTTCTCTATCCACTGTCCTTCCCTCTGAATAAAGGCATGAAAGCCCCAAAAACATTGTACAAGAACAAAGCAAACCCCACTATGCCGGCATTGAATGCAACGTTTAAAATACATTAAAGACAAATCGAGGGGGGACAAAACATCCCAGTCAGCTTGAACACAAGTGGGAAGTCTTTTTAAAAGTTTGATCAAATCAAGAATACATTCACATTCTGAATACTAAACATGAGTGGAAAGAAAGTGTCCAGACATAAACCTGTAGCTGAGAACAGACTGGGAGGTCTGGTCAGGTCGTGAGTGGGAGGCAGTCCTCCTCCGATGGGCCCCATGGGACCGAGACCTCCAGCTCCAGGAAAACGAGACAGCAGGTCACTACGGAAGTCCAACTTGTGAGGATCAGCCTGCATCAGCTAAAAAGACAAGAGGAGAACAATTTACGGCATTCGGGGGGGACACGGCACTTCCACTTCAAACCTCTCTCTTTTTTCCCCCTGATTAAATGTATTGATTACAACCGCTTTCTTCTCTCTCTATATCGCCGTTTAATAACTAAGAGGCACATACCTTGACTTTTTTCTGATGGCTTAGAATCATCCAGGCCACATAAACATGCATAGCGCACCATTTTCCTGGTTTCTGCACAGAAAGAAGATCACAGGGGTTTACTAAGTCGTTCAGTGAATCTCGCCATGTGCAACTTTGAAGCCTTTTGCACACAGAGTCAGATGTTCTTCTTCTTGTACAGAGATATCTGACCTAGCTTCTACACAAGAGTTTACTCATCCTTCTGGAAAAGAAGTTTCCTTGTCAAGCTTTTTGTTTGGATTTAAGTACAAAAAAAAAAAAAAAAAAAAAAAGTGAGAAAAAAATTGCAGGGAAACAAGAAAAAACTAACAGCAGGAGACATTTTTAAACCACAGATTCTACATGGCGGTAGTTTCTGGGTCTGATGTCTAACTGGGTGTGCAAGGGGGGCAGAGATCATAGATCAGTAGCAGTCGGGATTACAAGTGAGATTAGTGCAAAGAGTGAGTGAAGCAGTGAGAAAGTAAAAAACAGGCTGAAGGTTTTAAGGAGCCAAAGGGATTCAAAATATAAACAGCTGTTTGGTGCTTACATTACTGACTTTCAACGATGTCCCAAATGGATCAGTTAGCTACGAGAGAACACAAGTGTCAGACCACTTTTAATCAACAGTTCTCAGGAACAGTTCTGCACTCTTTACTCTGTGCTGCTCTGACGAGGCCCGTGTTGTAGCACATCCTAACCTTCAGCTGGCTGGTGACATCTAAACAGTTCTATAGGAAAACATCTGACGAGGAATGATGCAAACGTTCATGTTTTGGAGGTGCGCATGTTTAACTCACCCGTGGGTCTTTGGGCTGCAGGTGGTGAGGCACAACCCCGAGTCGTGCGGATATATCTGGACCCGTTCCCTGAGGGACAAGAGGCTGTCACACACACAGCACCATCAGACACAACCCTACTGATCTACAGCTGATTCACATCTGATGTTACTCTTCTTCTTAGCGCCACATGTTGGGTCATGATCATACTGTGTAACCGACACTGGAAGAGCAGAGTGCCAGCTCTTGCCTTGATTACAGTTAGTTTTCCAAATGCATTTTTAATGACCTGATCAGAAGCGGAGAGCCGAACACATAATCAACATCATCACGCCTCAAAGGTAAAAGCTGAAATCTTTGAAACATGCTACGTTTCTTTTAATAGAAGTTTAAAGGGAAACGTGGAAAGCTATCAGGTCAGACTGTTGCCACTCCATCACAAGATTTGTTCACACCAAAATTATTAAGAACTAATTATAAACGCAGACAAGCTGTTTGTCATGTTGTGAAATTGATTTGATTGCTGTGTTTGCTCAATTTATGTCATTCATTATTCTTACATGGATTTAAAGAGTTGTAACTTTGCTCAACCGTCATCACGTCTCTGTACTTTCATGTTGATTCTGCGGCGGCGTAATATCGGTGTACCAAGTCTGTGAATTCACAGGCACAGTGGGAGCTCCACATGACGTGTTTTGGGACCAAACTATCCACTAAGGAGTTCCCTGAGAACTTCATACCATGGGGATCTTTTTTTTCTGTCTGCATTCTCACCGCCATGGTACCTACTTTGAGGCAGGAGCTAAAAAGGTTCCTCTAAACGCGGTTCAAGGAACTAAAATAGTTCATCGTTTCTGCAGGGCGGAATGAAAAAAGAAAAAGAAAAGAGGATTCCAACCGTTCCTAGAATAATGAAAAAGTTCCTGCGGTCCGACATGCACGCACACACAGGGCTGCGCTACATCGCTGGTGTAACGCCTCTGTTACTGAAGACGGTCCCCCTCTTTTACGCCTCCACATTGAAGGATAAAGGTCTCAGGGGCGTAAATATTGCGGTTTGAAAAAGCAGTCTGAATAGGACCGGTCAAGCTTGGCAGGTAGTTTGAGTGATTTTATGACTAAAGGGTTTCATCCTTTATTCCCTTTTATTTAGAGATGCACATTTTGATTATTTTGCCAAAGCTGCAGTCATCAAAACTAAGTTAAAACAGCGTCAGAATTTGGGAAACACACAAAGCTGGAGTCGCTGCTCAGCTCTTGATGCTCCCCTGCTGTGACAGCGTAAGAGCTCCTCCAGCGCCTGTTGACACCCCGTGGTTAATCCTAATGGTTATCAAACGCGTCTCGTATTTTCATCAGCTGTACTTCTCGGTGTGGGTGACGAAATGAACACTCAGTCAGGCAGGTAATGTGAGATTCCAACCCCCCATGAGGTGTAGTGGACACCCAGGAGTAATTAACACAAAAGTTGCACGGAGAGTGTTTCTCACCTTTGGCTGAAATGCTCCTTGCAAGGAGCTGAAAGGCCCGGTGGGAGGAATCACAGGCTGGATACTCGGCACTGAGGGCGGAGGGTACTGAGGGAAGAACTGCCAAGACACACAGACGCCTTGTCAGAATCCAACTGAACAATTTAACTGAACATTTCATACTTCTAATAGAATATTTTCAGCTGTTTAAGATCCTATAAAGAGAGATTAAATATATTCTGATCCCTTCTTTTTTACTATTTAATCAGCTGTATAATCAGATCAAGATTACAGAAGTACTCACAGGGTGTCGGTACAGTCCGTCCATTTTGCCTGGATACTTATCAAACTAAAAAAAACAAAAGCAGTGCGTGGGTTAAAACACGACAATCATCCACATTTCAGCCGCACAGGAATTTTCAAATACAGCACAGATGTTCAGCAGTAACAGCGGGGAAATCGTCTCACCAGAGGCGGTGCGGTGGCCGTGGGGTGCAGGAAGGGCGTGAAGTGTTGGTGCGTGTGCGTGTGCTGGTGCTGGTGGTTGTGCTGATGGAACTGGAAGGCCAGCTGCGGCATGCTCGGCTGGTTCTGAGACGTCCGGCCTGACGAACCCGCCGTGGAGCTCGATGCCGACGGACCGCCGGGAGTGGAGCGTCCTGCAGCCGACGAGTTGTTTTCAGCCCCGGGGACGCTGCGTCTGCCCTCGCGCTCTTGTGAATTCAAGAAGTGGGAGTTTAAGTTTTGACGTAATATTTCTTGTTCTATAGCAGAGGGCATCAAAGTAAAGGAGAGAAGGCGTTGAAAAGGAAACGTTCACATCAGTGTCGTACCACAGACTGGCTGTTTAGTACAACATAAAAGGACAGTTTAAGGTCAAATGTCTCTCACACTCTCTGGCTTCCCTTTTTGTTTTGTTCGCTGTGTTTTTTTTTTGTAGATTTACTTCTTGTGAACACTATCTTGCACCATCACCCTGCTGGGTCGTAGTCTCTGAGTGGGGCTGTGATGATACAGCTTGTCTTTTAATCTTTTACAGGCGTCTGCTTTCACTTGAATCTTACTCGTACTTAAAAGAAATGTATCTTTAATAAATTGTATTTATCCTCATCTTTGCTTATAATCTTATGACCTGCATGTTTTCTTTTTGCTGCCTTTGTGAAGACATTTCTAGCTTTGACTTTTAAAACGGTTCTAAATATAGTGAATGGACTTGAGCTTGTTTATTTCTTTTCTAGTCTTCTGATTACTAAAAGCACTTTAACACCTCAGGTCACACCTCCACATTCACTTCCTGATGGTAGAGGCTGTTGTGTAAAGAGACCATCAGAAGGAACTAACCCTATTCATGCACATTCATACAAAGTCGACAAAGCATCTGGAGCAACTTAAGTGTCTTGCCTAAAGACGCACATGTGGCTGCGGGAGCTGGGGATCGAACCCCTTGACCTTCCTGTTAAGAGACAACCGACTCTACCAACTGAGCCACAGCCGCCATATATAAGAACGTTATTATTGTTATTATTAGCTTCTGCCTTTAACACTTAATATTAGGGATGAAAGAAATGTAAACTGATCAATATCCATATTCATCACATGGGCTAACCAATCAAAATTTCAAAAAGTTAATCGTCAATGTCAGCCAAACATGTTCTCATGGTCCTGTGTGAGATTATTAGAAGGCCCAGCTGTTCTTTTTACAGACACACACACACACAAAAACATAAAATTATCTAAGGTGCTCCCTCTCCAGTCTGCACCTACAGTAAGAGTCTTAAATGCAATCCTGAGACAATTTCATCAATATACAACTTCCTCCACAGCCCAGACAAACTGACACATCGGCCAGAGGAAGTCTGGGTTAGGTTAATTTCAGTAACATGTTAGTCATTGTATCACCAACAAAAGTCTGAGGCAGGAGTGAAAAGAGCGGTTTGTGTTTATCGCACCTGCTGCGTTGGAGTGAGAAGGTCCCTGCAGCAGAGGAGGAGGGGGAGGCAGGCCCGGTGAAGACGTGAACAGCGCCCCTGAGCTGGCTCGGGATGGCGGCCTGAGGGGCCCTGAGGATCCTGAGCCCCTGATGTAGGGCAGCGACACACTGGTGGAGGGCGTTGGAGGGCGCATGGAGGATGAGGAAGACGCGATAGATGAAGAAGATGGAGGTTTGACGGGGGTGCTGCTCCTAAAAAATAAAAATAAAAAAGGCGTTTGTGTGTCAAGAATCATGTCCACATTTATATGAAACAAAACAAACTCAGGTGGTTCATAAAGTGTTCATACCTGTTGTTGTAGATGGAGTGAGATCGTCCGGGCAATGTGAGGAAGGGTTTGGGTTTGGAGAGCGGGGGGCTGCCGTTGTGGCGGCTGCCGTTGCCGTTGAAGGGTCCGGACCGGGGGACGGTGCCTGAGGCTGTGACCGGGGAGTGGGAAGGCAGGCCGAAGGGGGCAGAAGAGGTAGAAAGAGAGAGAGGCTCGGGGAAATGCGACTCCAGGTTTTTCTCCTGGCTTCGCTCCAGGCCAGACACCCGCGGAGTCACCATCAACCGGGAGACGCTGCCACAACGGGCCTGCAGAGGCGGGCAGCTTTTGCCCATAGATGTGCCCATGTTGGCGGGAGCAGGCTCCACAACTGTGAAGAGGAGGACAACAGTTAGTGTTTTTGACTTCCTGAACATTAAGGTGCAGACAGACAGAGACGCTATGTTTACTCCAAACGGAGCAAAATGTAGTTTGGCATTTCTCCTGTCTGTTTCTCCATGTAAACATTAGTGTTGTTTGTTTTTGTCACACCATCTTTTTTAACCAAAAGTTGTCATCAGCAAAAGCGAGAGAGCAGCTTCAGCCCAGTCAAATTCAAGTTTCCTATTTCCTCAGAGAGATGCAACGGTTACATTTACGTCTCTAACAATCAGACAAAGAGCAGAGGAGGTTGAGGTGCAGAAATGTTGCAGATGCATTTGTGAAATGTACACAGTGTGCAGGAGTTTGCCTGTAATTTCCAGTCATTAAAAAAAAGTTTTTTTAGGGCCTTAGGACGCTGTTGACGGCACTAGCGCTCTTTTCCAAATGTGTGATATTCCCCGTATTTTTGCAGACTATGGATCCACATCCGGCCCGTGTCTGAACGGGAAATAAACAATGTAAAAAAATAAATAAACATGCAGTAGAAAGTAACAACGCCGTGTTGGTCGTACAGCAGCCTTTGTCAACAGACTGTTGTCATAGAGACAGGACGGATGCTTCATGCAAGAGCTCCTGAGCGCACAGCGGGCGCTTCTCTGCCCTCGGTGGACACGGGGCCTTAGGCATCAAAATAGTTATTGCTTAAATTTGACATTTACAACCATCATCTGTATTTACTTTTTGGCTGCTTATAGCAACTTGAGGCCGACTATTTCCCGGTTTTGATGACCTGTTAACAACTCTGGTGTTCAGCAGCAGAGCGGCTGTCAATCTGACGTGGTCGTTTCACTTTAACTCAACAAGTAAACAAGCAGCTGCTTAAGGATCTGTCATGTTATATGTGACATTACTTTGCAGCTTGTTGTGTGTGGATATGCTGTGTATTCTGCTTTTTTTCCATACATGCAGAAAATGTACAAAAATCTGCAAAACTAAAACACAAGAACTTCAGAATTTGATTCACTTCAGTACATTTCTGGATCCAAACATAGAAAAACAGGAAGTCATACCTTTCCTCGTACTGACTGTGAAAACCGGGTCCATGTCGTTGTCGGAAGCCTAGATGGAGAGAAAAACAAGGTTTGGTTTAATCTCTACTCAACTGAAGCAAGAAGCTATTTCTTACAGCGCACTTAGATTGCATCATGTTTTACATTCTATTATAGCACCCAAACTATTCAAGAACATTGATTGTTTTTTTAACCAAGAAATCAAAACAAAGTTAATCCAGACATTAATGTCAGAAAGATAACAAAGCCAGCAGTACACACCTTGTCTCCTGTGTCACTCTCAGTGTCACACTAAAAAGAGACAAAAGGAAAAATCAGCGTTATCATTTTCATCTATCGGAACATTTCAGGTGATAAACAGGTTCAAAGCAGTCTGCACGAGTGTTACACCATGTTGCAGGAAATAACATCATCATGTTTACTTCAATGTACGAAACACTCACAATGTAGCCGGTCTCCAAAGGATGTCCCTGGAAAAAATAAAATATAATATTAGCTTAAAATAATGAAATGTACAGAAGTTAAACTATGATTGTGTGGATTATGTTTACATAACAGGGTTGTCACTAAACCACAATTTTGAACTCATAAGATGCTGATAAAAATCACAACAGCGTATCATTTTGGGCGCAGGTGGACTAGCGTTTGTGTCTCATGCCCCATGTACAGAAGCTATAGACCTCGTCGAAGAAGGCCTTGGGCTCAAATCCGATCTCGGCCCTTTGCTGCATGTCATCCCCTACTCTCTAATCCCCCAAAATGTCCTGTCTCTCTTCAGCTGTCCGGTCCAACGAGGGGAGAAACGCCCTTTCTAAAAAACATCTAATCTTTTTATCGATACCATGGGAGTAAAAAGAACAAAGTCCTGAGCACCCGATATTGGGTAGTTTGGATTCAAATAAATAGCAAAAAAACTCCTGCACACGGTCTAGATTGCACAACTTTTAGGACCAAAACATTGCCACAGTCTTTAGACAATGCTCTCTTGTCCTCGCAGCAGCTTTTGGATAAAAACATGACTGAAGATCTGTAGATTTTTTTTTACAACCTGGGTACTTTTCAGGTACTTTTCAGATACTTTTATCATCAAAATCATGCAGATTGTATCGTTTCAAACCCAGTGGTATCGTAAAGGATGTTACTGCACCGGTACATAAGACGCTGTTCAGTTTTTGCGGGGTTTCCCAGAAAGAAAAAAAAGGTTAAAATTTTCTTCCTGCATGATGATTTCTGTTGTGTTCAGGGAAGTCTAGCACCGACTCCGCAGGTCACTCGTTAACTTGAATATAGAACTCTATCAATCAGAAGAGAGCTCCACAGGGTTTGTTTACGGAACAATATGCCACCATTTGCTTTAAATGTATGAGTCGCTATGTATGCCGGCACAGCGTACAATCACCTTGCAATACACAACGACTGGGGATGAATTTTCAGATCACGTCAGGTCGTGTGCAGTGGGTGCCCTCGTGGTAATGACTGCGCGTGTTTTAGCATTTTATACAGATATATTGGCCGCACCGGTGTGTGAGACACAGCCAACTTTTTAGATGAAAACATAAGTATTCAAATGTGTCGTTTAATTTGGATTTTACTATAATGAAAATGATGACAACCCTATTACATCGTCTTCTTCCTGGTTGTAAGGACTGACCTTGCAGAGCTCGTTTAACATAAACAACTCTGCATGATGTGTGTTTAAAACCGGTTTGACGAGGTTAGGATGTACAGGTGAGCAGCACGACCAAAACGTAAACAATGTGTATTTGATTTAGAATTAGCTGATCCGTCTCGCATGACGAGATGAACCAACCACAACACAAAAGCACCCGGTGGAGTCGTGTGTTTACCTCTATCCTTCTTCTTTTATTTCTGCTCTTGCTGCTGGAGTGGCTGTGCGGGGCTACTTCCTCCGGCTCGGACAGTGGCCCTCCGCCGTTCTCCTCCGGCCCCCTCTTCCCCTTGTTCCTCCTTCCCGGCATGTCGGGGCGCTGACTGGGCTTCAGAGAGCAGTCCATCTGATAAAAGAGGAAGAAGAAACCAAATTAGCAGTGTTTACGCGTCTACCAGTAAGCATGAATGTGTTTCCTTCAGGGCAAAGACCACAGGCGAGCTACATGCCCATTAATGTCCTGATAGAGCTCATTTCTGCACTGAGTGATCGCAAAAATAGAAACAGGTATGACATAATGCGATACAGCATCCTGCATCAGGCTATTTCTACAACTGTCTGTGTGAAGACTCAATAAGAGAGAGGGAGACATGTTGCATATTATTTGATCTTCATAGTTTATCCACCTTGTCAACAAATATGAGGGCTAGCCTTAAGACGGGCAAAGAGTTGAACGAAAACATCTCTGACAAATAGCCACAAGAAAAAAAAATTGCCAGTAAGATATTTGAATATTAACCTCTTCAGGCCACACAAGAATTTATTAGACTATAAAGAAAGAGAAAATCCCTGTTAAGTCAAACTGCTCAAAGACATGACCAGTCGGGGATGATGAGGTGTTGCTTTGTCCTGAAGCTATAAAAAGGTTGGACACCGGTGTTTCATGTGCAGAAACACAAAGAGTACCAAATGTTTTTTTTTTCAATCCCCATGAGAGTCCTGAAGAACAGAAGGTGCGTTAACCAATAAGGAGAAACTGATTGCTTGTACCAAGAGAGACTTAACATCCAAATAAATACATTTCTAAAGGAGAAATAAAATAAACCTTTTTGGAAATTACATTGCACGGCTGCTACCTATATTCCTCTCTTTATCTGTTTAATTTTAAATCCAGTTGCTTTATCATTTTAAAAGCATTTAAAGGGGATATGTAGTCTCTAAACTGCCACACATATCGTCATCATGCATGGATGAATTTAGAGCTGTGATGCATTAATCATTAATCAGAAACTAATTTAGAGAGTAAAATTTGAGTAATTTCTCAAACAGATTTCTCTGATTGCAGCTTCTTAAACGTGATTAATATCTGGTTTCTTTGCTCCTCTATTTATGAATGTTTTTGTGTTTTACTTCCTGCGAAATGCTGAAGGATATTTCTTTCGGCTCATTGATTTACCGAGAGAATCATCAACAGATTAATCTACAATGAAAATAAAAGTTAATCGCAGCCTAAATTTTGTCGGATCATTTAAAATAATCTATTTTCACACACAAAAAAATCTGTGCTGGGTGAACCTGAGGAAGCTTCAGGTGAAACATGTTAATCACAATAAAATACAGTAAAGTTATTTTCAGTGTGCCACAGAGTTTGGATTTATTTTTCATGGTAAGTTCCTGTAATCGTGCACACCTGAGAACGTGCAGTCTATTACTAAATAATGAAAAATACAGCAGCTTGCTTATCGACTTGCATTTTGAATAAAAACTAAAAACTCAGCTTTTAAGTGCAGGTAAACGTGTCTGTGTGATTGATTGAACTGCTAGTTTGCTCATGAATCATAAATGATGACTGCAGTCCATTGTTGCTAAATTACTATAATCCAACTGTTAACACTAATATTTTGTTTTTATGTTCATTATTTTCTCATTTCTAGAAACCTCTAACCCTGACCCATGGTCTTCAGTGGTTAACTTTTTTTAAAGATTTATTTTGGGGCTTTTTTATGCTTCTATGAGAGAGACAGGACGGTGGATAAAGTCAGAAATCAGAGAGAGAGAGTGGGGAATGACATGCGAGAAAGGAGCCACAGGACGGATTCGAACCCATACCACCGGCCAGGATGACTACAGCCTCCGTACATGGGGCGCACACTACTCTACAGTGTGGTTCTGTGGTTCATTTTAACTGTAAATTCACTTTAGCAGAGGGAGCAGAGGAACTGTTCATTAATGAAGCAGATTCAAAACTAATTCCTGACATTATGTAGCAATCAACACAATCCCATCAGACTTATCCTGACAGACTATTAATTGATATTTAATCATTTCCTCTTCATCAGATTGAGAATTGTGACTTCTGAGGAAAAAATGGACGTGTGATGTTTATAAGCTCTAAAGTAGTCTAACGTCCCACTTTGATGGGTAGACAACCGTACGTCATAAACGAGATCTCTGATGTCACATTATTGCTTTTAAGTGGAATTTAATTTTCTGAAAAGCCGTTTGGCAGCTCATCAACAGCTCACAGAATTAGAAACATGAATAATTAAGGCCTCTCCAGAACCCATCAGAGGGATGCCTTGGGGTTTGGCCTGAGAGGATCGCTTTCTCCGAGCTAGGAACAGTGTCAGGGGTTGAGGAGTTCATTGTGCACATCTAGATGAAGGAAGGCATGATTTGATTCAGAGAAGTAAGCAGAACAACGATCAAAGACAGTCATCCGGGACGCCTGTTGTTTAAAAATGATGGAGAGGAATAATAAAGAGGCGATTCATTAGCCTGAAGACTCACCTGTGTACAGCTGCCTTTCATTCATTTTGTTTGTAATAAGTTATTTCCCTTTATAGCCTTTTCCCTGTTAGCTGTTAGTGTTGTCCGACCCACATCCTCCTCTCTGAGTATGAGCTTTTACGATCTGACAGACGATACAGAGACCCCCAATGAAAACTGAATTGTTCTTAAAAACTTGAGTCGATCAAAATTCTGATTAATTTTTCTGAAGGCTGTCTGGGTCTCGCTGTGGCCTTATATCTACTTATCTTTTGTCTCCTTAGGTTGTGTTTTATGCCGATCTTGCACAATATGAGTGAAGTGCAATATATGTTGTTGTTTTTACGTTTGCATTGTTATGTGCTTTTCCTGTTTACATGTAAATTGTGTTTGTTTCTTGTTTTTATCTATTAAAACTGCTATTTACTATGCAGCACTTCAAGTCCAAGACAAACTTCCCCAAGGGGATACTTAAGTGCATCTTATTGCATCACTTTAGCCGTCTTAATTTCTTCTTCTCGTTCATTGTCAAGGTTTGAATGATTTTTTAAATGCCCTCTTTGAATGCGTTTTCTTCCCTTCCCTTGTTCACTTCATTTGTCTGTCTACTCGCCGTTATATTGAATAGTTTCTGCTTATATTATGTCTACACTCATGCACTTTAACTTATGTCAATACTGTCTATTTACAACTTTGTTTTTGCACATTTACATTTAATCTTTCATATTTTAGAGTAGTAATGCTTAGCTAAATCCTGGTTGTATATATTCCATTCTTAGTTTTGATATTTTTAGTGCTTATTTACTTTGTATTTAACATTATATTATGTTTAAATTTGCTAATATTGAGTTCTTTGCTCGTATTGTGTGTTTGATAACCTGCTGCTGTAACGCCACAATCTCCCAGTTTGGGATCAATAAAGTAATTCTATTCTATTCTATTCTATTTGTTGTGATGCTTTTGATGTCTTGTGTGAAGCACTTTGAACTTCCTTGTTGTTGAAATGTGCCGTTTAAATAAACCTGCCTTTTCCTCTGTTTATACAAGCTTGCATAATCACTCATGTTTGATGTTTGACAGCTGATGATTGGCTGTCAAAATAAAGGAAACGTACCTCCAGAGCCTCTAGGCTGATGAAGCTTGAGATAGCAAAGCCATCGATGATGTCTTCCTCGCAGGACACGGACTCTCTCTTCCTCCGTCGTGGAGGCCTGTGTCTCCCAAACCCGGGCCGGCACTCTCTCCCCCCGGGTCCCAGCACACCTTTAGTCCCACACGCCTGATCCCGGTCGGAGCCTGAGGACAGGGATGTGGCCCTCTCCACCGCCAGGTCCACTCTCCTCCTCCTCCGCTCCCTGTCGCGCTGTGACCGGGACCGTCGGCTCTGCCTGAATCCGGTGCTCCTGCTCGGGCCCTCCATGTTCACACCACACTTCCTTTTGTAACTCCACTGAGGGCCAAAAAGGCACTTTGTTCAAGTCCCCGGTTCAGGTGGGAAGTAGTACAAACCCCACCACCAACACCAACACCAACACAGGCAGGGCCCTCCCAGTTAAAATGGCGTTAATGGAACCAGTGGCTATTATTTACCGTCCTGTGACAACAGTCTCTTGGCATCAGTGCCTTTCTTTCGGCGAAATTTTAGAGTCATTTCACTTAATCTGAAGGAAAACCCAGATCCACGCCGGAATTTAAAACACCCACGGACCGCTCACGGATGTCAGAGCAGATTGTGTCCCGCAGACGGGTTAGCATTCGCGTGCTAGCAAAACGGCTAACATTCGCGTGCTAGCAAAACGGCTAACATTCGCGTGCTAGCAAAGACGGCTAACATTCGCGTGCTAGCAAAGACGGCTAACATTGGCGTGCTAGCAAGAAATCCCAACTGACACAAGTTCTACGCATGTAAACAAAAAAAAAAAAAAGGACAAGGATGTTTGTGTTACAGACAAAGCAGGACGACGAGACTTTTTGGTTGATTTTCAAAATAAAAACAAAGCTACTGTTGGCATTGAGCAAAACAAATTCTTGCTTTTCAGGATTTCGTAAAAAAAAAAAAAAAAAAAAAAAAAAATTTGCACACGCTGACAAATTTATTTGCCTGTTAGCGAAATTATACGGTTAGCTTGTTAGCTTGTTAGCACGGCGACATATCCGACATTATCACACCGTTATGCTTTGATTTCATGGGAGTTATTGTTAAATTACGAATACTATAATTGACAGTTTGTATAAATAAAGCTCAATCTGACGAGTAAAGTGAGCTGTCTGCTCTGAGTTTGACGAGTCGGGTGCTAATGCTTAGCTCATAGGTCAGGTGTAGCCGTTTGGTTAGCTTGTACACAGCTAACTCATTACAGCACAGTATATTCCCAAGAATGCAACCGAAAGAATACAACTATATTCTTCAAAATGTGGTTGTAAAGACTGTGGCAAAATGACGCTAACCGATACGCACAGGCTAGCGGAGCAGTTTATTTCGTAACACCACCAGGCGAGTTGTTGACGGCCGAGTGTAATGGTTGAATTCGCATCGCGTCAAAAGAAAGACGTAACGTTAGCACTCCGGCTAGCTAGCAGGTAGCCGATCCAGCTGTTAGCAACCAGAGCGAAGAGCTTTCAGTTAAAGGAAGCGGAAACAAAACGGACGATTTTTAGCAACCATCTCGGATATAACAACGTCACCTCGAGTTATTTACTCAAATCTCTTCTGTGGTTCCTCTTCCATCATAAAGAAAAAAAAATCAAGGCCCAAATATGAAAGCCTCGGTGTCGATTTCCATTAACGAGGGTGTCGGCCAAGCCCCCGTCGGGCTGGGCAGCTCCTTCATGCAGCCTTCACTGTGTAATGTAATCCACTGTTTAGGATTAAGTTGGACCCCCTCGTCGACGTTTCCAGTCAAAGATGTGTTAAATCACTTAAATCCAGAGTGTAAACACGCGAGGAGAGAACCAGAAGCGGCCCCGCTGCTGCACCTTCACAAGTTTCCACTGAATTGGAAATTTATCGTGAAAATCAGGGAGACACAACCCTTGTCAGCCGTGCAGTGCATTGTGTGCGCCACTCTTCTTCCTCAGTCGCCAAACTGGTTGGTTGGCAGCTCGGCTCGTGTAATGCTGCCACCGTGTGGAAAGAGGGTGTTTTTTTTCTTCTCCCGTCAAAGCTTTCCAGACAAATCAGCTGTCTTCTGTGGTTCCTCTTCCATCATAAAGAAAAAAAAATCAAGGCCCAAATATGAAAGCCTCGGTGTCGATTTCCATTAACGAGGGTGTCGGCCAAGCCCCCGTCGGGCTGGGCAGCTCCTTCATGCAGCCTTCACTGTGTAATGTAATCCACTGTTTAGGATTAAGTTGGACCCCCTCGTCGACGTTTCCAGTCAAAGATGTGTTAAATCACTTAAATCCAGAGTGTAAACACGCGAGGAGAGAACCAGAAGCGGCCCCGCTGCTGCACCTTCACAAGTTTCCACTGAATTGGAAATTTATCGTGAAAATCAGGGAGACACAACCCTTGTCAGCCGTGCAGTGCATTGTGTGCGCCACTCTTCTTCCTCAGTCGCCAAACTGGTTGGTTGGCAGCTCGGCTCGTGTAATGCTGCCACCGTGTGGAAAGAGGGTGTTTTTTTTCTTCTCCCGTCATATTTTGTCAGCTTTCCAGACAAATCAGCTGTTTTGTTTTTATGGTCTGTCATAAACACCCTTGCACAGAGACAAGCTGGGGAAGACATTTCTGTCTAGTTTATGCAGTTAGAGAGTATGTGGACACTGTATTTTAGTTTGAACCCCAATAACTCTGGACTAATAACACATTTCAAGTTTACTTTTTCTTTAAATTTCATTTTATTTACCATTTTGTTTTGTACATCTTATTTTACCTTATTTCATTTGATCTATTTTACCTTATTTTATTTTATCTTATTTTACCTTATTTTATTTAATCTATTTTACCTTATTTTATTTTATCGATTTTACTTATTCTATTTTATCTATTTTACCGTATTTTATTTAATCTATTTTACCGTATTTTATTTAATCTATTTTACCTTATTTTATTTTATCTTATTTTACCTTATTTTATTTATCTTATTTTACCTTATTTTATTTTATCTTATTTTACCTTATTTTATTTTATTTTTACTTATTTTATTATCTATTTTACCTTATTTTATTTTATCTATTTTACTTATTTTATTATTATTTACCTTATTTTATTTATCTTATTTTACCTTATTTTATTTATCTATTTACCTTATTTTATTTTATCTATTTTACTTATTTATTTATCTATTTTACCTTATTTTATTTTATTTTACTTATTTATTTTATCTATTTTACCTTATTTATTTATCTATTTTACCTTATTTTATTTTATCTTATTTTACCTTATTTTATTTTATCTATTTTACCTTATTTTATTTTATCTTATTTTACCTTATTTTATTTTCTCTATTTTACCTTATTTTATTTTATCTTATTTTACCTTATTTTATTTTATCTTATTTTACCTTATTTTATTTATCTTATTTTACCTTATTTTAATTTATCTTATTTTACCTTATTTTATTTTATCTATTTTACCTTATTTTATTTTATCTGTTTTACTTATTTTACTTATCTATTTTACCTTATTTTATTTTATCTTATTTTACCTTATTTTATTTATCTTATTTTACCTTATTTTATTTATCTTATTTTACCTTATTTTGGTTGTATTGCACTGTGAGACGGAGACAAACGCAATTTTGATTCCACTGTACATCTGGCATATTTTGAAATTGACACTAAAGTTGACTTTGACTTTTGACTTTGAGGCAGTGGCGATTCTGAAGTCACAGCGACCAGCATTCCTCACCATTATCTCATAAGTGATCTGACACCAACAAAAGACAGCGAAATGTGAACCTTTTTTCAACTGTCCGTCAAATTCACATTTCTATTATTGTCAAAATGTATTTTTCCACTTCCCATCTGCACAGCTGTCCCAAGAGTCAGCCACTAGTTGAACACTTTAATGATTACCTCAATTCCTTAAATAGCACCTTTAATTTAATGTTTGCACTGCCTGTATTTAATGTCTGTTTTTGATAACTCTGCACTATCTGCTTTTTTTAAACATGCTGTACATATATAAACAACACAACTTCAGAAGGTCAACACTTTTTTATTTTTTTATATTCAGGTATAATTACAGATTTCTTCCTCAACTGTTTTTAGGTTCTTGTTTAAATGTCACATATATTTTTATCCCTGCACGGGTTATGTACATTTCTTGTATAAGTCTATTTTTAATTGCACAGTTTAAGTTTGATTCATCTAGGGGGATTCTTTAAATCTTTTTTCAGGTTAATATATATGTATGGGAGAGAGGGGGGGGGTCTGTTTTGTGGTTTAATTTGTAACAAATGTTTCATGTCATGTACGTCTTTGTAACCTGCTACTGGATGTTTTGAATTTCCCTCGGGATCAATAAAGTATCTATCTATCTATATATATCTCCATATGGAGAACATTTTCCTCTGGTGCCTGTAATCTACTAATGTAGGTTTTCACAGCTTCAGTGCATGCAAAGCTTGACAGAGTGAGGGTTGTCAGATGGGGCCAACTTAGGGAGGTTTCTGTCATTGCAAACTTTGCACATTAAGAGCCACTGCTGTTCATCAGACCTAGGGGCCCCCAAGCACTTACCTTTCTTGCCTGTTGACAAGCAGCACCACTGGGTTCAGGTTACCTTCTTTGTAAGTGTAGATCAAGAGAGATACACTTAATAAAGCACAGACAATACAGGGAACGTAAAAAAGTGCAAATGTATGATACATAAGCAAACATGCAGAAGTGCACAAAGTGCACAGATTTCAATCCTAAAATTGCACGACATAGAACGGGAACAAGGGGTATAGATAATGGAGAGAAATATCCAAAAATTATTTTGCTAATGAATAATTAGCTGGAAAGACTGCAATCTGAATTGAGACAAATACAGCAGGAATATTACCGAGCATTGATTTGAAATGAGAAGTTGCCATTTTTATTTGTCCAGATACATTTGGACACGGCGGAGACTGACCATGAAGGGAAACAAGCAGGATTATTCAAATGCTGAGTGCAAAGGTCCTCAATTACAAGAAATCTATTTGACATTTTTCTATACCCAAAACAGTAAACAAGACATTGATGAGAAAAGAAAAAACATACCAGAGTCATTTGAATCAAGTATAAGTTTATTTAAAAAAATTAATCTGTTTTACCCTTTTTTTCTCTTCAATTTTTTCTCTAAAAAAACAACGCAGGCGATGTGGAAAAAAACATACAAAAAAGTAAGTACCAGAGGAAAAATTCAGAGGATGAATCTGGTGTTGTTGTGATTTTCTTACTGGTTATACATCCTTGTAGGTGACCAAATGTCCGGCCTGTGTGACAAAACGTTTGACACATCTGTATTCTATTTGTGGCACTCAGTCAAACGCCTTTACTATCTTAGAGGAAATGTGAGGTGTTAGAAATGATCTACATAAACTTTGTTGAACAAGCTCAAATGGACACATTAGTTACCCTTCATAGATCGGCCGTGTTGTTTTTAGTGAGCACTTATTTGGAGTAAATGGAGCATTTGTTGGGGACTATTTTCAGCAGCAGATTAATACACAGTTGTTGCTTTAGTGACTATTTGAGGGAGAGAGCATGGTGTGTGTGTGGGATCAAGTCAAATGAAAGTTCAGCTTGTGTGGTCATGGTGATAAAGGACCGTGTCGTTTAGTGCAGTGGTTCTAAACTGGTGGGTCGGGACCCTTAAGTGGGTCGCAGAGCAGCTTTCTGCACTTTTTTTTAAACATGTTTGTTATGTTCAATTTCTTTGTTCTGTCACACGACCTCTGAGGTCCAAACTGAGCAATTTTAGATAAATCTGATTGGTCGGAAAAATATCAGATATTTGGGTCTTGATTGTTCATGAAGGAGTTGTTAGTGGGTCCTGAGACTCGACCAGTTGAGGACGACTGGTTCAGTGCAACAGAGTTATAGAGGACAAAAAACTGTACATATCAAGATTTAATGCACAAACCATACTCCATATATTTGCTTTTTGTTCTACATTCACAGGAAAATAAGAACCTCACAGGCCTCATCTTTTAAAGAAACTTTGCAAGATGGCAGTGAACTGTTCTGTTTTTTTAACATCAACATGTGAGTCCTTGCACAAAAACAGTTCCCATGGGTGTTTGGTCATCATCGTTTGGACCTCCTGGAGAACATCAGAGAGTGCAGCAGGATTCCTGCAGCTACCGAGACGTTTAGAGACTCTACACCGGGGAAAAGGTCCCTGCCAGGCGGGATGGTGAGGAGGGTGTGGCACAGTGAGAGAAGATCCTTAGACAGTCCTTCCCCCTCGCCCCCCATCAGCAACAGCGTGGGCTTAGTCATCTTAAAGTCTGAACACTTTGTGACAGGGACCTCGGACTCCCCCGCGTCAGCTCCGACTGTGCCGACCACCTCCCAACCCTGCGTCGCCTTCGACTTCAGCATCTCCTCCAGGTTTTTGTATCCATACACCCCCATCGCCTCCATGACGCCCGAGCTGGCCTTGCTGACCACTGGAGATAAAGGACAGCTGTTGTGAAGGCTGCTGGCCACTCGGTCCACCCCGAGGAAGTAAGAAGAGCGCAGGATGGCGCCCAGGTTCATCGGGTCTTGAATGCCCTCCAGGATGAGCCACAGAGGAGGGGTGTTGTGTTTGATGTTAGCTGCAGAATCTGTCTTTTTTTCAGTGAGAAATCTCAAAGGGCTGGCCTGCAGACACACTCCCTGATGCACCCGCCCTTCACACATCTTGTCCAGATCCCTCTTGCTGACCCGGTGCACCTGAACTCCTGACTTATGAGCCTCCTCACAAACCTTCAACACAGAGGCCCGGTGAGAGGCCTCCCCATCTTTAACAAACAGCTTACGAGCTTTCCGCCTGCCCTGAGTGAGAGCCAAGAGACAGGGGGAGATGCCAAAAACAACCTCAAAGTCCTCTGATTTGGAGTCCACTGTTGACTTCTGCCTCACCGGCCTCTCCCTCTCGGAGGGGAAATCCTCCAGACACAACTTCCTGAGTTCAGATGACACCCTGCGGTCGTCTCCCATCCTCTGACTGGGCTTTTGCAGCACTGTGCTCTCATTTTTCCACTGTCTTTGTTGGAAAGGCCTCTCACGATCCTGCCATCCATCAGACACTTTGCGCCCTCTCTTCACCACAGGTTTGATTCTGCTGCTGCTGTCCTCTGGGTTCAAACGAGCAGCTGTCACATGGTAAGAGGCGAACTGAGAGACTAATGCAGGCTGTTGGAAACTTCTACTAACAAGAAGCAACCTGTGTTGATGTGACATGCTGAAAACCCACATAATGAAACAGTTGGGAGTAATCCAGAGGCTCTAAGAAGGGCAGCAGTCACAGGAAGTCCTATTTAGATTCAGTTTCAAAAGTCTTCTCTACAAAGACAGAAATATAATTACAGCATTTTGGAAAGATACAAAACCCAAAGGTTAAATGGTGAACGAAGATGTGTCTTAAGGATTTGTTTGTCTAATTTTCTTTTGACCGTTATCATTTCTATAGGCTACCAGCAGTTTTAAATAATGCTCAAAATCGTCATAACATTAGAATAACCATGTTAGTATGAATAAAAGCAACGATTTCACGACCAACCTACACTTCTTTAATTGTTTAATTTTGACGGTTTGCATAAGATAAATCTTTAAATTATAATCTAATTTTTTATCAAGAATCTGTAAAATATAAATATTTATTTTTGAATTTTAAATGTGGAATTATTTAATTAATTTCAATTCAATTCAAATGAGCTTTATTGGCATGACAGATCAACTATCTATGTTGCCAAAGCAGCAACAAATGATAACAATATATACAGTAAACAAATACAACAAATATCAATAAAAGACATTAACGATAACATGAATTATTTTTACAGTGTTTTTATATGAAAATTAATAATTTATTTATTTAATTTTAAAGCGTATGTTTATTTTTATTTTGATTCTTTTTCTCCGCTGGGTAACTTGACGTAAGTGACGCCAGGGGAAAATGTGACGCGATTTTTGCGAACGCGAGTACGTCATTTCCCGGAAGTGAAACTATCGCAACACGGAAGAGTAGGAAAGAAAACAAAATAATCGTTGGAGTTTGTGTCCTGTGTTACTCGGAGAAGACGCCCTGAACGCCGATTTCTTTGTGGATTACCGTTTTTGTGACGTCGAGCTCGGCACACGGTGAGTCTAACACACGGAGGGGGTTTTAGTCTCAAACAGCTGAAAGAGAATTAGAGAGAACAGCTGATCGAGGCTGACAGGAGACTGAACAAACCGGACAGGCCTCTGGACACATAACTCACAGCAGACCAGGAAACAAAGAGCACATCACCAGGACTAACATTTCACTGAATCTGTCATTAAAACACAATGTGAGCTGTTTCAATTCGAGTTATTCAATTCAATTCAAAAAACTTTATTTGTTTCAATTTAAAATCACACAGAGGAGGTACGAAACATTTTAACCTGAATATAAAGTGTCAAGTTTAGATACAACTTAAAGCTTAAACTTCACTTCAAAATACAATAATAATAATAAACAAATGTGTAACTTTGTGCTGTAAACGAGAACTATATAAATCAATACAGAGCTGAATACTAAATGATAAGTTATGAAGGTGAATAATGGAACAACAGAACTAAATATACAATATAACTGTAAAGGTAAAAATGAGATAAATAAAGTGACTGTAGTGTAATGATGGATAAGAAACATCAGGAGTAAAGAAACCAGAGCTGAAATCAAAAGGACAGATAAAGTGATGGAGTGAAGTAAAGTTCATATTCCTCCACATGTTCACCTCTGTGTGCTGTTAGAGTAGATAGAACAGGGTCTAACTTTTTGTTTTTTAATCATGTCATGTGATTTGAATGTAAACAAAAAGCTGAGAAATTTAAAAAAAAAAGAAATTCGTCAGGCAGATTTTAGTCAGTCAAGTGGTTAATCAACATTTAGTCCTGAAATCGTTTTTTATGTCTTACAAACAGTCCAAAACCTGAAATATTGTTATTAATTAATATTATATTTCTAACGTCGTGGTACATCTGCAGTTTGACTGTTAGACAAAGAGGTCGTGTGCTCCAAGGAGGCGAAGGAAATATCTGAAATCATTTTCAGTGATTATGGTTGAAGACTCCGCTCTGTCATCATATCCAAACAAACTACAGTGAAGTAGATCTTTATAAACATACAGTGTGATAAGAACAGGAAATATAGGTGTGCATTAAAAGTCAGGTAAACATGTAATCTCCTTTTCAGTGATTAAGATTTGTGTATTTTGAATGTAAATAATGAGACACAAAATAGCATCAAAATTTAATTTGATTATCCAAAACAAGTCCTGGGGGAGAACCAGTGTCCCCCCCTGCAAGGTTCAAGACCCCCACAAGACCCCGCTACATCTTCACATCCAAGCAAACTGCAGTGAAGTAGATCTGTATGAATCAAATCGAGGAGTTAGTGGATTACAGTGTGGTAAGATGTTTCTTTTTCAAAAGTTAGACCTCGTTCAGATGTGTTAAACTATCTGAATGCTTTAAAATATTAAAGTTTTCTAGCTGGGATTGCTTTAAGCCTCTTGCTGGTCATCCAAACCGCCCCGGCTACTCTTGTACGAGAAGGTGGAAACAGAAGTCTGGCTATTCATTTTCATTAAAAATCATTCTATTGAGTTTCTTATGTGTCCTATCAAACAACTTTTAAGACAAGTGAGTAATAGATTCAGCGTGAGGAGGATTATTTCCAAAAACAGGTTGGTCAGTTTCAAAGTTGAGAAACGTGAACAGATAACAAGAGTGCAACTTTCTGTCAGGAGACTAATGGAGTAATTGAATAGCCGTGTCAGCAAAAGTTTAAAATGGATTAAAAAGAGTTAATAAATGACAGAACAAGTTTCCAGTATTCAGCTTCGTATTTTTTCTTTTAAAGGCTTTATTGTTTAGTCTTTTAGATTTCAGATAACTGTGCAAAGACTCACTCCAAGAAGTCATTTCTATACCTTTCAAATATTACGTCACTGTACTAGAAGCCCAAAGACATCACATTTCAAATCATCTAAAGAAACAGCAAACTCACACTTGGACTAGAGCTAAGTTTCCATGAATCAGACTTTGTTTCTCATCACCACCCTCCTACTTACTGACTCTCTGCTGTTGAATTTCCACACAGATGGATTTCTTATTTGGGAAGAGGAAGACCCCGGAGGAGATGCTGAAGCAGAACCAGAGGGCTCTCAACCGAGCCATAAGAGAGCTGGACCGAGAGCGCTCGAAACTGGAGCAGCAGGAGAAGAAGATCATTGCCGACATCAAGAAAATGGCCAAACAGGGACAAATGGTGAGAGCAAGGGGGGGGGGAGAAGTTCAAGATTTCTTACGATCATGTGATGTCATCCTTGTTAGACACACCCTTCACCTTCATGTTACCTGGCCAACAAACCAGCCCACCTTGCATGTGCCCTATTGACTTATAAACACATATGTGGAGGCATCTGAAAAGGTTTCTTGATGACCCTGAGGAACGCCACGAGCCGAAACGCGTCGGTCTGAATTGTTAACAAAGTTGATCTTCTGACTACAAAGTGTTGATGGAGCATTCTGACCATTTCTTTTTCGATCATCACAGGACGCCGTTAAGATCATGGCGAAGGATTTGGTCCGCACGCGACGCTACGTGAAGAAGTTCATCATGATGAGAGCCAACATCCAGGCCGTCAGTCTGAAGATCCAGACGCTCAAGTCCAACAACAGCATGGCGCAGGCTATGAAAGGCGTCACAAAAGCCATGGCAACCATGAACAAACAGGTCTGAATACATTTATGACACAAATGGTTTTTTTTGCCTTTTATTGGATAGGAGAGCTGAAGAGAGACAGGAAGTGCTGGGAGGAGAGAGTGGGGGTGGCGGGGCAGGTGGTGACATGCGGCAAAAGGCCGAGGTCAGATTCGAACCCACAGCTGCTGAGACAAGGACTATAGCCTCTGTACATGGGTCACACGACATAACCACTAGGCCATCCTGCGCCCCTGACTCATTTTCTTTTTAAGATTTATTTTTGGGTTTTTTGTGCCTTTAATGGAGAGACAGGAAAGTGGATAGAGTCAGAAATCAGGGAGAGAGAGAGAGAGAGTGGGAATGACATGCAGGAAAGGAGCCACAGGTGGGATTTGAACCTGGGACGCACGCACGCACTAACCACTGCTCCAACAAGCGCCCCTGACTCACATTTTTTAAACTCGAAACGGAACAAAACGCCTCCCGTGGTGACCGTCTGATTTCTCTTGTGCCGCCGCAGCTGAAACTGCCACAGATTCAAAAGATCATGATGGAGTTCGAGAGGCAGAGTGAAATCATGGACATGAAGGAGGAGATGATGAACGACGCCATCGACGACGCCATGGGTGACGAGGACGACGAGGACGAGAGGTAAGAGACTGAAAACCAATAAGGTTGATTTTTATTTTGTGAAGTGATACAATTCCAGATTGTTGATCACTTTTTTCACACTCCTGATTTGACATTTTACTCTTCACTGTGACGCCGAGAAGACAAGGCAAAGAAAATCAAATCTGAATGACACTTTCCTGTTTCCTCCTCTCGTGTGCAGCGACGCCATCGTGTCCCAAGTGCTGGACGAGCTGGGTCTCAATCTGTCCGATGAACTTTCAAGTAAGAAATCCAAATGAAATCTGAATCCTGCACTCGTAGTCTTCTTTTGTTTGCTCTTTCTTTTTTTCAAAATCGTTTTATTAGTTTGCACAGATGATAAGAACACATTGTCATAAGAGTTGATATTGTACTGTGGTCATCTTTTGTAAACCCCATTCCTGCCTCCCCCCCCCCGCCCATCCCAGTTAACCCCGTACCCACCCAGCGAGTCAGGAATCCTATTCCCACTCCGGAGGTAGCCTGTTCCCACAGTAGCCTACCCAGGAGTCTCATTCACACTCATGCTAGGACAAGGAGCAAGAAGAGAGAGGAAATAATAAATTAATAAAGTAAATGAAGAAAAAACCATTAGAAAAAAATAAATTAAAAAAATAAAATATATAAATAAACAAAACAGACACAAAACAAAACAAAACAATACGTCAAGATAGTTCCTGAAATAATTTGCTTTTGTTTTCTGATATTAAAAAATCCACTCTCTCTCTCTCTCTCTTCTTAGATCTCCCGAGCACCGGAGGGAGTTTGGCGGTGGCCGGAAAGAAGGCGGAGCCTCAGGCCGCCCTGGCCGACGCAGACGCCGACCTGGAGGAGCGGCTGAACAACCTCAGGAGAGACTGAACCCGTCAGACACTCAATACAGGAACAAGCATACTCGAATCTCTGTGTTTAGAGTTCTTTTTGAAGGTTTAACTGGAGGAGCGGCGAGCGCTTCAGAAAAACGTTTGTGGGGTTTTCATGGCTTTCTGTTTGAGGTGTTTTCTTTTTTTATGAGTGTATTATCCAAATCGATCTAAAACCCACAGGGGTCTTTATCCTCCCTAAGTGTGTGTGTCTGCTTTTTTGCCAAAAAGACACAAATGAAGATTAAGAGTTTCACGTGTGTATATAAAAAGTGATGTTTTCACTTCAACACTAAACTTTACGATTAAAGGCGCCCAACTTAAAGGTCTGAGATGATTGAAGGAGTGGTCCGCTCGTTTTCTACATCAGTATGATATTATATACACAGACAGCTGTTTGCTTTACGATGATTATTTGATTTTCTTTTACGGGAGCTAGCAGTAGTCCGAGTCCAGCTGAAGATTGTGTACAGAAAGTGTATAATCGACACTCTTTTTCTCTTAAGTCATTTACAAAAACGGTTTATACAAGAAGAGCATCTGAAGAGCGAGACGCAGTGAAAGAAAGTGAAGTGGAGCGGACTCTTCACCAGCGGAATAACACTCCTGTATACTGCCGAGTGGAGATGTTTTTAGGAATCAGGATTTTCATCTAAATGTTACGGAGTTTAAAAAAACTGTCCTGGTTTTTGGTTTTCTTTCTTCAATAAACTTTTTTTTTTCAGATTAAACTTTCTGCTTCTCTCTTTAGAGACATTCACAGTTGAGCATTTGTTTTATAACGTATCGCTCAGCACTGGGGTTCTCAAACGTTTTGGCCCAGACACTCAGGACCCCAATGTCCCCTTATCTGGTTAAAGCATCAGACGTTGCACACTGGCAGAACAGAACAGCTTAAAATCCATAATAGCATCACATCTCACAGAACCAAAATTTTAAACAAGAAAAATGTCAGACTTAAAGGCAGGGTTGGTATTTTAAAGTTTGAAAGTAGCATTCCCACAGTGCTACGTCTGCACCCTTCACTCTGTGCTCCCTCTAAAGCCACACCCCCTCACTTACATGCACGAGCGCCGTTGCTCCAGAAGCGGACCTCAAGGGGTAGAGAGCGAGCAGGGTGACAGGGAGGTGCCTGATTGGTTCATCAGATTGGTACCTCGTGGCAGACATTAGTGGAAGTTTTCACAGACTTACAAACTGATACAGATGATGGATTTCTTTGTTCCTTCTCAGAGAACATGAGTTATTAATTTCTGTCAGGACCTAAAGACAGTTTACACCAGAATCTGAAAGAAGTGGATCTGGAGGGAAGTGCAAACCCTGACTTCAATGTTGATTTATTTGTGCAATAAGCCTGTTAGCTCTCATTCTGCGACTCTGCAGTCTGACCTTTTTCAGCTTTATTCTTAAACAATTTTAAACTGTCCTTATCCGAAAGCTTCAAAATGGTTCAATGCTGTCAGATATATCAGTATGTTCTCCAATCTAAGTAAACACACGCTTCCTGATGTTTCAAACCAAACACACACACGACCACATCGCGTTATCGTAGACATGTTAATTTTATTCCAAAAAAATTTTAACTTTCAAAACTGTCAATTTTGTCGACATACAATCATAGAACAATATTGAATGTACTGAACACTTTCCAACATTAAATAATAAAAAAATAACAGCCATGTTTTTATGTACATTTGTTTCTGAAAGCTATGTACAGAAAAACAAGATCAACTGTTTTTATGTCCGACGTCTGCTCCGACTCGCAGCACGCCGGGCAGTTTGAAGAAGTATTGAAGCTGCAGGAAGCCTTTTTGCATCATTGTGTTAAACAGGTTTTTTTTTTTAAGCAAACGCAGCGGGGGCCGGGTAGGGCGAAAAGAAATCACACACAGCGATTGTAAACTGAGATGTACTCAGAGAGGGAGAGATTAACTGGCCGCATGTTAGAGAGCATACCGCAGAACATCGCTACAACTACAGCTAGGAAGCATTTTTTTTTTTTAATCGTCTAATACGGGTTCTCTTGGCGTCTTCAAGAGACCGGTGCGTACACATAAACTCGCCTAATATTTACTGGATGTAAAGCGTAAAGATCGGACACACGAAAACTCAAGATCAAGACTTGCACTGTTTGTTATTACTCGATCGGGTTATTATGAGGAAAAAGGCCGAACACTTCTCACTGAACAGAGCAGCCGGAAATCATGCTTTCAAGAACGATATGTCGTAGTTTGTTGTAGCCCGATGAGCAGAGATAAAACTCCGTTCTGGGGTTAAGCCATGCTAACTCTTTTTGACTATTTATAAACAGCTAAATAGAGTCCATGCAACTCACATAGAAAAAAAAAAAGAACAGAAACAAACCAGGGAACAGAACGTGAGGAATCACCCGTTAAAGTATCCGTGCTGTTTTTTTTTTTTTTTATAACCATGAACACAGAACGATCATCCGTCTGCTTTTACATGTTTTCTGACATCCGACTGGCTTGATGACGTCATGCTGTGTGGCTCAAAACTCCTGATATCACACCAAACATTGATTAAGAATCTTGATTTGAAGTAAGAAGCAGTACACAGCGCGATACAGCCAGATTGACTTTTTTTTTGTCCTGAGAGCGAGGACAACCACTGAGGATAACAAGTTGTAGCCATACTGATTTCAAACTCGTATTTTTAGTCAAAGCAGCAGCCGATCCTCTTTCCTGCACTCATGAATGAGCTCAAAAAATTAAGAGCCAAGTCAGGTGATTATGCTTCAAAAAGAGACTGAACTCTATTTTTTGTGCGAGGAAATCTGATTAAGGATGGCACGGCTGCGGCTACATGTTACAGAACATGCACATAACTGTTAAGCTGCAAACACGTGGACTGTAATCTTGTTGCATGAAGCGTTTAATCTCCCTTTTTCAGAACTGTAAATGACACCAGATCTATCAAGCGACCCCCCCCCCCACACACACACACGGGGAAGCCGTCTCCCATTTTCTTTTGTAGTTTTCGACAGGAGATCTGAGAGTGGAGAACTCTCACACACACACACAGACTCAAAGCAACAGCAGGTTTTTACATGTTTAGCAATGGGTGATGTGTCATGTATCCTCCCAGAAGGCAAGACAAATGTAATGTTCTCTGTTAGCTGGAGCAACGTCTCTGATCCGATAACTCCAGGTGGGATTCACTTCCGACAGGTCCGGTGGGGCGTGTGTTTTTTGGGCACCTCGATGCGACATCGGCTCCGGTCGTCCAGCCAGGGCAGCTCGAAGTTCCTGGAAGAAGGAGAAAGAAAATCAACATAAATAAATACAAATAGACTAAAGCTGTTTTCACATCTGCACGCCTGAAAGTATCTAGATAACTGCTCCGGATATTCTCCTGACTGTTCAAATATGCTCCTCACAGCTGGAGACTAATAAATAAAAAAAACAGGAGGGGTCGTGCATTTTCAGAGCCATCAGATCTTTTGTTTAAGACAATAAAAGGATCAAACATCGGGGGAAATCTTACAGCAGAGCGTCCTTCCTCCTGTAAACGGTGACTGCACTCAAGAGAATCAACCGCTTTGTTCAACATGAAGGCCGATCAAGATTTGCTTCACAAATCAGGTCTTTAAGACGGACAGACTGTCCGCACTGTTATATGCAAATCAGTTGGGATTCTTGTGTGTGGACATCACCGACCTATCAGCACCGGATGCTGTTTAAAAAGGTACAGGCATCAGTTCTACTTGAAACGGCTTCTCAGCTCTCAAACGGGAAGTGTGAGAAATGTCTGTCGTCTTTGTGCGAGTGCTGTGTCGTTGGTGAAGATGTTTGAAATTCAGTTTGTGAGGCCGGAGTGATGCAGCTGTAGAAAGCTCGAGTTTTCTTTTTGCTCTTCTTATATTTCCTAAAACTGATCTGTGTACTCTCTCTGGATGACCGAGACATTTGGATAGAAGTCGAATGAGGTCTAAGGCCTCGTGTCCACCTGGGGTTCTTTTTCATCTCAATTTGCTCCCAATGAGGAAAGAGCGTTTGTAGCAGAAGACGGCCTGTTGACCAATCAGAACGGCGCTGTTCTTTTGACATTTTAAGGGCTTTTTTTATGCCTTTATTTAGAAATAAGGACAACGGACAGAGTCAGACGTTGAGGACAGAGAGAGATTAGGGAATGACATGCAGGAGCCACAGGGCGTGTTTGAACCCAGGCAGCCAGCTTGGAGGATTTAGCCTCCGTACTAAACAACATTGCATCATCTGCCAACATCCTCCATGCTCCATGTCTGAGCCGAGTCATCATTATTACTAAGCTCATCATCCACACAAAGTGGGAGGACAAGAATCGTCTGTTTGATGCTTCTAGAGTGAAGGAGAGAAATCATCTCAGCTGTCAAGAGACTGTCGTCAGCCAGCACTTTTTCTGCCCCAAAAAAAACCACACCGTTTGACCCATGTTTACTAAGACATTAAAAGCCCCACAGGAAGGAGCGCCTCCTGGACTTTGGATATTTGCGTCTTCTCTAGCTTTATGAAGACACTTGATGCTGATTCAAACTTTCTCATGTCCGCACAGAACAAACATTATTACCCTGTGATGAGAAATAACTTTTACTGAAAGCCAATCTTCGAGAAGAGTGGAGGAATCCAGGTGGGTATAAAATGTTGTAATGTGTAGAAGTAAAGTAAGTCAGGAGATGAAACAAAAAGAAAAAACTGCAGCTCTGACTTACTGTTGTGACATTTTAGGCAACGGCCGGCCAAACGCAACCACGGGCAAGAAGGGAGTGATCACGATAGTTTCAACTGGAACACAAACACAAGAGAGTTAACTCCTAAGTACATTTAAAACACCCCAATGACGCCGCCATTTGTCGTAATCGTGTTTGTTTACCATCTTCAGTGTCGGGGTAGAAGGACGAAAGCTCCGGCTCGGTCTCTGTGACGACTTTCTTTCTGTTCATGCGTTGCTGCAGGCGCTGAAACATCCGCTGCTCTCTGATTCGCTGGATGTCCCATCTGAAAAATAAAAAATTATAATGTCTAAAAATGTCAGGAGGAGAGAGGACAGAAGAAGAAGTGATGAATCTTCTACACCAGCCCACTCAGAACAACAGAGCTGCTGAGTCATGTGTGAGATCACATCCATGAAGGAGCCCCTGATAATCTAATGATTCATCCTTTATGTGATCAGATGTTGTACACCGTAAACCTTCAAAATTCATCCTCATAGTTCAGACTTTGCATCAAAAGTTTGTTATTAAACTGAAAAAAGCAACAGGGGAAGATCCTTTATGATTCAGTCACTTTAACTGTTCTTTCAATGCGGCACAACTACTCCTAAATGTACATAGCTACAGATATATTTTTTACATCTGACCAGATTTTTATAACGCTGCTGACAAATATTCTGAGAGCTGTACACTGTCATCTTTGTTTTTGCACATTTACATCTCTTACCTCCAGCAAGTATTTTCACATTTTACATTCAGTTGACAAGCCTGAAAAACAATGTTGTATTGAATTTTTCATATTTTAGACTAGCAGTGATGTTAAGTTAAATCCTTGATGTATATATCACTTCTTATTCTTTTACATTCTAAGTGCTTACCTACTTACTAATCTATTCTTATTTTGTTTTATTTGCTGCTGTAACACCACAATTTCCCAGTTTGGGATCAATAAAGTAATTGTATATTTCTATACACACAACTGCTATATCGATCATAAAATCAAAATGGATGCATTAGAAAAAATTCACCCCGTACGGTGTGTGTCCATGATGACAATAACTAATCAGACCTATTTTGTTGTATGTACCAGGCTGTAAACATGTTTATTTCTGCTGTAAAAACAGTTTTTTGCCTTTGGTGTGTATGTGACTTCCTGCCTCTAGTGGACACTCGAGGAACTGCAGGATTTTGCACTTCCAGCATTGGCTTCACTTTTCAACACCGCTTGGTCTGCACCCTTGAACTATTTTATTCACTGTTTCTCCGGTACACTTTAGAATATAGTTTAAGCAGTATACTTTTATTTGAATCTTACAGTTTCAAAGTCTACTTGTGTGTCGTCTTTGTTTTATATGTTATATCACATCAACTGAATCTGCAGCGGTGTGGAGAGGGCGCTGCTCTTGTGGCGACCAGCAGCTGGTGTTTCTGGTGATATATTACTCAGGGGTGCAAACTGATCTGGGATGAAAAAGGTGACAAGGATCCAAACCCTCTAGGGGGTTTCGGGGGCATTCTCCCCCGGGAAGATTTTCTTTTTAAATATCAGCTTTAAAATGTGAATTTACAGAAGATTTTAGCATTCAGACCGACTAAAGAAGCAGTGCAAACAATAAGAAAAACACAATTGCTTGTCTATATCTATGTTCGGTTTCAACTTTTTGATAAAGCTTCAGTGAAACCTGAAACACCCTTGCTCCCAACCTTCAGTCCCTTTTAAAAATGGGATGAATTTGCAGAACAGGGCTTACCATGTTCTACTAAGGGCTGATGTGAAGGGCAGTCACTATGCAGGCAGCTCTCAGAGCAGAGTCTGAGAGAACATAATGAAGTCATCAAGTATGACAATATTTTCCCATCTTTTCTATCATATATATGTAACATTATCAATATATGAACCTGATGTTTTGCTCCTGCTGATTCTTCTTATTACATGTGTTGACCAGCTGTCACTTTAATGTTGCCTGAGATAATAATGAAACAGAAAGCTTGATGAAGTTACCTTCAAGCTAGCACACATTTCTCTCAACATCTTTACCTCTGGCTACCAAACGGTAAATATTATCAGACAGGATGTTGAACAGAAAGGCTGGCTTGCTACCAGACTACGAGTCTTTCCACAGTGTTTTCACGGGAAAATAAAGTTATGTAAATTAGCCATGTGCAGCACATTGTGACTCAATGAATCAGGTTTCATGCTTCTTGCGGTCACCTCAAAAATTTTGTAACAGTGCCGACTGCGTTGCAATGATTGGCTGCAGGGGCCGGAAGTACTTTCTTCATGCCGTGTTGAGCAATCAGACCGCTCTGACCGCAATCAGTATGAAGCGAATTCTACATTTCCAGTAGACCCCCCCCACCACCACCACCACCACATATTTTTACTGCAGATCTAAATGAATCACACAAATGACCTATTTGGGATCCAAAACGGCAAATTTTGCCGATAAGTGACAAGTTTGTACCCCTGATTACTTGAGTCCAAGACAAATTTCCCCGAGGGGACAATAAAGTGTATCGTATTTTAAATATCAGGCTTAAGGTTGCTCTTCTTGCACATTTAACTGCATATATGCACACCTCCACATCACACTTCACTAACTATGGTTTGAGCTCTTGACTGATTTTTTTAATATCTTTTCATGTTGTGTTGTTTGTGTTTTTTACTTTTTTTAAATTTTGCTGTTATTGTTGATGCTGTGCTTGTATGTGTCGTCATCTGCGTGCTCCTACTGCAAAACAAATTTCTCCTTGTGGGACAAAAAATAATCTGAATCTTAAGTTTAATTATGTAACATTCATCTTAGTGCCACATTATTATTTTTTACTTTTTCCCCACTAAAGATTTCAGTATCAGTGAGGCTCAAGATAAAACTGTAGATTGATTTAAACTAATCTAAAGTCAACCTTTGATTTAATACCTTTTTCTCCTCTTCTCATCCAACTCCAGCTTCATGTGGCGTTTCAGGAACACACCGTCGTCCAGCGGCTTGGAGAGAACACAAATCCATGTGTTAAATGCTTTGATTTGTTTACAGTGATGTCTCGTTAGGGGTTAGCATCGTTAACCATTTTTGTAGATTCAGGATGCGTCTCACCTCTGCGGGGTTACCGGAGTCGTCCTCCTCCTCCAGGGGCTCGATGGGATTTTCCCTCCATGATGGGACTGAGATGTTCAAAGAAGGTAGGACAGGTCGTTACTCACTGACAGTTTGTTGAGGACATTTGATGGATATAGTGATTAAAGATGGGATATAGGTTAGGCTTACAAACAATCAGCATATCATGTACTACATGAGGAGTCCACTCACTGGCCACCTCTTCTTCCTTTTTAGGGGAAGTCTCCCGCAGAGGGGACAGAGGAGGTTGGTTCCAGCAGCAGAGGTACATCTCTGTAGTAGACATGAAGGGCAGATCTTCCATCTGACAGCTCAGCTCAGGCTCCTCTTTGCACGGGAGCATAATGTCCCTGTCGGAGCCTGACCGCATAGGGACTAGACTCTCTGGGGTTTCCTTACTGCGCAGCTCTCTCTGATTGGGAGAGCCCGGCTGAAGCTCCGATTTCTGGGGGCTGAGCTTTGAACTTTTACCCCGAGATTTCTGGACTTTTGGATCTCCAAAGCAAGATTTCCTGTAAGTGCAAAAAGAAATAACAAAACTGAGAAGAGACTTAAGAGATGAATTCCACTTCTTTTGTCTTCAAAAAGACAAAGTTTGAACCAATAAATTAAAACCTTTCCTCGTTGTCTACATCAACTTTCCTACCGTCACTTTTAGGGCCCAAATTTCAAACTTCTGTATGATACATGTAAAAATCGAACCATAACAAAACCATGTTTTGATACCATGGCAACAAAATTCCTAGGCACCCAATATTTCAGTGACTTCTTGTTTCAGTTATAAATAATCACAAACTCTTGCATGCTGTCGTAATTTATTTGTTGCTATGGATCCAGTTTGTTTTTTTCCTTTTTATTGTGTTTATATTATCTTAACATGTTCAATAAATTGACTGATAAAAAATAAAATTGCACGTTGCATATTGGCCAAGACGTTGCCAATGTATTTGTGCAATTTAGAGTGTATGCAGGAGTTTACTTGTGATCATTTGATGTAATAATTTCTCTCCTACACACCTGTCTTATGAAATAGATATGCCATGTAATAAACTACTTTGTTGTTTTTTTTAATCACATACCTGTACATGGCACTGTAAGAGACAAAAAGGTAACTTTTGCTTGTTTTGGGACTCCAAAAGGAGCTTTAAAAACTTCAGTCTTTTAGACGACCGCTGCAGCTTTAAGTTAAAAACATGATTAAATATTTGTATTTTGTTTGAAGCTTTTTGGTAACATTGATCATTAAAGTAACTGTAGTTGTATTTTATAACACGTCTTATTGAAAAGTATCAGAAACTTGGTCACTTCATTTAGTATAAGGAAGATGAGCAAAGTTCAGTTCTGACAGGCATCGGCTATTTTACCTTTTTTGACCCTTGCCACCTCGACTAAAGGGGAGTGGAGTGGCTTGGTTGGGTTGCTGACTCTCCTCTGTGTCCAGATCCCACATGTCCTCTTTGTCGGGGGTCCATGGCTCCAGGGGCTGGAAGAGGCGCTTGTCACGTGGTGGGTCTTTCCTTGTGAGCTGCAGGCGACGCTCCATGCGCTCAATACGTGCAAGCAGCTGCAGAAGAAGAGAAAGACAACTGTTATGCATTCAAAAACAACAGGTTTTAAGACAAATTTGTCTTTAAAAATGTTACATACCGTCTCCTTGTCTGATTTGAGCTCATCGATCTCCTTGTCCTTTGACTGCAGCTGTTGTTGCTGTTGCTCGATGAGGTCCAGTTGGAGGAGGAGGATCTGCCGGAGGCAATTGGCCTGCGTGTGGGGATTTGCAGGGGTCTTCCTGATGTTCCTCCACTTGCCCTCAGACGAGAGTTCAATGGATGCAGTGCCAAGGACTCCAGGGACAACCCCCTTTGCACTGTCATCAGCACCACCATCCTTGGGGTTATTGTTCACAGTCATCTGAGTGTTATCCATGTTGTCAGCAGAGAGGGGTTTACCTTTCACCGGGGTTCCCTCACCCCCCATTTGTCTGACAGGGGACAAAATCCCCACTCCTTGAACTCGTTCTGCAACTGTGGCAGCGAGGGAAACTTTGCTGGTCATATAATTCTGCTCTAAGTTCTTTGATTTGCTCGGGATCTCGCCCCCCTGCACGTTTTGAACATCGAAAACGAAGTCCCGGGACTCCCTCTTTAAGCTCACAGGACTCACAGTGGCGGCCCCGAAATGCTTTTTGCCAAAGTCGACGGTGTCAGTGTCCTGCTTTAACCCTGTGTTTGGAAACAGCGTGGCTCTCAGAGTCATGGCTGCTCATCCTGCAACGCCTCGGCGACGCAGTTCAACCCCTGCTGCCTCCCATGAGGAGTGAGCCGCCGACCTGCACAACAAAGACATTAAAACATGTGTTACTGCTGGCTGTGACACTACAGGTGCACTGTATCTGACGTGGAAGAACAATAAGAACACCGGCAACTCATGCATGGACAAACCGGAGAAAACTACAAGGCAAAACGCGGAACATAACCCGGGATAAGATTCTCCTAAAACCGTTCGCCGGGTTTGAATTTCAAGCTAAGCTACGTTAGCACCGCAGTAAAAACAACACAGAGTCTAATTTCAAGATTAAATACACACATTTAGACAAATAAATTCAACACTACTGCGTCACGGTGGACATTTTACTGAGAGGACTTCGGAACAGGGCTTCGGGAGTGGCTGTGTCGGACACTGGCAGCAGACATCTCCTCCATTTTGGTTCTCGTTGAAATCATGAAAAACAATAACAGCTAGCGAGCTAGTTAGCGTGCTAGCTAACGTTAGCCGGCTGCTTTTTAAAAAACCAACAAAATGCGGAACCGAAGCAAGCAGTCAAAACGACCGCGTAGAAACACTCAAACGTCGGCCTGAGTCGAGTCCAATAGCGGGCATTTATGTGTGTTTTCCAGCTTACCTCGGCAATTATTCAAGTCCACCTGCAACTGCCTTCATGTTCCCTCCTTAAGACTTATTTTAAAGCGCCCTCTACTGCGCATGCGTAATTTGTTTGATGGCCATTTCTTGTGTTGTGAAGGTTTTGACTTAAAGGAAGCCTGCAGGAGGAGACAGAGCCCTATAATGAATAAATATATATATATATATATATATATATATATATATAATAAAGCTTTTTTTTATTACATTACGTTAAACATTTTTACAATATGCTGTTTGCATATCGCTGTTGGTTAGTTTTATCCTACTGTTATTTTGATCTTTAAAATATCAACTTTTGTACATAATGAAGTGTCTTTATATATAAAATGTATTATTATTATTATTATTATTATTATTATTAGGACCAGGACTTCTTGAAAAATAGGTTTTTAATCTCATTGGGACTTTCCTGGATAAATAAAGGTTAAATAAATAAATAAATAAAATTATTATTATTATTATAATACACTGTATTATAATACCACCCCCCCATACATATATATTAACCTGAAAAAAAAAGATTTAAAGAAAACCCCCAGATGAAATACGTTAAACTGTGCAATTAAAAATAGAATTATACAATAAATGTATATAACCCGTGCAGGGATAAAAATATATGTGACATTTAAACAAGAACCTAAAACAGTTGAGGGAAAAAATCTGTAATTAGACCTGAATATAAAAAATAAGAATAAAAAGTGTTGACTTTTTTTATTATTATTATTATTATAATATACTGTACATTTATTTTCAGTGACTGTACCTTAGCATACTTTTTGCTTAAACTTGTTAAGTTGAAACCATTATTTATATATATATATATATATAAATATATTTATATATATATATATATATATATATATATATATATATATATATATATATATATATATATATATATATATATATATATATACATACCTTTCACGTCACTTGTTTAAAATAGTTGTTCGTTTCCAAGGAAAGAAATATACAAAAAAATCAACTCATGTAGCTGTTCAAACATCCAATTTGACAACTTTATGTGTTCACTTTTTAATTCAGCCTTTATGTGTCTGTATTAATTCAGGAAAGTGTGGACTTTATTATTGATTAGCTCTCATTTATTAAACACATCCGCCCCTTTAGCCTCCGAGACACACCCAGGAAGTTTACTTAAACACTTCCTGTAGGCCTGACAGATTTCCCTCCAAAATTGATTGACAGGTGAGCAAACAAACAATACATGTAAGTAGAAAACATGACTTTCGTATGTATGCATAAACAGTCGCAAACAAAAGGAATGATGTCATTATTTACATATTTCTGAGTGCTGAACAATCAGTTTGCTTTGTTATATTTTCATCGTGATTTTTCACTCACATTCATGCAAAAAGTGTTTAAACTAACCAGGAGGTAAAGAAGTAATTGCCACCATCACTGTGTTGTCTCAGCATTTTGAATTTAGTATTTATTTCGCATCATAAGACTTTATGTTTTAAAAATTACAAATAACATTGTCATCTTTGTGGACTATCCTTCCCTCATTAAGTTTAATGAAAGAATTTTACCTCGGCAATTAAGGACTATTTTTGTTCAGCTGTTACTCATTTTACATTTCAGTCTTCAGAGTCATAACGGCAGTGCTGTGTAAGCTTTTGGTCCTCTTTTTCTATTACTCATGTGGTCTTATCTTGTTTCCTTTCATACATTGAAGGTAGAAATTAATTTAAACAGGAGACTGTTCTTACACATTTTTAAGAAACAGCAGATAAATGTGGAATTTTATTGGACAGGAATTGTTTTTTCACAACATATTTTTCTGCTGTTAAATAGTTATTTTATTTAACAGCAGATTTTTAGTTTTAGGTCAAAACATTTGCATATTAGTGTTTACTATAGTGTCATAGATGACTTTGCTTTCAGTTAGTGTTATTTTGAATTAAACTGATTATATCATCCAAAATGTTTTTTTTCTTGTTATGTCTTAATGCATTAGCCATTTGTTTGTCTATTCCTTTAATCTGTGTTTACTTCTGTTGTTATTAAGAATTTACATCATCTTCGTGAATAACACTGGCCTGCAATATTCGCCAACACGCCAGGGGGCGATGTCAAATAAACATGCGCGTCACTAACCCGGAAGTGCGCTACTTCCTTATACTCAAAATGGTAACAGTTGTACCAAAGTAGCATTAAAATTCACTGTGAGCGTCCTTCGCTTCTTAAAAATAGTGACTGTTCAGTCCTTTTTAGGTTTTAATATAACTGTCTACTGCTAATGTAAGTGTAATTAAATAGAAAAGCGTATTTAGCGGAGGGTTGTTGTGTTTAGTGTTTGTTTGGTTAGATTTGATTACTGGAAGTTTGAGATTCTATATTTTGAACGTTAGCATCAATAATAATCAAAATGCGGAGAGGTGTCGGTGCAGGAGCCATCGCCAAGAAGAAGCTCGCAGAGGTAATGTGACATAAAGAGTTTTATATTATTTTATATGGTTGCTGTATTGTTTATGTTGTCTTATGACTGATTTGTTTTGTATTTACAGGCCAAATATAAGGAAAGAGGAAATGTTCTTGCAGAGGACCAAATTGTCCAAGTGAGTTCTCATGTCAACAAAATTGTAAAAAAAAAAAGAAGAAAAAAGTTTCAGTTTTACGACCGACCATATTATTTTTATTATTTTATTTATTATTTTTTTACTATTGTTATTATTTTTTTATTTTTTTATTTTTTTTTTTTACTATTTTATTATTTTTTTTTACTATTTTTATTATTATTTTTACTATTATTATTATTTTATTTATTATTTTTACTATTTTTATTATTTCATTTATTATTTTTTACTATTTTTTTTTTTTTTTACTATTTTTATTATTATTTTTACTATTATTATTATTTTACTTATTATTTTTAGTATCTATCTATTTTTTTTGTACATTCTTAATTTCTTCGTTTTTTATTTAAATTGTACTGTGTTCACTTTCTGTTTGCAATCTTGGCTCTTTGCTGTAACACTGTAAATTTCCCCGTTGTGGGATAAATAAAGGATTACCTTATCTTATCTTATTTTATAAAGTTAAGATAGGATAGGATAATACTTTATTGATCCCCAGAGGGGATAGATTAAATAAGTGGTACTTATAAAAGGCTTGCTTGAGTGAAAAAATATTTTCAATTGGGCAAACAATGAAATTATTATCATGTTTTTTTGGGATTATTTGTGTTAACTTCTACAAATTGCTGATGAATCTTTTGCTCAACTGTTTCTGTTTCCTGTCAGATGTCGAAGCAGTTGGAGACCTTCAAGTCAAACTTGGAGGAGTTCGCGAGCAAACACAAACAAGAAATCCGAAAGAGCTCCCAGTTCAGGGTTCAGTTTCAGGAAATGTGTGCCACCATCGGAGTTGACCCCCTCGCCTGTGAGACACGTGGAGCTAATGCACATTTTTATGGTCACACATTTGTTATTCAAAATAACCTTTTAACCACTTTCATCTGTTTATTCTTTCACACAGCTGGAAAAGGTTTTTGGTCTGAGATGCTTGGCGTTGGTGACTTCTATTATGAGCTCGGAGTACAGATTATTGAAGTGTGCCTGGCCCTGAAACACAGAAATGGAGGTTGGTAGTTTCCCTAGAAACTAAATGTGTTTGACAAGTAACAGCGGAAACTTTGTGTAGATCTGAACTCTATGTGGCTTTAGGATGATTCTTCAACCTTTTCTATGATGTTCTTGGATTTTAAATGTTTGTGTGCGTTTCTTTTTCAGGGCTTATTACTTTGGATGAACTTCATCAGAGAGTGCTGAAGGGCAGAGGGAAATACGCTCAGGATGTGAGCCAGTACGTATTTCTTATTAAATTTAGATTTAATTTGATCACTTTTTAAAGATCACCTTTTATCCAGGAGGATGTCGATGTCATTTTTGGACAATCTTAAACCAATAGTTGTGTGATTGTTTAAATCCTAAATTATGTGCATTCCCAGAGATGACTTGGTGAGAGCCATAAAGAAGTTGAAGGTGATGGGGAGCGGCTTTGGGATGATACCTGTTGGTGGTTCTTATTTGGTCCAATCAGTACCAGCAGAACTCAACATGGATCACACCGTCGTTCTACAGCTGGCTGAGGTACGACGCAGCCCTGCCATGTTTGAATTAAACACTCAAATCTGACACTTTAACAGATTCAACCGACACTTTAGCTCATGTTGATTATTGATGAAGCTTTTCTGCCTGAAGAGATGTTATTCCAAAGAGTGATCATGGCTGATTGTTTCTTTTTTCATTTGTAGAAAAAGGGCTATGTCACCGTGAGTGAGATCAAGGGCAGTCTGAAATGGGAAAAGGAACGGGCGTGTCATGTCCTGGTGAGTGAAAACCAGCTCTTTTGGGTCAATATATATATAAGTCTGACTTGAAACACCTGCAGGGCGGACTATTTCAGATTGAAAAACTTTTAGGGCTGTCAAACGATTGACATTTTTAATCATGATTAGTCCCTAAATTTCACTAGTTAATTGCATGTTTAAAATTTCATTATTTGGCATTTAAGTATAAAAATTGTTAGGCTTTTATTTTTAAATGTTCTGTCATAAGCTGAGAGTACTTTACTTGCTGTGTGCTTTTATTTTGAAATAAAGTAAGGACTTTCTGGTAGATGGAATATTGAGACATGAACAGAAACAGGAAGTGGTTAAGGATCCCAAACTGACGTCAAACAGCTCAAAGGAACGGTAACAAAGGTCAATGTGTGATGTCATAAGGTCAATGTGTGATGTCATAAGGTGGATATTACTTTGGACCCGTCAGCTGAGCTGTCTGAGAGTTTGTTAAAAGTGACTCTCAGAGGTCATTCTGTTTATCAAACACAGGTCTTGGGTTTGTTGTTACTGCCAGAGATTACTGGAAGAGATAAATAAAAGGCCTGTAATGTTAAATAATAAAGTCAAATCCTTTTCACTGCTCTTGATATGTTCTGAAAAGGATGTGACTTGATTCTGGTATGAAACAGGTTTTCAGAAGTCCTACTGTATGTTCAACCTGCTGAACTTTAACATGCAGCTCTCTCTTCACTTCTCCAGGATCACCTGCTGAAGGAAGGCCTGGCCTGGCTGGACTCTCAGGCCCCCGGAGAGGCTCAGTACTGGCTGCCCGCTCTCTTCTCTGAGCTCACCCACCGTGATGTCACGCCCGAGGAGGCCAATCAGATGACGCCTTGAGAAGCGCTGACAGCTCAAGAGACTTGTTGGTAAACAAAATGTGCCTGGTGGTGACGGGGATCATGTGATGGAGTTGGCTCCTTTAACTGGGGCTGGCAGGACGGCCGATTCTCCTCTGAGGTCATTTTCTGGACACGAGGCGGGGACACTTTGTTCAGCGCTTCTCGGTGACATTTATGCAACAAGTCACCGAGAGCAAGATCACTTCCACAACGCTGCTGGAGAATTCCCCGTGGTCTGCCTGGTGTCGCGGTTTAGAGGTGTTAATGTAGAAATCTTTCTGTAAATCTTTTCTTGTAAAAAATCGACAAACATTTTAAAATAAAGACTCAACATGCTGCTTTCATCAAGTCAACCTTTTATCACTTTATTACTAATAAATTCAAAATGACAGATTTTCAAGTGAATTGTTAGTTGACAATTTTCATTTTTAACATAATCAATGAATCATGTTGCGGTTATATACACTGTAAAATCAACAGAAACTTTAGGTGAATTAACTTGGCATGATTTAGTTACTTCATAATCTTTTTTTTTTTTTTTTTTAAGGTTTATTTTTGGGCTTTTTATGCCTTTTATTTGAGAGATAGGACAGTATTCAGAAATCAGAGAGACAGAGTGGGGAATGACATGCAGGAAATTAGCAACAGGTCAGATTTGAACCCGGGTCGCCCGCTTTGAGGACTGCAGCTTCCACACATGGGGCTCGCACATTAACCATTACACTACCGGCATCCCAATTATTCCCATAATTGATTCACATCTACAATACAGACATCAACTCCCAGAAACCATCGCTACTTTCAGACATATTGAAAGTCTTGTCTCTTGTTGTTTTGATTGAAAGACTCACAGCAGCCTCGTTTACACACTGAGAGGCTGAGGAAAAAGTCAGCCACAGGTCAGATTTGGACCCGCTTTGAGGACTGCAGCCTACATACATGGGGCGGGCACACTAATCAGTCGACCCTTATTCGTAATCTTTGTGCGAAATCAGGCAGTAAACGAAGCATTCAGGTAAATAAACTCGGCTTTAAACATCCCAATGTTTACTCCAAATAAGATGTTTACATAAAAGGTCATTACTCGGTTAAATCAAATCTTATCTGATATCTTAAAATCCTTTTCACATACCGATAAGAGCTGTTTATCTCCAAAAGAATACCAAGGGTTTCACAAATCATGCTTCCCTCACCTCACTAGTTAATATAAACTTTAAATTAAAGGCTGTCAGGGGTTAAACCTCAACATTTACTTCCTGCCTTCTTTCTGTATTAATATGTCAATAACCGGAGGTGTGTTACGCTGGATCACATCAGAACCTTTTTTTAAATACCGACTGAAATGCGTCCAGAATTTATCCTCCCCGACAGCTGACAATTAGCGTCTGCTCCGATTCATTATCTTGTTTATTATCTCAGCGAGGCATGAGCCTGGAGGGGGGATCATGTGTTCAGAGCTCTGTGTATCCGCCCGCTTGTGTTACACCGTCAGCCTGTTTTTGTGCATCAAGGGTGTGAGGTGAAGTGAGGTTGTCATGTCACCAGGTTTGAAAAATCAAACAATATCGATACCTGTTTCAATACCACGGTTTCAATAATTACCAAAAAAGGGTTAGAGCAACCCTAGCACAGTGTGCGGGAGTTTACCTTTTAAATTTTTGATGGACACACTGCTCTCATACACACCTATTTTTTCTATTTTGCTTATGAAGGAAGGAAAACATTTAAAAAAGGCCCAAATAAAGCCACCCTGGTAATGTGGCGGTCTGCTCGAGACCCGTCTGATACAAATCCACTTTGAGATACAATTGAGTTCAACGACCAAAATAAACGAGGACATCGTGTTCGCTGTGATGGATTACATAACTCGGGGCGGTTTCAGGTCTCTGCCAGCTGATTCTTCGTGCACACGGGACACAGAATGGACTCTTAATGATTGTTTAAGGTAAAAAAAAAAAAACTTCACACTTAACTTCAGTATGCTTTGGAAAATGTTCATAATGAGTCGTGTGTAAAACAGAGATATGAGTACGGCTTGTAAGACATTATTTTCCTTCAGACGTGTACACTATGTGACCTTTTTTTGCGACCCGGTGTGGTTTTTTCTCACAGCTCGTGTCCGTAGACGTGATCCTCGAACACCGCCTGCTCCATGGTGTCGCAGATCATCGTGCAGAACGGGCAAACTCTGTGACTCTGCTCGTGTTGCTCCAGTTCCTCGGGGGTTATTCCAGGGAAGCTCTCCTGGCAGTGACGACACACCAGCGACGGCTGCTAACAGAAAACAGAAATAGAAACGGAACTTTAGGAGAGGTAACAGAATGAGGAGGGGATTATGTTTAAAGTCCACATAGAAAATAAACTGTAAACAGACGAGTCACTTCTCAGGCTGGAGTGTGAGGAACGGAGTGCAACCACCTTCATAAACTTTGTCCCAGTGTCAGAATAAATATTTTGTTTAGGTTTTAAAAACTTAAAGGTCACATCTCCTCCTCCTCTTCTTCAGTGTAAATAAGTCTCAGAGCTCCTCAAAACATGTGTGTGAAGTTTCTTGTTCTAAATCCACTCTGATCCTGTATTTGATCATGTCTATAAACCCCTCTATTTCAGCCCTGCTCAGAACAGGCTGTTTCTGTGTCTGTACCTTTAAATATGTAAATGAGCTGTGTCTGACCACGCCCCCTCTCTGGAAGGGCTTAGGTGTACTCGGGCTTTCTCGCTCCATGTCCTATTGTTTACGATGAGAAGTCAGACTCAGAGGGCAGAACAAACACCTAGCTGTGGGAGTGTCACCCACCTGGGGGAGGGGCTACTGCCCTTTGTGATGTCATGAAGGGAAAATCTCCAAACGGCCTGTTTGAGCACACATTTTCTAAAAAGTGTCGCACATTACTGTGCTAACTATGATGAAATAATGAGAGAAATGATTCGACTCACCTCATCCTCTGGGTTTGCAATGCTCGCTGCAAAAAAAGAGATATTTGGTTAACGTTAAATATCAACAAATAAAAACATGTTTTGTTTGTATGTTTCAGGACTAGAGCTCCTGATATTGTACATTTTGTATTGTACATACTCCTTCCAGTATCACATCAGGGAGGTCGTTCCAAAGTCGAGAAGCCCCCGACAGCAAAAGTCACCTTTAGATTTGAGGCTCGACTTTGGAACAACCAGAAGGATGCGTCCTGTGAGGATCTATTAATCCTGGCTCCATGGCTTCTCTGTTTCAGAGCCCGTGTCTTACCTATGGTCTCGTACTGATGCTCCTCCTGTTCAGGTGTCTCCAGCTCCTCCCATTCAGGTGTGGCTGCAGCAGTGCCGGGTGGGAAGCTGGCTTCAGGCTGGGCTTGAGGTGGTTTGACGTGGGGAGAAGCTTGGAGCTCAGTGTTAAGTCTGCGCAGACCCTCGATGTCTCTCATGAGACTCTAAAATAAACAATTAACAGTTGAACTTGAGATTTGACAAAAAGCACTATTTTTTAAAGTTTTCTAATTACATTTTTCTAAATGTACCTGGTTTTCTCTGGCCAGCTCTTCTTTCTCTTGTGTCTCCAGCTTGATAATGTCGTCCTTCTCTTCAATAATGCAGTCTTTCTCTAAGATCAGTTCGTGTGCGTCGTTGAACTTCAGCTGGAAAACAATGCAGGGATGAAAGCCACACACAACCTGACTTACACACTAACTAATAGGAGGAGGGTTTTTCTGTTCTGTTTTAATGTTGGCTGCAGACTATTGACTTAAATATCATCGCAATAAGGTTTACTTTATAGGAGATAGGGCTGTGCAGTTAATCCTGTTTTCATCAATATTGTGAGCACTTAACAAACAGAAAAAGTAGTGCATTAAATAAGAAAAAATATTCAATGTATTCATTGCACTTCACATTAAACCATCTCATTGACTGTTACATTCTTGTATCCTGTAGGCCCTAATTGAAAGCTCAGATCCTGGGTTAAAAAGGCAAAAAGAGCTCAGGATGATGAGCAGAAAAACCTTTCCATACACCTAACAGAGGTGGAGATTTATTCTGATACTTTACCTCCAGTTTGCTGGTCATCCGTTGAGCCTCTTCATAAATACTGGACACCTTCCTCAGCTGCTCCCTGACGTCCTGCAGCTCTCCCTCCAGAATCTGCGCCTTCCTCTTTGCGGTTCTTGCCTCTTCCCTCTCAGCCGCTAACTTCCCCTGAGTGTCATGAAGCTTTCCGCCAAGCGCCTGAATCTCCCCCTAAGAGAGGACATTCAGCATTAAGCACAAAGGAAAGAAATCATTTAAAGATAATCTCTTGAATCAAAGTAAATCAGTACCCTCAGGTCGTCATCGGGATAGCTCTGCAGCTTCTCCATCTGTGACAGTCTCCTAGTTAACTCCTGGTTTTCTCTCTTCAGGTCGTCCGTGTTACATGCAACGGTTTGCAGCCTCTCCTTCTCTTTCTCACTGGTCTGAAGGTCCACCTGCAGAAGGTAACAAACACATTATAAGTACAGAGTTTTGATCTGGATCTGAACAATCTTCACCTGACCTTACCAGGAGTACTTAGTAGGAATGCAACAGTCAGTGTGTCATAAGTCTTTAAAATGGCATTTTATTGGGGTGGTGATAGCTTAATTGTTAGTGCATGCGCCCAATGTACGGAGGCTTTAGTCTAGGTTTGAATCCGACCTTGTCTCCTTTACCGCATGTCATTCCCCACTCTCTCTCTCCCGGATTTCTGACTCTATCCACTGTCCTACCTCTAAAGAAAGGCATAAAAGCCCCAAAATAAAACTTAAAAAATCTATATATATATTCATATTTTAGCAGAAAAACAGCGATAACACGTTTTTTCTTTAACAGGTGTTCTTTATATGCCTGCTGTAAATGCCGTACTGAGGTTGTCGTCCTGATATAATGAGGGATCTCGTTCCAGATTTTAGTGTAGGAATGAAAGAAAGAACGACCTCTGACCCCAGGGCTTTGTAAGCAGGTACTGGGATTGTGTTCGATCTTAGAACTAGAGCACTAAGTGGAGACAAGTTTTCTGTCATGTATCTGAAAGTAAAACTTAATGGCATGAATGTTTGTATAATTCATGGTGTTACAGCGAGACAGTACAGTGATGAGTGTGAGTCTCTATTAGTCAGTCTTTTAGGGTGTCACATACCATTTTTGGATGGAGACATAGAAAATGACCCCCCCCCACCCACTCATATGCTCCTTCTTAGCGTCCTGGTCTCATGATAACATGTGCGCCAGCTTATGAAGTCTTTTGAAGATTTGGTTTGAACCTTAAGAAACTTTTTTGTCTGTAGGCTAAAAGCCTTCATGATTAATTTTGACTTAATCCCTCGGACACCATCCTGATGTGGATTAGACAAAAAAATATTCCAATACTCAATCATGCACTGTTTCCTCCAGTGTAAGAAACTTTTAATAGAAGCTGTGCGAGGAGACGATACAAACCCCGATAGTTTCATCTGTCTTGATCTGTTTCAGGAACACATCAGCTTGAGTATGAGTGTTAGAAGAAACATGTATTACTTTCACACTTGCAAGAAAACCCCTGAAAACTCCTGATATTTAAATTTCCTGTGTGAACGCAAACAGATGAATATTTTACTCAGACTTCACCTGGAGTTTTTTTCCTGCCAGACCCCCTAGTATTGTTTTTAATCAAAGTCCGAGTGAGCTGATGTGAGAACGCAGCAGGATATAACCCGGAGAATTCACCTCGAGTCAGTGGGAGGGGGTTAACATCCTGTGACTGCTGCACGACCACAGACGGTATGCACCACTACCATCTCTGTTCAGTAATGAACCTCCTGCATTATGTTTTCTGTTCTCCTGTTAAACTACAAGTAGCGTTGCTAAAAAGGCAGATAGAGAAGTGTGGGAGAATTAAAAGTGTGCTCTATATATGCCCCGCCCCTAGATTCACCTGTAGGAGCTGGACGCTGTCTTTTATTTTCAACAGCTCTCGTTCTTGTTCTCTGACTTTGGAGTTGAGCCTAAAATTCACACAAAGAAAAAAACATCTGTTATTGTCCTGTACGTTTTTTAAAAGGTGAAATTAGATGTAAAAAGTACGACTAACTCACGTTGTAACCTCTAAACTTTGAGTGTCAACTTTTCCCCTCAGCTCCTCGCGCTCTGCTTTCAGCTGGTTGATCTTTGCCACGGCGCGGTCGTATTTCTCCTGAGCGTGTTTCTGAAAACAAATCAACAAATTGAACTCTCAGTGTGTAAACGAGTCTTTCAATTAAAAAAAAAAAATTAAATTAATTAATTTAATTACCAAAAAATTAAATTAAAAAAAAGACTTTCAATATGTCTTAGAGTAGCAAGGGTTTCTGGGAGTTGATGTCTGTATTATAGATATGAATCCAGTGTGGGAATAATCGGGGTGCTGGTAGCATAGTGGGTAGTGCAGGCGCAGAGTCCTTCAAGGGGGGCGGCCCTGCTCAAATCCGACCTGTGCCTCCTTTAATGCACCCACTCTCTCACTCTCCCTGACTTCTGACTCTAACCACTCTCCTATCTCTCAAACAAAGGCCCAAAAAGCTGCCCAAAAAAAGTGTGGGAATCATTTCCTGTCGTGACTTAAATATAATGTTCCTTGCAAAACTGCCCTTTGCGCCGCCTCCTGTAGAACCAACAGCAGGGGCGAGATGACGTAATTGGTCGACCCTATACCTGGATCTCTATTGATTAGATAATATCGATAACATATCATCAAAAAAAAAATCCAAGAGCAGACGAGAAGAAGAAGAAACCCGAGTGACAGGAGAAGGTTTTAAACTGGAGAGGAAGAAACAATATAGCTGAGAGCAAACAAACATTTTGAGTAGAAACAGAGCAAATGTAAGCACAAGGTAGGGACTACTAACTGAATTTAAAAAAACATGCTTTTAAATCAAAAAATAACCTAGAGAAATACTGCCATAATTACGCAGACAGAAGACATGGTGCATGCAGCGATGGTCATTTAATTCAAACGAAAGAACGGTCTGTCAACCTCCTCGCTGACGGGCTAAAAATATCTGAAATAATGTAAGTACTGGACTCAAACACATGTAAAAGGAAGGTCTATGGGGCGTCATAGCCTAGTGGTTAGTGCGCCCTCAAAGCGGGCGGCCAAGGTTTGAATCCGACCTCTGGCTCCTTTCCTGCATGTCATTCCCCACTCTCTCTCTCTCTGATTTCTGACTCTATCCACTGTCCTATCTCTCAATGAAGACATAATAATCCAAACAATAAACCATAAAAAAAGAAAGGTGTAGTTGTTTTTGAGCGTTAAATGTAGAAGTTTTACACACACCTTGATATGTTCTTACCTCTTTGTCGCTCGCTCCTCCGTCTCCACTCAAGCTGTCGCTGAGTTTTTTCAGCTGCATCTCCTCGAGCTGTTGATCCTGCTGCATCTGCTCTGTCAGCTGGTCGCCCATCTTCACCTGAGAGGAAACATCACAGCTAAGAGTTCTGCACTGAAGCAGAGTTCAGATTTCAGTAAAGTACAGTAAAATAAACAAACCATCAACTCTCGTTTTCCTTCAGCTGTTGCCGTAAGCTGTTATTCAAGTCTTTATTCTGATTCATCATTTGATCCAGTTCTTTGACCAGCTGGCTCTTTTCTTTCTCGTCCGTTTCCTTCTGCTCCTGTAGAATCGAACCACACAGACAAGTCGAACATTAAACTTAGATAAACTGCCTTCTCTCTTTGCACGATAAGCTAATCTCGTTTACTGTCCCTTCGAGCAGACCTTCCATTTGGCGGCTTCTTGCTGCTCCTGCTTCAGAGCGGTTCTTAAGGTTTCATTTTCAGCCATTTTCTGATCCAGCTCTCTCTGCAGTTCAGCTTTCTCCCGTACGCTCTGATCGACCTGATCCTGAGTTAAAAAAACACATTAAGTCAATAAAAAGCTTTATTTACTTTGGCTTTCAGACTTCCATTTTAAACAGTTGTACCTTTAAATAAATAAAAAAAATCAGCAACCAGTGTCCTAAGTACAAGTTTAAAAACAGCATGAGGGGGCGCCTGATAGCCAAGCGGTTAAATCGCACACCCCGTGTACTGAGGCCAGAGTCCTCATCGCAGCGGTCGTGGATTTGAATCTGACCTCGGCCCTTTGCCTGCATGCCATCCCCCCTCTCTCTCTCCTCCCAAAATGTCCTGTCTCTCTTCAGCTGTCCTGTCTAATAAAGGCAACAATTTGCCAAAAAAACAAGAATAAAAAATCCCCAAAAAGCACGAGAATCAAGATGACTTCCACCATAGTCAGTTATTATCACTTCACAGCTTTATCAAACACTGCTGCTGGCTTTTTCTCTAAATGATTTCATGAGACTTAGAAACACTCTTTTTAAATGATTATGTGCAAATGACGACAAACAAATCAGTGCTTGGCAGAGATAAACATTTGATACCTGTGTTGTTATAACCAGGAGGTCGTCTTCAGGAATGATCTCCAGGCTCATGTCCACCGGGTTTCTGAAACAGAACGGGGTGCTCGCTCCTCGCACTTGGCCGCTATTGTCCACGTAGCAGAACTGGTAAAACTCATTCTCATCTTTGGGCAGGTAGTAATCTAACAAGGCGGAAAAAAAACAAACAACAAATACAGCGCAGAAAGCAAAATCTTAATCTGAAAGCAGATTTTATGCAGAGAACAGTTTTTCACTTAAACTGTAATAAACAATATCTGGAAGTATCAGCTTAGGAAAGCAAAATGGTCGTCCATGATTAGACTGGTCCAGATATGAAAGCCCTGAGAGTCTATGTCAACAACACAGAGCCGGAGGATCAGCAGATCATGAAAACAAGCTGAAGAGTCGCTGCCTGGTATCATTTTTACACATCAGACTCTCTGAGTTTTTAGAAACTTGTGTGCACTACAAACATGACCACACGTCACCCTGCATACAAGTGAAACTCTATTTATCTTACCCTTAAAAACAGCTTGCCTTGTCACGGACTGCTGGCCTTCAACGTCAACACATGGCTCCACCCACACGAAGGTATGATAGTCTTTTGTTGTGCTCCACCCAACCTGTAATTAAGCAATATCACATGAGAGGGAGTGACATCTTAGTCAATATCAGTGCTGCTGTGATTCTGTTGTAGTGACAGAACTTTAAAAGAACAATTAAACAAGCAGTAAACTGTGGTAAAAAGTAAAAAATCAACAACAGGTTATTTTGTTAACTCCACTAACTCAACTAGTTCCACAATTTAACTTGCTAAAGCAACCCAAACGTTCTATTCTACCACTCTTCATATCTATTGGTGTCCAAGGTTACCACAGAGCAGCTATTTTGTAGTATGGACATTTACTAATTTATTTTATCATGAAGTTAGAGTCTGTTGTGTGATTCTCAGGGATGATTCTGATGAATAAATAAAAAACAACGTCAGATTTAAAAGTCACTTAAAAGTATTCAGACCTCCTGGCTGAGGAGGAGTGACACATAATGTGACACTCATGGAATGCCTCTTGTCCAATCAGATTGCTTGGTTGGAACTAATTGTTGTATATTAAAAAAAAAAAGAGGTTATTATAAAGTTAAAAGACTCTTGTTTCAAGGACAGGTTTTGTGTTACCATACCTTAAAAACGCCCACCCAGTCCCTGGAGTTGGGCTGGAAGGAGGCAGTGAGGTTGAAGCAGCAGGTGACAGAGGTTGAAGGTGGATACGTGTGCGGGATGTCCGTGAACACCACCTGGGAGAAGGTGTGCGCTGCGGAGTCAGCTGCCTCTGTGGAGCTCTCCATGCTGAGTAAACATATAGAGACTGATGAGAAAACAACATTTCACGAGTCTGACTGATGACAGCAGGTGCTACAAGCTGATCTGTGTCCTCACCAGAAACATAACCCGTGTATTAAAACGATTCACATTTCCTGTTTATGTTTTTGTTCCTGCGCAGTTACAATCTTAGTTTCACTTTATTTCTAAACCGCCACAAATCCATAATTAACTCCACTAAAACTTTCCTGAGTCAAAAAACCCCAATATGTTTTTAAATAAACGACACATTTACCCAAGAGATGACATAACATTTGATTTAATGAGAGTTTAAAGGGAAATAAAATAAAAACCGAAACTTAACAAGCCTAGACCGCACCCAAAGGTTATATAAGTTATTATTTGATACTTTTTTTTTTTTTTGACTACAAACTGTGAATAATCTCTCAAAGTTAGTTAAAATGTTGGGATTAAGAAAACAAACTCACATGTTTGCTGTCACTTGACACAGCACCGAGATCTGCTGTCAACTCCTCTTGTCAGGCAAGGCGCTGTGCTGCATTCAGGTGCTCTTCGGATATTTGTATTGCCAAGCATAGAACTTCAACGTAGCACTTCCGGCTCGTAAAGTTCTCTATTTAGAATACACACAGATCTTTTGAGAGATAAAAAAAGGTTGTTATTCTAATGGAGGATGAAAATTGATATATATATTTTTTTGCATTCATTTACTTTTATTTTATTGAAAAATATAACAACAACAAAACAAGCAACCCACATAAAAAAAAAAAAAAAACACACACAAACCCGAAACAAAACAGACCAAAACAAAAAAGTGACATAAATGAATATATTTATAATAGCCTACCTTCATTATTTGGCCAAACAAAGTCAGTCAAAGCTCTGTTTTCAAGCTTTAGAGAAAAACACAATTATGCAGGTTTTCATTCCAGATAAGACCTTTGACTGTCCTGCTTTTGTTGTTTTATTTTCTATCATAAAGGTGGAAAAAAAGTTATTTCTGAGAGAACTTAACTGTAAACATTTGCAGTAAACTATATATTATATTCTCTTTTGAACTAAACCCTTTCTTTAAAAATGTTTTCAATTATATCTGTAGAAAAAACTAAGTTAATTTCCTAGGCATATTTGCGTTTGTTGACAAATTAAATTTAGAAGAAGTTTGCGTTTTATAATTTATAATTATTATATTATTATTTTAGTAAGGACACACAAATGGGCTGTACTCTACTTTTCTCCATGCACTGCCAGGTTTTTTCAGACAACTCAGAGAATAATTTTGGTCGTGTGTGATAAATGTATATCTGAAAAAAAAATAGCAGAGAATGGAGTCACTACTGCAGTGTAGACTAGACAAGCTCCGTCACTGTTTGTTTACATGTGCGCTCAAATCAAAGACACGCTGTCCTCTTTCTGATTTTCCGTAAACAGTCGAGCTGCATCATGGGAAATGTAGGTAATTTTGACCGAGTTGCAGCTTTTTTGTCCAGCATTGTGGTTTGATAACACAAGAGGGAGCCACACTCTTCACTACATTATATCCTCTGTTATTTAGTGTGCATTAGGCATGCTTGAAATCTCTGTTTATTTATCATTACAAAGTTTATTGTAAACAAAAAGAAGAATAAAAAATATTATATATTTATTGCTGTCTGGAGTTGAACAATTCCTATTGAGAGTAAAGTGTATCTAAGAAACAACTAAAATATGATTTGTAGAATAATAGTGATATAATAACAATAGGAGAAACATCTGTGCAATATTTCAAACTCTAAAAACAGAAATGTCACATTACATAAAAGTGTAATAAAGCTTTTAATTTGATGGTATATCTTGGATCATGCCAATCATGTTTTCTTAAATATATTGTTTTGTGTTTTTTTAACCTAAAACATGTCACATAATATGTGAGTTTTTACATTTTTCATGGTAGAAATGACATAAAATTTTATTTTTTAAATGACACAAAAATTTGAAAGCCTTTATTGTCATTGTTTAACAGGATATAACCTGATTAAGAAAGCTATCCCTGGTTGGTGCATAGAAGTTAACTGTATGTATAACTTTATGTTAACATATTCCATACAAAAAAAGACATTGATTTAGAGTTTATTTTCAACTAACATTTCTATTTCTAAGATATATTTTTATATTTGAATTTGTTTAATTATTTCACCACTGCTCTAATAACTGATCTACTTATTTTATAATCTAATTCTGATTTAAATGTCTTTCCTTTATTTTTCCCACCTAAACTGCAGGTGCATCTGATGATCATCCTGTAGCTGCACGGTCTCTCGTCGTTGAGCCAAGGACCAATCAGAGAACGGCACTCTCGCACTGCTGTCCTCTGATTGGCTGAAGGCAGTACCGGGGGGGCCGTTCCATCTGAAAGGCACGCGCGCGTGAGTTCTCTCATGTTTACATTTGTACGGTGACGTCTTTCCCTCAATTCAAGACTTTTTGACGCCCGCGAAAACAACAACATTTAAGAAAAAGAAGAAGGTTTTTCGGTTCGTGTGTCTGTGCGGGAACAAGGAGGACACACTTTCATTACGGTAAAGTCAAGTTTGAGGGTTTTGTTGGTCGTTTTAAAAATGACTGTCTAAAGTTTCTTGCTCGCCAGGAAGAAGCCAGCATTCCGTTACCATAGAAACAGCCCTGTTACATATAGCATATATGCTAGCTCTAAGTTAGTCGGTGAGCTACGAAGTTTGATTTAGTGATAAAACTCCATAGATATTGACTAACCCAAATGTTCAGACATTATCGTATAGTGTAAAGCTTTATTTATTTATATGTGAAGGTACAAATCAGACACGTTTTGCTTTATTTTATGCGCTGGTGTTATGCCGAGAATTGCACCCCTGTTAGAAATGCATGCAGCTCTGCGGAAGTATTAGAAAACTGTAGAAATCGTATCCCTGGGGACACATAACCATTACCCCCCCCCGTTAATATCTGACTCTGAAGTGTCTGTAGTGTAGATCTGAGGGTGAAAGCAAAAGATTGAATTATAAGGCTGGGTGCAAACTTCTGCAGTGTAGTGTCTGACATATTCTGAGATGGATGCAATTCTCGTCATAACACCGGCTCTCAAGAAAGGACACGTTTTCCTCTTGAGAGCTGTTTCTTTGTTTGTTTGTTTGTTTTTGTTTGTTTTATTTGGACCCCATCAGCTTCAGCATAGCGAGAAGCTCTTCTTCCTGGGGTCCCCAGTTTATATTGTGACAATACATTTTACAAATTCATATTATATATTATTCTTTTCACACTACACAAAACTTCCACAACATTTCTTCAATAACTAAAAATAATAGAAAATTTACATAAATGAACAAAAAAAACACAAAGAAACAGACAAACACAAAGGCTCTGTCTGATTTACATAACATGGTTACACAAAAAAGGCCCAGTAGTCTTATCAGTACTGACTAAAGTTTCTCCGTCGATAATGTTCTTTAACACTTCTTTTAAAATTGTATGCAGTGCTTTGTTGTTTCTCATTACTTGGGAGTGAATTCCATTCCAGCATTGTTCTGTTTGTTACTGAACATTGAGATGCTGATGTTCTTGATTTAGGAAGAGTAAAACAACCTCCCTCCTTCTTTATGTTACAGGATACTGGTTAAATCTTTTGAAACGTGTGGAAGCAGTTACGAGCTATGTAGCCTACTTTTGCAAAAAATTACAATACAACTTGGACAAAATATTCGATAGCATGTAAAGGTCATGCACCTTCTCAGATTAAGGTAATTTGAGTTTTAAAAGTACCAAATAATGCAGACAAATGTATGAATATTGCTTTTCTATTACGTCTATTTTTCTGGTATTGTTGACAAGATTGTAGGGTATGGTCTTTTCCTCCTGGTGTTTGTTACCTTACAATGTTACAATTCACTTAGCAGACGCTTTTATCCAAAGCGACTTACATCATAGAGTAGGTGCAACACTAATCCATTCATACACCGCCACAGTAGCAGCGGGAGCAATGCGGGGTTAAGTGTCTTGCCCAAGGACACATCGGACATGTTGCTCAACCTTTTGGTCGAGGGGGGACGACTCTACCAACTGAGCCACAGCCGCCCGCTTGTTACCTGTGCTTAAACAAATTAGAAATTACTTATTTATTGAAAAATAAATATGTTCTCTTTACTGTTACAGCATGAGGAAAATGATGATTATAGAAGGAGTCTTGAATCTTCAAATAAGTGATTATATAAAGCAGAATAAAAAAAACCCGTTTCTAAACCATTAGGGAGGATTGCACATTCAGTTAATAAAAGCTGTACTCGTTTAAAGACAAAATAATCCACAAAACAGGGTTCTTATTAATAACACACCTGGGGCAATTTGTTTTCTTTCATGGATAAAAGCAAGAGCGCATAATATTTTCCCACCCACGTTTAATGTGTCTATAAAGTACACCACTGTCACATTAAATTATAATTGCATTGCTCTGTAATTGTATGAGAGCTCATGTTGCTCATGAAACTCTCTCTCTCACACACACAAAAGGTTTGCACAAACACAGACATGACATTTAATAATTAAATTGAGTTGCTGATATCAGTGTTGGAAGATTAGCCGGTGATCTTTAAAGCATCATAAGGACAACAAAAGGTAGATAAGTGAGTGTGGAAGAGTGTAGGATGTCAACTAATGATTGATTAATGTTTGATTAATCAGGGATTATTTCAGCACTAGATTGTTGATTGTTATAATCCCTTCAATATTATCAGATTGATTATACCTGGCTGTTTTGACAAACAGGACACATGTTTGTCTGCTTCGTGTTTCACCAACATTTCCCCTCCTGCCTGTGCTCCATTTTTAATGTCTGCAATGGAAGGCTAAGCCTCAACAGGAGGTACTCCATTTCAACTTGGCTAAAAGGATAGATGTCCAGCCTGTTCAACTGCAACACACAACTCTTTTCAGCACAGATTTAAATTTAACAACTTGAGGTGTTGAAAAACACTTCTCCTATTTCAGTGGACAAATATCAGGGATTATCCCTCTGTGCTCGCTCCCCGCTGAGGTCTACGGCTCATTCTCTCTCCATCATGTCAGGAGGGATCAGGTGTTTTGTCCCCTCACCTTCTAATTGGTCACCAGATCCACCGCTGAGCCTGTTGCTTGAGTGTGTAAGTCAATCTGAACTGAGCCATCGTTGTGTTGATACAAATCTACTCTGTTTGTGTGTTGTTTTTTTTTCAGAGGCAGACACTGCTAGTGGACAAGATGTGTCTCGTTGGTTTGTCTGCTGAGGAGTGTGACAGCATCTTAAACGGCTCTTGAGACCAAGATTGTTGCCGTAAAGAGGTGACAAAGAAGACTGAGAGGGACGGCAACATTGCTGTCACAGATGTGGGCTTAACAGTGCAGGTGAGTAAGCGCAACGTTGGGGACTTTAAACTTTGCTCAGTAGAACTTTGGCCATTGAAAAAAAATGTGTACCCTTATTCTTAGTGGATTGGCCAAATGCAGGATCGAGACTAAAAAATGACAGCTTCAACGATGTGAAACTGTAAAGTCTTCATCAGTGTATCAGCTTTATTGACGATAACTAACTTAATATATTTGCAACTATTGGTTTTGCCTAAATGAAACTCCAGTGATTGTGATACTGTAAGTGCAAATAATTAAAAACACACCGTGTAGTAACACAAAAGAAAATAAGATGATAGTGACAAAATGTATGAACTGTGACGTTTATTAGACTCCATATCAAATATGCAAACCAGCCTTTCTATTTTATTTAGTTTGAAATGGAGGAAAGTGGCAGTTTTAAAGACAGTACACCATACTTTTGGCTTTAATAACTTATAATTAGCAATTTTGTTATTGCACTTTTATATGGTAAAGTATTTATAGCTTTGAAAGTGAGTGTTTACATTTCTAAGACAGTGAACCGTACTAAGCTGCAGGTTAATAAGGACCAGTTTTTCACAGTTTTCATTTATATTTTGAATGTTTGCCTTTTTTTTTGTTACATTGGGAGAATTAAGTTGAATGCACTTAAATGGAGTTCATTAAATAGCTTGTTTGAGTTTAGCCCTGCAGCTTGTTTTGGAAGGAGACTAGATGATAGCTAGCGCCAGCTTAGCACGTCACGCTACAGTCTGAATTTTAAATGAAATCATGTAATGACACTGAGCGGTTAACAAAGTCTTTTATATCAAACCCAGTCATTGTTCTCAGAGGACAGGCAATACAAAGGTGTTATTCATGTACCTGTTGTTGTTGCTGCACACTGAGGGATAACCACAGAGAAATCCTTCACAGGTCTGTAACCGTATCCCGGGCCGAGGTCAGCGGGGCGTCTCGGCCCGATGTAAAGCTCACAGTTCAGGGTCAGGATTATCCAGATCACTGGATCAGAATACTGTTACCTGGCACCGCAACCTCCCACAGACTATCTGGGGTGTCCCTCCTTACTGACACCACCACCACTCTTTTCAGTATTCTGTCACAATCAGAATTAACTTGAACTCACCTTCACCCTGCAAGACACCAGATAGGCGGCCGAGGTGAACAGCGGAGACGCTGCTGTGACGATTACATGCAGACAGACATAAACAGAAGTCGAGGTGGAACTAAACTCATTCATTTGATTTCTGTGAATTTTATTTTATAGCCATGGTAGCTGTGGGGCTTTAAAAATTGTACCTTTGCTTTTGTCCAGACTAAAATATTCTTAACAACTCTTAAATAGATAGCCATAGGATTTATTCCAGACATTAATTGTTCCCAGGATGAAACCAAACAACTTGTTAGATGCAGCTGTTAAGTTTGCACACCGGGTTTAGAGTTAAATGTTTTAACAACTATTTAGTGATCTACCTTTAAAGATTTATTATGCTCCAGATAAGACACATATCAAAAGATAAGGCTCTCATACAACACTACAAAATCTGAACTGACCCTTTTATTCATCCCCATTTGAGATCATTGTTAACTTTGTTCAATTCTAGCTCTATGACTAAACTCTGTAAAACTAATGAACTAGCCTCAGCTGTGCTTTGTGTGTTGAGTGCTAATCCACTGAAGTCGGCATGGTAACAAGCTATGGTAAGCATTTTGCAAGGTCATTAACTTAATGAGTATTGGGCATGCTATGATTAGCACTGGCATGATTGGACATATGCATCCTGCATACTTGTTTATTATTTACTCATTAGTATTCACTGCTTACTAAAAGTCATAGTTACATCAAAGAGGAGTCAGCATATAACATGTAAACAATTTTAACATCTCTATTCTAACAGTAAGAAACTTCAAATTTAACACACAGACAGGGACATCAGGAACAAGAATCCATTGAAAGTTTCTTGTCACCTCTCACAGAGATATTTTTTTTTTAAATTAATCAAAATGTCTAAAATACTCAGTTTCTCTATGGAATTTGACCAGAATTCTACAGTAAAATCTATTGAAGATTCTCAGGACTACTGACACTCTACCAGGGATTGCCAGAAAAAATGTACAACACATGTGCTGCATTAAAAGTGACACTACATTAAACATACTGAAGACATGTTGTGCTGTAACCTGTCACAGGAAAATATAAAACATGAGGACAGGTATGTTATTTATCATGGGTTTCATGATAGAAGTAATGTAACTTTTCTCTCACAGGGTGGCTGAAGAGAAATATGATATCTAAAAAGCGGAATGCATATTAACTTAACATGTTTAATGACGTATGTTTAAGACTGGTTATGAAACTAAAGACACTTTGAAAGACTAAAATCAAACCTTTAAGAATGTGAAGGACAAGATTTTTTCACAGTTATCAGTATTTTGAGTCCTTCACAAAGTGCTTAAAGTTTTCCTTTTCTGTCAACATTTTTTGTGAAGTAAAAAAATGTAGGCTCTCGTTGTTGTTAGCGTTAATTCCCCCTGGATATTTTTTGCATAATTTGTATCCGTGCTGCCACAATAACTCTTGAATGGGCCTGTGCTGACAGCCAGAGCACTCACCTGATGAGAGAGATGGAAACATGAGTCCATGCGCGCACCAACAGTGTGCACTCGGCTCTAAGCTGCGGAGCACATTACGTTAAAGACATAACATTTAAATGAGAGTTAAATGGCACATTATACAATGTTTTATTTTGTTCCCACAGCTTCACAGAAGCTTTTTGCATTCTTTGTGTTGTGCTTATCCAGGATGGGTCTACCTGTGGACAGCCCAGACAGAAACGATGCACATAAATACGAGCAGCACGGAGAGGGGGAGGGGGAGGGGGAGGGGGGTGAAAGCCAAAGTGAAGCCCGCATCCACATCCCCCCGCCCGTCAACCCGAAGAAGAGGAGAAAAGGCAAGAGAAGGTACTTAACTAGCTGGATCTCCTACTTTTGCACTCCTGCAGTCATTACCCGATGCAGGTACATTATGTCTGAGCACCCTGTCACTTATGATTTTTATCACTTTGTCCTGGAGGCTCTTAAGTTTTTCTTTCCTCGCTCGTCCTCATCATTCTGAATGGGCATATAATGAGGCGTTTAGGGGACTTGCAGCAAAGCAGATGTCTGTCCCTCTCTCTGTCTCTCTTCTCTTCCAGATGACTGTGGATCAACCTCACCAACTGCAAATATGAAAGTGGTACGTTTGGCTAAAACACGACCGAGCATAATGTTCATGATTCTTTTAAACGGTGCACAGAGATAAATCAATCTGCACTCAAGTCATGTAGAATAAATTCTTGGAGTAAAACAGAGAACATATTAGAAAGTGGGAAGTATTAGATACACTATATGGCCAAAAGTAAACTTTCATCCTAGTCCACTTTGCATTTAATTGCAAAGACCCATTCAACTCACACACACAGGTATTCCCACTAGACACACACACACACACAAAGACAAACTATATAAAGAAAATCACACCTTTTTTCATTTAGTGTGAGAAACATCAGCTCCTGCCCCTCCCACCAGCTCAGAACCGTGACTAGAGACGCTCAAGAGTGACGCAAAAGCCACATTCATTGTAAATTTCCCCCCGATTATCTTATCTTATCTTATTCCGACCTGGCCGTTCAGAAACGAGGTCACATTAGAAAAAAGCAAACTTGTATCCGATGTAGGATTCCACATGAATATGGGACTTGTTTGATTTTAAATATCAGATTCCCTGTGACTTGTGATGTTCAAATTAACTTAACAAGAATCTGATCTCAGTTACATATGTTAAAAAAAATGATTTGGGTCACTTCTGTCTGCAGTGTGAATGTGGCCTACGTGGAAAGACCAAAACCAGAGGAGTGGAGGATGTTACAGCAGCAAATTAATACCCAGGGCTTTGGAGATATTAAACAATTACATAAGGGTGTAAAGTTCCACATTTTGTTGGCCATGTAGTGTATTTAAAAAAGTACCAAATGTATAGTTATAATTCATCCAGAGCTCTCATAATTCTTGCTGTTTGTGTGTCTCAGTGCGTCGTGCCGCTCACAGATACGGCCTGAGGGAGTCAGTGGAGGGTGAAGACTGGACGCTCTTCTGGACAGACTGCTCCGTGTCTTTAGACCGTGTGAAGGACATGAAGCGGTACCAGGTATTCCACTCAATTTGCTCGCACATAAACACACTCGACACATTAGTCGCATTGTATTTGAAGACTAATTAAGCCGAAATCCAACATACAAATTAAACAGAAAATGAAGCGTGTGGGACTCGTCATTCTGCTCCGTCTATTTGTTATATTCTAAGTTGTAATTTAAATTCTTCCGCTCAATAGGCCCACTCACTGATTAATAAAAAATGTAGATATCCGCTGAGATTATGAGGCTGGGTTTTTTTCTTCAGGGCACAGTATTCATGGCTCATAACAGTTCTTCACCTCAGGTAATCAATTTGTAATCTAATTGGGTAATGCAGTGCGGGGTCTTTTCAGCTCCAACGATTTTTTTTCCCCCTGAACATGAAATTGGAATTGGTTTTATTTAGTCATATCTCACTTTTGACTGTTTGGAAAAAAAATACTAAAAGTCCGATATTATACCTGTGGTTCACAGTCGTCATATGCTCACAGATTAATTCCCTTTGTGTGCGTCTGTTGCGTCATTTCCAGAAGATAAATCATTTCCCAGGGATGAGTGAGATCTGCCGCAAAGACTCGCTCGCAAGAAACATGAACAGGATGCTGAAGCTGTTCCCCAAAGACTATAACATCTTTCCCAGAACGTGGTGCCTTCCTGCAGAGTCAGTTTGCATGTGTTGTTGTAATTTTGTCCTCTCTTTGTGTTTATTTCTTTATGTATTGACTTCTTCTCTGGTTGCATTTTGCAGCTACAGTGACTTCCAAGCTTTCACCAGGGCCAAAAAAAACAAAACCTACATCTGCAAGCCAGATACGGGTTGCCAAGGAAAAGGCATCTTCATAACCAAATCAAGTAAAGACATTCAACCTGGAGAACACATGATCTGCCAGGTTTACGTCTCAAAGGTAAGGGTACATCACGCTGCCCCACTCTGCTCTCGTAAAGATTCAAACACAGCTCTAAGTTCAGCTTGTTTTTCCTTCCATTCGCAGCCTTTGATTATCAACGGGTACAAGTTTGACCTGCGTATCTACGTGCTGGTGACGTCATGCGACCCGTTCAGTATATTCATGTTCAAAGAGGGACTGGCTCGCTTCTGCACCACCAAATACAACGAGCCGACACACGGGAATGTGGTGAGACTCTGCAATGATTTGTGGAAGCACACTGAACTTAATGAAAAGGTTCAGGGATGTAGATTTTTAAAATACTTGATGTTGACCTCTGCAAGTCTGATCCTAAAAGTTCCTGTTCTTTTGGAAATTACCGTACTATGTCCAAGCAGGAACTCTTTTTGAGGTAAAATAACGTCCCTGGAATTTATTTAAGTCCCTTGTTCTCCACGTGGGCCTATTCCCTTGTAAAAGCTCCTGAGGTGAATCTTTTGGGACGCCTGTGCATGTTGGTGCACTCGCCCCATGTACAGTACAGGGGCCTCCAATCGAGCAGCCCAGGTTCCGTCTAGTGGCTCCTTTCCCGCTTGTCATTCCCCACTCTCTCTCTGATTTCTTTCTCTATCCACTGTCCATCTCAAATATATGCATAACCAGCCCTCCCCCCAAAAAGAATCTTCTGTAAGTAAGGTATTCTAAATCTGCGATAATTTGATAACAGGTGATTGAAAACGGTACAATCTCCACTATTTAATTAATCACCCAAAAATAGATATTACAAAAAAAAAAAAAAAAAAGATGCCTGAGAGAAAGAAAGAGAGCTCTGTCTAAACTGCACAAATACAATGGCAACGTTTCGGTATCAGCAGCACCATCAACAAACTTTTAGTATTTCTGCAAAGCTTATCAGAGAGTCTGAATATAATCTTCGTCCCTCCTTGTGAAACATCTCTCCCACTTTGTCTGTCTCATGTCAGGACGACGTGTGCATGCATCTCACAAACTACTCCATCAACAAGAACAGTGAAAACTTTGTCCGTGACCAGGACACTGGAAGCAAAAGGTAACTAAACATACAATTTCCTGTCGTGTCGTCTTTCTAACACTGTTAAAAATCTAAACGTGTTATCATCCTGCAGAAAGCTTTCCACCCTGAACAAACTCTTAGAGTCCATCAGCTGCAACACGGACAAGATGTGGAACGACATCGAGGACGTGATCATAAAGACGCTGATCTCCGCTCACCCCATCCTGAAGCATAATTACCACACCTGCTTCCCCAACCACACCACCGGCAGCGCCTGCTTCGAGATCCTCGGCTTCGACGTGCTGCTGGATCACAATCTCAGACCCTGGGTGCTGGAGGTGAAAAACAAAGACCCCCTCAGTTTGACAATCTGTGAATCAGTTGTTAAGAAGCAGATTTTCTGTTTGTGTGTCTAAATCGTTATCAAGACATATTTAAGTTTATTCAAATTTGTTTTCAACACCTTTTTTTTTTGTAGCATTTTGAATTAAAAATAAATTGTATTCCACACTTGGAACTTTGAATGTCAGCTTCGGGCTTCCGTAGTTAATCTAGAAAGTCACAATCTTCCTCGACCTCTGCTCCATTTATTTTATTAATGTTTGTTTCCAGGTGAATCACTCCCCAAGTTTTACCACCGACTCCCATCTGGACCGCGAGGTGAAGGACACTCTGCTCTACGACACTCTGGTCCTCATCAACTTGGGCGCCTGCGACCGCCGCAAGATAACCAAGGAGGAGAGACGCAGGGTGAAGGACAGGCTGCAGCAAAACAGCTCCAGAGAGGCCAGGTAGGGGATCTGTCACATGCATTTATGATGTGATTTTTTTTTTTCCCCTCAAGGTCATTCACACTTGCCTGAATGTTGTTTCTGCCACCAGGTCGGAGGAGCTGCGTCAGTGCCAGGCAGCCACTGTGGAGCAGATGGAGAGGTACGAGGCCAAACACCTGGGAGGCTTCAGGAGGATCTACCCCCGAGAGGGAGCAGAGAAATACGACAAGTACTTCAAACACAGCAGCTCGCTCTTCCAGGATACGGCGGCGTCCAAGGCCAGAGAGGAGTGTGCCAGGTGAACTTTAAACACACAGTTCAGGAACGAGCAGAGGCTGTTTGTGATGCTGATTCAACATCAACTGAGTATGTTTGGGTTTTGGACAGTCAGCCGAGTCCCTGAGAATTGTAAATGTTTTTTATTCAATCTTTTCATTTAATAAATTACATTTTTTTCACTTATTCAACAAATGTGTTTGGAAAACTGTGTTTTATGTAAAGGTTTTTGGGGAATTATTTAGAAATCAGGGGAGAGAGTGAGAGATTGGGGAAGGACGTGCGGGAAATGAGCCACAGGCTGGATTTTGAACCTGGGACGTACCCTTTTTAGGACAACAGTCTCTGTACATGGGGTGCACGAACTACCCACTAGGCCAGTGGAATAACCCGGAATAACTGTGATTTAACCTACAGTTTGACAGCATTTTAGAAGTACATCAGCGTTTATTGGTAGATCATAATATACTTGATCATACTGTATTTTGTTCTTGGTTGCATTCCATCTTTGAAATAATAAGAAGGGTGCACCTAGAGGGGATAAACTCTATAGTTTTTAATGTTTTTCTTTGTTTCGTTTTTTTTAGTTTTAAGGTTATAAAGGGAAAATGGGATGTAATTATTTACCGGTTATAATTGTTAATATCATTTTGTGCACATAAACCCCTCAGACATGCTGAATTTTCTGTCTTTAGGCAGCAGCTGCAGGAACTGCGTCTGAAGCAGGAGCAGAACGATAGAGACCAGAAGGGAGGCCGGAGGAAGGACCTGCAGGGGGAGACGGCGGGGGAGGGATCCAAACCACAAAGACGAACACAGACACAGCCCCCCAAATCAGACTCCGACCTGCAGCCGGTGAGGCTAAAGATGCAGATTTCTACATGTTACCACAAGAGGGAGCTAAGCAGCCTCTGCCCCGTGATGAATGGTTCATATTCTGGCTGACCCCCTTTAGAATAAATGTACTTTTACACAATTTAAATAAAGCTAGAATGATATTCCTGCAGATCATTTTTATTTAATGCCTCTTGTTTCATATTAAAATATATTTTATTGTGCAGACAGGAGAAACAAACAGTGTTATCAAGGTTATTCACTGACAGTAATTGGAAATATATCATTCAGCCACAAACATCGAGGCAATAAAAACAAATTGAATCAAACGTTTCTCTGCAGCCGCCTCTGTCCAGTGTGCCGCTGCATCCTGAAGCTGCAGAGGTCCAGGAGGTGAAGAAGCAGCAGGAGGTGGAGGAGGAGGAGGAGGAGGAGAGAGAGGCGGACGAAGAGGAGCGGGAGCGGCTGGATGCTCTGCTCCGGAGGAAGAAACTGTTGCAGGACCTTGGTGTGGTGGATCAGATCCACCAGCTGCTGCAGGTCCAGAGGAAAGGAGGGCGGGTCAACAAGGACGCCTGCAGCCACCAGCAGTGCAAACCGGCTCATCAGAGACCGCAGCAGAGCAAGGTGAGAACACAGTACAGGTAACACACGTGTCCAATATGAAGACACCAATTACCTGATTTGTCATGGTTTGTATTTGTTCAGAAGTTGAAGATAATTTCTCTTTTCAGCCTCCAGTCAGTCATCAGTTTGTTTCCTGTTTTTCAGTTTGATTCGTTCAAACAGTTTTCCCAAAGGACGAAGGCACAGCCCTTCAGTCAGATCTCAGGACAGGTACTCCATGACATCACACATTCAATCGACAATTGAATCACAAAATCTTCTAATTTCAAAGAAAAAAGGATCATAATTGTGTTTCCTCGAAATTTCAGCTATCCAGTCCCTTGGGGTGAAAAAGTAATATTGGGGTTTTGTCATGATTTATTTATTTCTTCTGTTATTGGCTTTAAAAAGAAAATCCCTCATTCTGTGCAAATGACAGCAAAGCATCAGCAGAATTATGATGTGCAAAATATCGTCTTTAAAAAATGACCTACCTAAAGAAAAGCAGAAGAATTGAGAACATTTTTCAGATTCCTCTGAATTATTCTCTGAAAGTTATTAGATTTGTCGTAATTATATTTAATACAATAATGTCTTGTATAATGACGTAAAAAAGCTCAGTCACAATTTCCAGGCATCAAAAATGTCTTTTGTCTGACCGAACACCCGAATCTAAAGACATTGAACTTAATTTATTTAAAAAAATATATATCATAACAAAAAATGAAAAAAAGCAAAACAGCAAAATGACATTTTTGTAATGGCAAAATCAGAGAATTTTTTTAAAGGTTTATTTTTTGGCTTTTTATGTTTTTATTTGATAGTAAAGTGAATAGAGATGGAAATCTGGGAGAGAGAGATAGCGAAAGTGGGGAATGGCATGCGGGAAAGGACCCACAGTTCGGACTGTAGCCTCTGTCCATGGGGCGTGACCTAACCGCAAGGCCATCTGCAGCCTCAAAATCAGAGACATGTAGCTTGAAAAAGGAATTAAATGATCAATAATTGACATTCTTTTGTATTTTGAATGACTTATCTATGAGACTGTAATCACTGGAGCTTCAAATTCGATACCTGATTTTATGCAAGTTCAGCACAAAATACTTTATTAGAAAGAAAATAAATTCTAATGTTTGTCTAACTGTTTGTTCTCCGAGAGGTCAAGCAGAGCACGCTGTAATCTAAACGCACAGCAGAGTTGATTTTTTTTAGCTCTGAAGAAGTTAAAATATCCAGTCTTTGAGCATTTTTTGTGACTTTTAAATATGTATTTGTAAATTGTAAAACATTTTAAAGAGCGATCTGAAACCAGACAATCAGCCAAATCATGAAATCAACAAATTAGATTCCCGTTGTGATCGGATGTAATCGTCAGTGATCGTGTAACTCCTGAAGGACATTGTGGAGAACGTCACAATAACAATAACCTGCAGCTGTTTTAATGATTTAATGAAGCAGACTGAAATAAGACATGATGTCACCGCCGTGTCGCAGCAACTTCTCTCCCACATGACTCAGCTCGGCGTTTGGCCCTCCACGGACCAGAGGAGCATGAACGCCTCCGGCTTCCTGCAGAGCGAGGCTGAGAGCCACAACAGACCGGCAGAGATGAGCAGGACCTTCAGCGCCCAGCGGGTACACTGGCCAGGTAAACACACCTCAACACACACCTGCAACAACACAGCGGCTGAAGGGAAGGTCGACTACAGTCTAATGTTATGAATGTTTCCTTTTTGTTTTTTCACCAAGATTCAGGAAAAAAACAACCTTAATGGATTTTATCTTAATTGCACAACCAGTTTTTGCTTCTTTTTTTTTTTGCACCTTTTGTTTGAACATATGTATCTATAAAATGTTTGTTCCCCTAAATTATGAATACAAATTTAAATATAAGAAAGTAAACAAGTTTTCAGTGAAGTGTGATGAATGCAGCCATCACTCGTATCACCGTAGAACATTTTTGCAAACTTCTTCACTTCACTGACTGACATCAATTTATTAATTTTTACTCTACATTTAAAGAAGAAATATGAATTCTTGTTTTGTAGCAGCTGCGAAGAAATATTTATTTTCTTTCCAATAAACAAAGAGTTAGAAATTATCTGAAATTATTCGTTTGTACGCTTCATTTTACCATGATTTTCTTTTTTTAAATTATTATTATTGTTTGTTTTTTGTCTTATTTTGCTTTTATCAGTTGAGAGAATTTTGGTTGATATTTTAAAAATCAGGTTGTGGGGAGCATAATAATTCAATAAAACAACTTAATTAACTCTTTATTCTCAGGTCAGACAACAACATGGTCTGTTAAGTTTTCAAACTAAACGACTTCACAGCCTGATTGTCTTTTTAAACTCCTGCGTCTGTCTCCTCCTCAGCGGCGGGCGGGCCTCTCTCTGTGAGGCAGGACGCCATGAGCAGCTCCTGCACCACCGACGCCAGGTCCCGTCCCGGCATCCCGCTCATAAACAACATCCCCAGAGGAGGCCTCCGCTGCAGCTCCCTCGCGTCCCACGACCCCGCTGCCCTGCAGAGCCTGCTTGTCGTCTCAACCCGTGCCCCCCTGGTCCGGAGGCCTGGCTTCTCTCACATCGTAAGAAACTCCTCCCGCAGAGCCCCCCAGTACGGAAAAGGCCAGTGACCATAAAGCAGGAGCGAGGGGGCAGTGGGGGTGTCTGCATTTAATCCGCTCCTGGATTAAGTAGATCTCCGGGACGGGAGGAGAGCTAGAGGAGGAGAGGCCGTTAAAACTGTGAAAACACACAAACACACTGTGCCTGTGATGGAAGTTTGAACATGAATTTTATATCTGCTCCTGCAGTTCACGCTGCCTGCCACAATAAAACCCTCCAGCAGAAACAACACAACCCACTGAGTGTGTGCTCACATGTGAAATATTTACCTCTGAGGGTGAATTATGTCACACAAAGCTGCAAAAAAACAAAACAGTTTAGTGCCAAATAAAAGCAGAAAAGCCTGATTTTACACCACAAGAACTATTCCTTCCTCTGTCCCTCATTTCTGACTTTGACATCAGCTGAAGCTCTGCTCATTAAACAGAATGCCAGTTAACATTTCCAACCTCATTGTACCACAACCTGCAGGGATATTGAAATATTTAAAGGCCTTCTGCTCCCTTTTTCCGCACACATTTATTTTTTTGAATTCCTGTGTAGTTTTTTTTTTTTTTTTTTTTTTGCACTGATGTTAATAAAGCATCTTTTTTTTAAATGTTCTTCAGTTTTAGTTTTCAGTCTCTTCTTTTTATTCAGGATATGTTTATTCATTATTTTTGGATAATGCAGGACTTTAAAAAAAAGTATTTTTTAAGCCTCAATATTTTTATTCTCACATTTTTATATTGTTTTTGTTAGAATTAGAATTAGAGTTTTTACTGTTTGATAAGTAAGGTCGCTCCTCGGGTTCATTCTGCAGCTCATCACTGAGATAAAGAAGTCGTAAAGTTTTACAACATCCGCTGTCTTTTGTTCTGCTCACAGACTGAAGACAAATCGAGACAAAACTTTCAAATGATCAACGAAATGATCTGAGCTGCTGCTGCATCCTATTGGACAATAAAACCCTGCACGTTTAATAAAGAGTTCACACCGAGTTTGTACAATCATTTACAAATACACACAGGCGCGTTACTACATAAAGAAAACGCTGTAAGGATTCGTTAAAAAGAAGCGAGCTTAAGGAGTGTAATCGTGAATCTAAAGCCTTTAAATTAAGCTTCATAAATATATAATTAAAATGTAAATGCATCTCGGATTTGAATCGAGATGTTTAATATTCGTCCTGTGATGCTGAAAGGCCTCCGCCTGCAGAACCATGAAGATATTTGAGTAACAATCTTGCGGGCCTGCAGAGAGAAATCAACAGCTCTGAATAAAAGGCCTTATGTTATTAGTTTGTATTATTATGGGATAAGATTCTTAAACTTTTAAATCTATTTTTTTGATTAAGTCAGATCCATAATTCTGTAATTTCTTCAAACTGCACTTTCACATTTTAAAGACACGATGATCCAGCTGTGAGTTTGTATCTTTGGAGGTGAAACGAGCTGTATTCACGGAGTTTATGGTTTTATTGCGTCTATAAATGTCGGAAATCCTCATAGGGAGGGGAAATCAGCAGCATTCAGACTGAAAAGGGCTTTTTTTTTTAAACAAAGAAAACGGAAATTAGACGAAAAGAAATAATAAGAAATAAGATTCAGAATAATGTTTAAAGGTTTGAGACGTCTTTAGTCTGTGGTGGGAATTTAATTTTGTCCTGGTATTCTTATTCAAATGAAAAGTTGGTGATGAAATGAAGTTTTTGTGAGTTTAAAATCCCCTCAGGACTCAAACCACTCCGATAAGACTTCAATCTCCGGCCTGTGCTTTGATCAAATTCAACTGAAGGGAACAAATCCTCCAGTTTGAGATCATGAAACGTCTTTAATGCTTGTGAGCTCATTCTTTGGTGTTTTGAGGATGTGTTATGGAGGTAAGTGAAACGTAAAGAAGCAGTTACGGAGATTTGGAGTCAGAATAGTCTGAATGAACCCCCCCGCACATCTAGATCACATCACAGTAAACAAGAAGAAGCTGTACAGACCTTCAGTGCAGGAACAGAACCAGGTGCGCATGACGCACAATGTCACCCTCACACTTCCAACATCCTCACATTTCCCTTTTCTTCCCTCTCTTCTTCTTAAGAATCCTGCTTCACATTTACACATCTCAGGCCTCGGATATAAAATAAAGATGGCGATGAGAAAGCGCGTCTAAAGCACAAAAAACGGCGGCTGTTTATGAGAATTTACAACTTTGCTGTGGAAGTTTACGACTCGCGCGGCTCTGGGATTGGTTGCTGGCGGTCATGTGGACAGCAGGAATGGGAACTTATTTCCCATGAGGTTATATTGCAGCTGCTGTTTTTTCCCCCCGCACATTCACTTAACACTAGTAACACAACCTTTTTCTTGGATCTTTGTATGTGCACTGTTGTTTTTTTTTTGGGGACGTTTGGGGGACTGTTTACGCGCGTAATTTTCTTTATCCAAAATGAGGGCAGAGCGCAGCCTCCTCTCTGTGTGCGCCATGTTAATGTAGCTGAAAATGGTTTCTGTGTGCGTGAAAATGAGGGATCATCACACTCCTGGATGCCGGGGATTACTTTCAGGACATCACTTGAGCAAAGTGTGGGGGAATTTGTGTTGGGAAAGCACCGAGAGGAGAGAGAGAGCGTCTTCTGCAGGAGTGGCACCCACACACAGCCTCATGATGGATTATCAACAAAAGGTAAGGGCACCGTGTTTCTAATACGCCGCCGATTAAGTCAGCACAAGTGCGCCGCTGCAGCGCTGTTGTGGCTGGACTGTCACTGTAGGCCTGCTGTTTAGATTACAGGATATAAGATCATCAGTCTCTTTAAGAAATGGAGAATATCCAGCATCCAAAGCGTCTTTTTTTCCCCACCTGCTCTGTGTGAGATATTCACACCGTGGCTGTCTGTGTCTGTTTTTAACCCGTGAGGTGCTGCACTTCTTTAAAAGAGGACAACAATCTGCTTTTAATTATAGTAAATAATCCAGTTTAATCCATGTTGGAGGCCTACAGGGTGATAATGATGTTATATAATCAAGACGGCTGCAGGCCTGACAGGCTCGAGTCTGCTGATGACGATGTTGATGATGATGATGAAGGACAAACAGGCCCATGAGCTGATGCTAAAGCTTTTCTTTTTAACATTTCTTTAGCAAAATCTACTTCAATTTTAATCTTTTATCAAATTCAGTTCATTAGATATTCTTTCAAATCTTTGTTTCACGCTGAACATCCTCTTAGAAGTCCTTTTAGTGTGATAGCGCGAGGCTCCTTCTCGAGCTGTTTCGCGTCTCTTTTATCCAAATATTTTTAAAATCTTTGCACAAATCTTCGCCCTGCTTTTGGCTCCTTTTCGATTTCACGAATATTTCACAGCCTGGCGTGACTGCGTGGAAACATTTAGTTGTGTTTCTGTCGAGTCTGCAGTGTTTTTCTGCCTCCTGTTCGCTGCTTCTGCTGCTGCGGTGGTTTTTTTTTTTTGTCCTGAGATGTGAAAACGTTGGATTGTCTTTGAGTCGGTATCAGTGACTCTTGTTTGTTTCCAGATGTGAGCAGCAGCTGTTATCAGCCTCCTGCAGGGCTGCGGCCTGCTGCAGAGACTGGGATGTCTTACTCTGTTGAATGCAAATATTTTAATATTAATACAAGCCTTTTGATAAAAATGATTTTCGTACAAATGTTGATCCAACACAGATATTAAGGCCTACACATCCTCCGCGAAGACGAAAACCAGATTTTTACATTTAATTCTACCAAACTTTCTTAAAAAATAAATTAAATGTAGCAAATTCCCATGCAAAACAGTGCCATACATTTTTATAATCACATTATTTATTCATTAAATGAAACGCCTTATTTCGTTCTCGTGATTTATTTATTTATTTATTATTGAGCATGGCGACTTCAAATAGAGTAAATTAAAAAGGTAAAAATTATCTTTAAGCGTTTTTAAGCATCAGAGAAATAAGATAACATTTGATTTTAAGATTTTAAGAGATTATTAAGCACCAAAATCAAACATCAGTGTCGTTATTATGAGGTTAATAAATGTCTCTAACCGCAGGAGTGAAACTCAAAATAAAGGTTATTAGTTATAACGAGCAAGGAGGGGAAATATGATGTATGCTGTGAACAAAATAACAAATAAAGAACATTAAAAAACAACATATTGATATCTGTAATGAAGCATGATGAGCTGCTTATTGTTTCTTATTCGTTGAGAAGTGACTCAACACTCATCCTGCCTTCTTTCACACGTTTATACTCACGCAGGTTATTTCTTTAAATGGCTTATTCGTTCCCATTGATCGCGAGGGGATGAAGGTGTTGAAGGTGATGATGATTTTCTTATTAGAAGCGCGTGTCCTCACTCCATGCTCCTCTGCACGTCCTCGTGGACTCACAGGACGAGCTCGCGCCCTTTAAAAAGCACAAAGATGAAGATTATTGACTCGTTTCTGTCTCATAAATTGATGCTGGTTATTATGATTTCTGCTTGTTGTTCAGAGATACAGTTTATTAGTTTATTGAGTTGATTATTGACCCAGGAGGGAGGAGAAGGTTGGAGATGGAGGATGAGGAAGAGGGAGAGGGAGAGGGAGAGGGAGAGGGAGAGGGAGAGGGAGAGGTCAGGGAGGGGGACGATGTTCGCTCTGTGTTCGTATTTGTGCGTAAATGGAGATAATGCGCAAAGTATTTGGCATTTCATTCGTTTGTCCTTTCTGGTTTTTGCAATGTGTGTGTGTGTGTGAGGGGGAGGGAGAGTTTGTGCACATTGCAGAGCTTCAGAAGTCCGTGTGTGTGACAAAAAAGTTCTCAAACAAACATCTTTTCTTTCTAAATATATGTTTTAATTTTTCGGTTCTATAACGCACGTCGTGCGTAAAAGCCCGGACAGGCTGGAGCGCTTCATTTCGATTCACCGGGGACCCCTGCGCGCAACAAGAGCCCCCCCATGGGTGCAATAGTGCAAACACAGGCTGCGGTGATTGGCCAGAGGTTGATCAGATGGTACACTTCCCCTCTGTATTCAGTGGCACCTCGCAGCCCCCCCTTTCAGCAAAAACCAAATCTCGGATAAAGTAATGGCAAAACCACTTGGACTATAAAAGACAACAAATCATATTCCTCCGGAGTATATACACCCCGTTGTCCACCCAATGAGTTCCTATTTTGTTAACTCAACTTTTCCCGTGTCTCTACCGGGAGGACAGGACTCTCTCCTGGGTCAGATACCGTTATATTCCTCGGGATACACCGATCCGTTAAGACACTACTCCAACGCGGCCACATATGGAGCCGCCAACATGCAGGACAAGGTTTACCCCGCGTCCTACTACCAGCAGACGGGCGCAGCAGCCGCCGCGGCCATCTACGGCCGGGCGAGCGGCGGAGCGCCCTGCGACTACAACCCGGTCGGGACTTTCTACAAGGACGCGGAGGGCTCCTGCGCTTTCTCGAGCCGCGAGGAGCAGCCGCTGTTTGTCACTCAGGAGCATCAGCAGCGTAAAGCGGAGTGCGCGGAACAGGCGGTCAGCATGAGCAGCAGCAGCAGCAGCCTCGACGACAAGTCCTCCACCCTCATCTACCCGTGGATGCAGAGGATGAACGCCTGCTCCGCCGGTGAGTACCACCACTCGGATCTCACGTTTTTCTCTCTCTGTTGTTGTCACGCAGCCCTGGAGGTAAAAAAGAATCCCGCGCTGCGTGATGGAGTGGTCGTCCCGAGCCTCTCTCACACACACAGTTTACCTGTCAGCTGTGCCGAGTCTCTGACACTCACACTGATTTTTAACTTTACGCACAGAAACATCAAAATAATCTGATAGTCACTGAGTTTGAGATGATCGTTAATGGATCTTTGTGCTTCCTTCAGGGCTTCGGCTGCTTCATCATCATCATCACATAGACGCGCACACACGCACACACGCACGCACACACACACACACACACACACGCACACACACACATGCAGACTTGGCCTACACCACCCGAGCTTCAACTTAAAGCCCTTAATGTTACACTTACTCATGGAGCTTTTTCACGTTTTTGAGCTACAGTAAATATTTTAAAAACACTCTGAGTAGCTTTTTAAAGCCTCACATGAAAACACAAATATCCTAATTTGATTGCTTTTCTTCATTTTTGTACATTCTGAGTCTGAAAGTACATCTTCACCCTACAGTAATACAACAATACACTGATGTGACAACAGAGGCTAGGGTCACTTTTACGCACAAAGTTCAGGCACAGTACAGTGTACATACATACACTGGAGCATCCATTAATGACATCATTTGGCAGGTTTTGCCAATAAAAATAAATACAAAGCTCATTATTAACTCACTGTAGTGTGTAGCATGGGTATAATTAACAAATATGATTGACTAATCTTAATAATTTATAGAAAATATTCCTTAAAAAACAATCAAATCCATTGTGTGCCAATGTGAGGCGTTAACGCACCACAGGAAAATACTGTAATTTGAATATAAATAATGTGACGTGTTTAATAAAGTACAGTTTTTTACATCATTATATTCATACACAATAAAAGATCATATTTAAATGTTAAAATATTGTAAATTTCAGTTAAATTACCACTATGTTGTATTTTTTCAGACGTACGCCTTCAGATTTCAAGTGCACTGTCAGGTAGATTTTCTTTTGCACTTTGGTAAAATCCTCCATCACGAGTATTCATTATTAACTGATGATTTTTGGATGTGTTTTGTTTTTTGTTCCCAGGGCCGTTTGGCAACAGTGGGCGCAGGGGCCGACAGACCTACACCCGCTACCAGACTCTGGAGCTGGAGAAGGAGTTCCACTTTAACCGCTACCTGACCAGGAGGCGCCGGATAGAGATCTCTCACGCCCTGTGTCTGACCGAGAGACAGATCAAAATCTGGTTCCAGAACCGCAGGATGAAGTGGAAAAAGGAGAACAAACTCCTGAATCCCTCAAAGACAGCGGAGGAAGAGGAGGAGGAGCAGCAGCAGGCGGAGAAAAAGAGCTAAAAAGGACACTGAAGAAAGAGGAAAAGAGGGCACGTGTGTGTGTGTGTGTGTGTTTGTGTGCACACTCCTGAAATAAAATCATTTCTTTGTAGATAAAGTGCCATGTTAGAGATAGAGACTTTATTTCAGTATGTGCACGGTGATAATGTCTGCATTAGGTTTTAAAATCTGTCCTTGTGCTCGTGTGTTTATTTAGGGGACTATGCAAAAAAAAAGAAAAACCCGCCAAAATGTAAATAATAAGTGTTTAGTTTTTGAAAATGTTGTTACCTCATCTACTGACTTTGTTTGAATTGTTTTTTTGTCCCCTCATGGCATTAAAAAGAGTCTCTCTGATGTACATCTTGTGCTGTAGTTGTTCTCGAATAATATTCAGAAAAAAACAAAAAAAACAAAAATAATAATAATATTATTAGTGTATAGGCTTTGTTGTTTACAGCTGTGCCATCCACATTTGTACAGATGTTACATGTTATTTATTGTTGTTCATTCACCATGTGTTCAATGCACATCTTGGATATTGTGTGCAATATTTTGTTTAGAAAAATTGTACATAGAAATAAAGGCTTTTTGATGTATATTGGAAACTCTTGTGGCGTCATTCGTGCTCAAGGAAAACATGCTCATTTTAATATGATTATTTAATATCATATGGGGGTTAGGAGTCAAAATAATCCAATAAATCGATATAAAAAAAAAAGTTAAATAAAAAGATTATAAATAATTTCCTCAGTGACGCTGTGCAGATCTCTCTTTGTTGATAAGTCTGTGTTTGGAGCTACCTGAGCCTTCTGTGGCCTACATTATCAGCGTGTTACATAAATGATGGATGACTCCGCGGCCCCCGGTGGGGAGCAGTACCACCTCTCTCCGGAAGATGGCGCCCTCTGCCCGCCGCGGCTCTCGGGGGCGCAGCGGGGAGGCAACCATTGACTGGAGCCTAACGACCATTATTTCGTCATCATTTGTAACCATGGAGCATGAATTACCTCTTGAAGTCATCAGTGAGGATTTACGACTGGTCAACAAAGGCACGTGATTCCCGAACGCTCTCCCCATATTTGGCCGCATACCTGGCAAAGTACAGTAGGGGCTTCATTGCTTATAATTCATGATTGCATCCATAAATCGTGCAAGCACACAGGATTATAGCGACAAAGATCTACAAATCGAGGCTTTAAAAATCCAAGCAAATGAGCTCCTACTTTGTAAACTCGTTCTCAGGGCGCTATCCAAATGGCTCCGACTATCAGTTACTAAATTATGGGACTAACGGCGCTGTGAACGGCTCCTTCAGAGACCCTGGCACCATGCATTCCGGGTCTTTCGGCTACAACTACAATGGAATGGACCTAACCGTGAACCGCACCAACACCGGCAGCCACTTCCCGGCGGTGCGGGAGGATGCGCGGGGGTTCGGCCAGGACGCCCGCTACAGACAGACGCCCAACAACTGCTCGCTGTCCTCCTCCCAGGATCCGGTGCCGCAGCCGCCGCCGTCGTGCGCCACGGCCAGCCGGGAGCCGCTGGAACTAAAGAGCCCCTCTCCTCCCTCTGACCGGAGCGCGACCTCGGGCGGCAACAACCTGAACAAAAACACGAGTGCTCATTTCACGGAGATAGAGGACGCCACCGTCGCGTCCGAGACCGAGGAGGGCGCGCACAGCAGCGGCGGCGGAGCCAGCTCTGTTCCGCGGGCGCAGCAGCAGCAGCAGCAGCAGCAGCACCAGGACCCCAACGCCACCTCCTCCACCCCTTCATCAAACGATTGCCAATCGCCACAAATATTCCCCTGGATGCGGAAGCTGCACATAAGCCATGGTATATTCACACCTCTTACTAATATTTATATTTGAAGGATGTCACGCTCGTAAATCTGTCAGGTGTTGCATGAGTGAGCAGCGTGGTGTGTGGATGGCTGAGGCTGTTTTTTGTGGAGTGCTTGCGGGGGTTTTGTTGGCATCAGATGAAGGTTGCAGACTGGGAGAGAATGCGTGAAGAAAATGTGGATTTGGACGCGTAAATGTTGCAGAAGTAGGAGAGAGAAGAAGCTATAAAAAAACAATAACAGTGGAGTGTTTGTTGTTGCATGCTTTTCGTGTTTCGTGACGCCAAAAAAAAAAACCTCACAGCCTCATCCTCTTGAGGCTGTTGTGTTTTTTTTTTTTTTTTTTGCAGTTGCAGTTGCTAATTTTTTTTTTTTTGTTGCAAAAAAATTCTCTGTAAAATTGTAGATATGACTGGACCAGACGGGAAAAGGGCCCGAACCGCGTACACCCGGTACCAGACGCTAGAGCTGGAGAAAGAGTTTCACTTCAATAGGTACCTCACCAGACGGCGGAGGATAGAGATAGCCCACGCCCTGTGTCTTTCCGAAAGACAGATCAAAATCTGGTTTCAGAACCGCAGGATGAAGTGGAAGAAGGACAATAAACTGAAAAGTATGAGCCTGGTGACGGGAGGCAGCGCCTTCCACAACTGAATAACTTTTTTTTGTTTGTTTGTTTTTGTTGTTGGGGTGGAATTAAAAAAAAAATGATAATAGTAAAGAAAAGAATAAAAAGAATCCATGAGTACTGTAAAGCTATGAGAAAAAAAAGCGCAGCACCTTTCCTTCCTTCCTTCCAGCATGCTATTGTGATAGAAAAAGAAGTATTCTGTGGTGTTAAGAAGTTTTTAGTTCCTGTTGTTGTTCTATGATAGCTTCTAGATGTCCTGTTTGGAGAAGAAGAAAAAAAAAAGATGTAAATATGAACTGGGAAGGGGGGGGGGTAATTAATTGTCTTTTGTTGCTCTCTCTCTCTCTCTCTGTCTCTCTTGAAGGTGTTTCAACTTTGAGCTCTTTATTGTGACTTCTTCACGGTCTAACAGGAGTAAATTCATTGTACAGTTATAGTAAAAAAAAAAAAAGATTTCCAAACCATATGCTGCTCTTCATTGAATGTAAACCTTATTATTATTATTATTAATGTACTCCGGGGCCATTCAAAAAAAACGCTTTAGTGTAACTTTTGATGCTATTTTTGATCTTGTGGCCAGATCCATATCCAAAACTTTTCATAAACAAGCCAGTTGTTGTAGCTCTGTAGGATATTTTGTGCATCTGTTATTCCTGATTATTATTATTGTTTAGGGTCTAATAATGAGCAATGCAAAATGTATTCAACCTGTCAATGTGATCAATTTTTAGTGCAAAGGGTTATTCTGTGCATTAGGCAGTGATGTAAGCTTTTTTCGCCAATAAGCTTTTTGTATTTGTAAGTGAACTCATAGCGCTTGGAAAATAAAGTTTCTCTCAATTGCTCTGATTTGTCTTCCCCTGAATTATCAGTTAGAATAAAGCGAATAAAAGCAAGACTACAAGGCCTCGATTTCGGGCTTTTGTCGTGCGTAAAAACTTCTGCTAAAGTCGCTAATCATTAACTAACATTAACAACATTTCAGGCTTCTTATTTAGCACCAAGAGAAGAGAAACTTTCCTCTAACTTACCTCCTCTGCTGCAGGATGTTGGGATTTCCAGGCGAGGAAAAAAATGTTAAAATCCAAATTAAAAAAAGAAAAGAAGTGTCTTTGGCTTTCAGGTATATAAGCAAGGCTGAAGTTTGGTAAAAAATCCTCCCTTGCCAAAGATTGTATAGGCCTATATTACTTACAGACTGTGAAAAGTCACGTGAGGTCCATAAAGTTGGTTTTATGGTTTTGGGGAGTAGACAATGTACTATATAATTCACAACCTTGAATGAAAGTGACGGCTTAACTGCATCATGGACGGGACTGGAAAGGCTGGACTGCACGAAGAGATGTCCGGTCATAACTGCAGGGAAAAAACAACAATATGGCTGCTTCATTTTTATTTAGAAATATTAGATACGAATTAAAGTTCTATAGGTTTAAGTGTGGATTTTAGCTGCTGCTTTCCCCCTAAAAAAAAAAGTTATTTACACTCCAACAATCTGAGCCAGGTTTATTTATTTTTGCACTTTAAAACATCTCAAATTATTTGACACTTTTACAGAATAAAATCTAACCTTTTTATTTTTTTAGAGATGCATCTACAGGCCAATTTTTCTTTTCCTAGCAATTGCAGTTATTTTTTAAAGTTAAAATGCTTTTTTTTTTTTCTTTTTGCAAAATCTTTTAGTCAAAGAAGAAAAAAAAAGGCAGATTCTCGTCTTTGTGCAGCTGACATGAAACGAACTTGAGCGAGCTTCCTGGAGTGATTGATCCCGGTCTGTGGAGTCACCGAGCGGCCAAAGGTGAAGTCTCGGACAAGCCCCTGATCTGGACTCAGGCTTCACTGCTTTAACATAAAGACCTCTCGGTACCTAGATGTGCAGCCCTGTATGCATTGTCCATCGGGGCCTCTTATATAAAACATAAATGATGTTATCCTCAGGAAACTCTTCTTCTGCAGTATTCTCTAAAAGTCCCCTCAAAACTCATTCCAGGTTTTTTTTTAAAAGAAAAAAAAGTTTAAAAACCAGTGGTGGGCTATATGTGTCCCAGACATTTTCCACAGATTCATAACTATTAAGTGGCAATTTAACCAGCGTAATGAGTATTGCATATTGATAGGGGTAATCTGTAGCCGGATCTCATGCATTATTCATGGCGGCGGGGATCATCGCTGGGTCAGGAGACGGTGCAGGCTGCAGCCGCAGATGCGTCAGGAGGAAACGCTGCTGCTGCTGCTGCTGCCTCACTTTGCACTGTCACGATGGAGACTCTGATCGGACAGCAAATCTGTGTTTCTGCACGACAAAAAAAAACAACCCAAAACCTTTATTCATTATCTTCTTGATGCTTTTAACTTGATTTTGTTTTTAAATCACTGCAAACATTGTGTGCGTGGATTTAACAAATTTGAGTTTGAGTATGACAGTGAGGAACACTTTATTTATTCAGCATTTTTAAAGCACTTTGTTACTTTCATGCTTAGCAAAACTCAGGAATTAAAACATATAACAAATGTTTTAGAGAGAAAACACCAGAATGGACACAATAAGAACCAGACAAGGATCGAAAACTATGAAGATTTGTAAACTGAATCGAGTTCTTTAGAGGTTTAAACCGATCTAAAGATGCTGCAGCAAAGATGGTTTGTAATGTGTATAGAATATATCATCTTATATCAGTTTGTACTGGTGCAACATACAGGCCTACTGCAAATAACAAAGCTGCAGAGCCTCATGTAATGCATCAAAATACATTCATTTTAAACCTTAAATCTGTGTTAGTTTGGATGCAAAGTCTACGCATACAGAGTATTAGAAGGCAGCTTCTGTTTAAACACAATAAAATATCAGATTATAATTAAAGCTTAAGAGAAAAACTGTTTTTATTTTGGAAATAAATAAGAAAAAAACAGTTAAATCTCCTCATTTGGACTTTACTGCAGCCTCACTAATTGAATCAAAATGTTCAAATACATTAAATTAGTGTCACCTTCAGCTGTTTATTTTTCTGTGAGGTCAGTGTGTGTGTGAGTCATGATGCTGAACATCTGGTTGTGTGTGTGTGTGTGTGTGTGTGTGTGTGTGTGTGTGTGTGTGTGTGTGTGTTCACCTCTCTGCTGCTGGTTTCACAGAGCAGGCTGCAGTGCTGCCGCTCCGCCAGCAGAGGGCGCCTCAGACCGGCACGCAGGATGATGGATGAGTTTTTTTCTTCCTCTGCTTCGAGCTCTTCTCACAGAGGGGGCCTCGAGGTTACAGAGCACACACACCAGAGTGACTGCAGATTGTTTGTTTTCCAGATCAGCAGGTTATTATCCAGATATGAGAGGACAAAACAAAACCTTTAATCCTGGAAACTTTGAGCTGAGAGTGAATATAAAATCAATTAAAACGTTTTTCACTTCATTAATCCTGCAAGCCGCTGAGTGTATCGTCTTTAATTCTAAATGTTACTCCCAGTCTCAGGTCATTTTTACCTCACTGGGGTGTTTCTCATTTATATAATTGAAAACCACAAGAGGAAGCTGTAGTCGAATTGTTTTTTTTAAATATATATTTTTGTATTTGTAGTGGCTAATTGTCCGAGCTCCTGCTGCCTCTCTTGCGCTGGTAAAAAAAAAACCATAGGCCCACCCAGGTGCATGCTGGTCCTCTACCTGCCTCTTACCTATATAACTATTCAAAACTGAATTTACTTCACAAACCAGTAGCAAAAAGAACATATCAAAAGTCTATTCTTAATAAAGAAAATGTAGAATAACTAAATCATTTTCCAGTTTGAGCTCTTCTTGCAGCGCTTCCTTTAAATAAATATAAACTGTTCTTACTTACTTTTATGTCCTAAAATATACAGGCTACTTGTTTATGAAAACCTACATGACATTAAATCTGATACTGAATCAAATAACTTACCTAAAAAAAATAAACATCAATTAAAGTCCAGCATTCAAACTCTTACTGAAGATACAAAAGCATGAGTAGGAAAATTGACTTAAAGTAGGAAAAAAAGCCATTTAAAGACTGACTTCAACATGAACATTAAAAAGGTAAATGGGCTTCATTGAGCTTGTATATTTCTTTTCTAGCCTTCAGAATACTCAAAGCTCTTTTACTCCGCAGGTCACACCTACACATTCACACACTGATGGTAGAGGCTGCTGTGTGAAGTGTTCATCAGTATTTATTAATACATTCATCCATTCATACACCGCTGACGAAGCAGCAGGAGCAATTCAGGGTTAAGTGTTTTTCCCGAGGACACATCGGACATGTAGCTTCAGGAGCTGGGGATCGAACCCTCGATCTCTCGGTTGAGAGACGACCGACTCTACAAAACTGAACCTCAGTTTTTTTGGATTATGGTTGAATATAAAAAAAGGAAAATAATTGTTCACAGCTCAAACTATGTTAAATAATAAAACCTGTCGCTCCAAACCTTCAGAGTTAAATCAAAGTGTTTCCTCCAAACTAATCAGGTTTTTATATTTTGATGAATGTTTGAGACCGAATGTATGATTGATATTTTGCAAAAGCAGAAACACATATTTACATTTGTGTCACAGACGTTTTTGTTCTTCTTTCATCTCTCTTAATATTCAACCTTAACCCATTCAGATTTGTTATGTGAAGTTATTTTTGGGGCCTTTTTGCCTGGGGCAGCAGCTCAGTAGGGGCTTGGGTACTGGACGGTCGCAGGTCGCTTTGAAATAAAACTGATCCCTCTTTTCATAATTCCTGATGAACTGTATTAAGATGCTCTTATAGTCGGGTCTGAAGAAGGTGTGCGTCTGCCTGAGTAAAGGGTCAGAGTATTACTTCCTCTGCTGTGAGCCTGAAGGGAGATCAAACTGAAATAGTTAAAAACAAATGAAAAGACAAAGGTGGCTGTTATGACAAATCCTCAAACTTACTTTGTTATAAACAGGACAGCGAGAGAGAGACAGGAAACATTAAAGGAGAGAGTGAGGGGATGACGTACAGCAAAGGGCCGAGGTCAGATTTGAACCCACGGCGACTGCGACGAGGACTATAGCCTCTGTACATGGGGTGAGCGGTTTAACCACTAGGTTACCGGCAGCCCTTACGTACATCTACAATTTCATGACGGTGAAAGTTCTTTAACACGCTCATGATGGAGTGGATTTAATATGTTTATGATTTCAGTGGTTTAAGTTATCAGATATGATATGAGCTTGGGGGCACCGGTGGTCTAGTGGTTATGTCGTGCACCTCATGTACAGAATCCTCATCTCAGCAGCCATGGGTTCAAATCTGACCTATGCCCCCTCTGCACGTCACCCTCCCCCCCCCCGCCCTCCTCCCAACACCTCCTGTCTCTCCTGAGATGACGTCGTGTAGGTTCAAAACGTCTCCAATCCTGTTTAAGTTTTGTGTGTGTGTCTTCAAGGAGTTATTTTATTTATTGATTAATCTTTAAAAAAGATTTCACATATCAGTTGTAGGCTCGATGTAAAACCTCCTTTAAATCGATGACTTTTATTGAGAGACAGGACAGAGTCAGAAATCAGGGAGAGAGAGAGTGTGGATTAACGTGCGGGAAAGGAGCCACAGGTCGGATTCGAACCCGGGCCGCCTGCTCGGAGGACTACATCCAGAGGTGCTGCTTGTCAACATGCAACTGCTTGGGGCCCCAGACCAGTAGGGGGCCCCCTTAGGGCTCACAAACTTTAAACCACAGCAGCAGTGGCCAAAAATTAGCAAATTTGTGCAACGACAGTATGGAAACCTCCCTAAGGGGGCCCCATCTGACAGCACTCACTCTCCATGCATTACTGCAGTGAAAACCAAAGTTTTGTCAATGAGAGTCAACCAAAAAAAAAAAAAAAAAAAAAAAGAGGAATTATCCGTCTACAGGAGAGAAAACAGAAACAGGACAAATAAGAGGAGGAGGAGTAAGCAGACATAATGGTGATACATGGGGCCCAAAACTATTTTTTGCCCGGGGCCCCAACAGAGTCTAGAATCGCCACTGACTATACCCTCTGTACAGGGAGCACCGCTGACCACTAGGGTACCTGTAAGCATTAATATGAAACCTTTTTAACATTCATGACATGATGGCTTTTATGAAAATGAGGATTATCTCAAAATAAAAAAAGAATTTTCAAAACCTGGGAACACAAAATGTCTCGTCTCAGAGCCAATAATGGAGCTTAATGATCGATCAACAATTAGAAACACAGTTCATGGTTTCCCTCCTACACACAGGTCGTCTTATTCTACATGGAGGAGTTTCAGTTTAGAGAGAACATCGAGTCTCTTTTTTTGTCCGTCTTAAATGTGAGCGTCGTGTTTTAAATAGGCCTACAGGACGTTATTAAGGAGATGCTTTAAATAGGCTCAGGCTGACTTCCTGTCATCTATATATACCCTGTAGATCCGAATTTGTGTAAAAATAACAGCAGCCACAAGTTCGCGTCTTGGGGAGTATGTAGGTGATGACACTTCACCTCTGAGGGAACAAAAAGAATCATTAAAGGTCAATAATTGTTTCTTGTATGACCAATAGGACTCTGCTCTGTGTTTGTTGTTTTCTGGGTATGTTTGTTAAATTGTTGTTTTTTTCAGTTTGACCCTCTCTGAGTGTTTCTCTCCTCCTCCTCCTCCTCCTCCTCCGTCTCTGCACTCTGTCGGAGAATATGACATCTGTGAGAGTTGCAGGACAGGCCCTTCTTCAATGCGGGTCATTGTTCAGCACGTCATCTGTCTTCTTTTCACGGCGCGCGGCCTGATTGCGCTCGAGGAGGAGTTTTGAGAGCGTGCAGGGAAACGTGAGGAGGACCCCTCAAACAAACGGCTCCAACTTAGACTCCCAAACAGACCCCGGGACTGAGAACCTGCTCTCTGATGACGACCAGATGAGACCCGAGGAAATGTGAGTTCAAATCAAACATGTTTGTTTCATGAGTTTATGTCATTATGTGTCTTTAAGCATTTATATTCAGAGCTCAGTAAATGTAATGTGTCTGTAAGCAGATGTGCGTCACAATATTTATTATTACCGTAAAACTTCTATTACGGTGATAGCCCGGGCTTTTATTTGGGACAGGCGTTTTTAGGGAGAGGGGCCTTTAATTATTTTAAAACAAAACTTGTGCACAGCAAAGATGAAGAAGGACCAGAAAACTGTGAATTTATACCAGAAAGAATATTTAACTGTGCATAAACAAGTCAAGTTAAAAATCACCCAGCGTCCAAAACTCTAAGGAATCCCTTAAGCTGACCTGCTGTGTATGCACGTGTATGCACGTGTGTGTGTGTGTGTGTGTGTGTGTGTGTGTGTGTGTCTCTGTGTGTGTGTGTGTGTGTGTGTGTGTGTGTGTGTGTGCGTGTGCGTGTGTGTGTGTGTGTGTGTGTGTGTGTGTGTTTGTAATTGTGTATGGTGGTTAAATACATATTTTGGTTTGGAGTGATGGAGTACAACCTATGAGACAGATTTTGATGTAGAGTTGTTTCTATCTATGACATTTCCCTTTACCTATGAAACTATGATTATTAATTATGTTGTGACATTGAATGTTCAGATGTACTCAGACCCTCACTCAATAAAATAATATACTATATATATATGTATATATATATATATATATATATATATATATATATATATATATATATATATATATACCCACACATACCCCTTACTTTGATGTTCTGGTTGACTGAATTAAATCCAACTTTTTTCTACAAAAAAATAATGTAATGATATATATATATATATTTAAATCATTACCCAATCTGATTTCACTTTTTAAGACAGTACACCAAACTGCTGCACAGCTTATAGGGCCAGAGGTGATTCTAGAGTCCATTGGGGCCTGAAGCAAAAACTCACAGGGCCCCCCCGGCCCCCCCGGCCCCCCCTCCCCGATCTAACCAACTGTCACTGCCATTATGTTATAAAAAGTCTGACTTTAATTTCCAAACTTAATTTTCTTGGGAAAATTGTGACACTTTCACCATCAGATGGGGCCCTCTTAGGGAAGTTTCCTACAGTGATTGCAAAATTTGGACATTTCGGGCCCCTGCTATGGTTTTTCGTTAGCCCCCCCTACTGGCCTGGGGCCCCCAAGCTGTGTCCTGCTTTGCCTGTTGACGAGCAGCGCCTAAGGCTAGGGCGGGACGATATGACAAAAAATGTTATTGTGATAAAAACGATAATTATCACGATGAATGTCAAATCATTATTTCATATTTTAAAGGTGTGTTTTTTCTCCTGAGTGAAAGTTGAAGAGACCAGATTGTGGTTTAATGATTCTTTATTGTTTGAACATGACAAACTAAACGTGAACAGAATATTTACCATCATAAGCTCGGTGCACATTGCTGGAAGATACTGAGAAAAGTTACATCACAATATTTATCGTTGTCGCTTTATCGCAGACGTTTCATAATATTTGATCTGCTAACTAATCAACACTAAACACATCAGCATATGAGTGCTAATAAAATAAGATATATATAGGAATACAATAAAAATAAAGATAAAGGTAGAATGTATTTACAACTAGTATTAAGTAAACTATACGCCACTTAAGATCCAAACTATACACTAAAAACTATAAAGGACTTTGAGACATAATAAGTAACACGTTTAAGTTAAAGTGACCCGTTATGAGCAAGCGTAATCTCCGGTCTTAAAAAATGAAGCTAATGCAGAAGTGCAAAATCCCGCAGTTTGTTGAGTGTCCGCTTGAGGCTAGCTCCATCTTATCTTGATTTCATCGTGTCACCATCATTTTAAGTTTTAATTCATGTGACTGTTTATTTTATTGTCTTTTGTGGGTTTTATTATGTTGATCAGAGACATAAATCATGTCATGGTGCACGTGAGGTTTCTGCAGCTAATTGAAAGAGAGTGTGCTGAGCAGGCCTGAGCACTGAGGGGAGGGGGTAGGAGAGAGGAGAGGAGAGAGAGGAGAGGAGAGGAGAGGAGGAGAGGAGAGGAAAGGAGAGGAGAGGAAAGTAGAAGAGAGGAGAGGAGAGGAGAGGAGAGGAGAGGAGAGGGGAGGGAGGAGAGGGGAGAGAGAGGAGAGGAGAGGAAAGAGAAGAGAGGAGAGGAGAGGAGAGAGAGGAGAGGGGAGGGGAGGAGAGGGAGGAGAGGAGAGGAGAGGAGAGGAGAGGAGAGGGGGAGTGTACATGTCCATCACAGATCAGACATGGAGGACGGAGACGTGCAGATATGTGTGTGCCACAGAGATCACAGACATGAATTTATACTCATACTGTACGTCTTCACTCAGCACGCTGACTTATCATGTCTCTCCATCTGCATGTCCCCCCCTCCTCCTCCTCCTCCTCCTCCTCCCCTCCCTCCTCCTCCTCCCCTCCCTCCTCCTCTTCTTCTCCCGCTCTCTCGTGCATCACAGGACATTTAGACTTTTGTACGACAGCGCACTTATTGCTGATTTTCTTTGTATTTATATGACACTTTTTATAGCTCTATAAAAGCCATCGGGGAGATTTATTCCTCTGTGTATGCTAAGCTGCCAGTTTAACCAGCACACCTCTGCATCACCATGCTTATGTGTGTAGTCAATGTGGGGGGGGGGGAACATATGCAAAACATCGAAAAAGTTATTAGACAACAGGCTCAGACACTTTATCAGCTCATCGTGTGACATCAGCTTCATTCCTTTGAGGCTGAAAGCTGCAGAGATGCTCGGGATGTGGGACTTCATGTGTCAAAATTCTATTTCCCTTCAAATTCAAAACAGATCGTCATAATCCAGAAGAGAAGATGTTCGACTGAGACAAAAGTGCAGCTCTGCATTGCTATCAGATTGTTGCATTAGTTGAGCATGTGCACAAAACAAACGTTCATATTTTGTCTTTTATGAGAAGATATGCATTATTATTCTAACTTTGTTTTCTAAAATTACTTAAAGTGAATTTAAACGTTTTTAAAGGGAACACAAAAGAGTCCATTCACTGCAGATTTCCCACGCTCTTGGTCTTCATCTGCACATGGCGTCGGCCCGATTGTCTCGTTATTTGAGGCTAAAATCTCCTGTGCTCAGACGTTCAGCCAGACTACAGTTAATAATTAATCCTTCAGACTTCAGAGTCCAATATGGCATTTAATGACGACGGAAACTTAGCACTAACCCTGCCATGATTTCTGGGCTTTACTGTGACCACTGGTTTTAGCTTTTACACCAAACAAACTGAAGAAAATGTTTTATGAGAAGCTCAACTTTATGATAAAAATGAACCAAAATAAAGTTAACCACCTGTGTATTGAAGAGCAGCCTGGAGAGCTGTGCATTACAGGAGCTTTAATCCCCATCATGGCCATCATCACTGTGAAGTGTTCGCTCAGCTGTTATTGTAATGTGAAGCTGAAGATCTTTAAAATGTCCCATATAGACTTTATGCAAAGACTTTATGTCTTTACGTCACCTGTTTTGTTAGGTTGGCGTCTGAGTATTTATACAGTATGTGCTGTGCATGTTTTGATAATTTATGTGAAGCTATGGGACATTTCATAACTTTGTGGAGTTTTTAACTGGTTATGAAACAGACTGAAATGAATACTGATGCTTCCACATAACCTAACCTAAAAAAAAGCAAATGAAACCACCAGTGAAAACATTTATAATTTCTATGATGTCATTTTTAATGCCTGAAAACGCTGCTGCAGGGTGTCAGACAAGATCTTTATTTACATTTCCCGTTGAAAAAATGCACCTGGTGATTTTGTTTCCCCATGAAAGAACGCAGAAAGAGGACAAAGTACCTCCTCATGTACGAGACAAAAATCAGAAAAGACGTACCACTTTGTCTCTACAGGGGGCAGCAACAACCCCACAAACCAAAATTCCTCTCAGGAGCTTTAAACCAACTTGTTCAATCTCATATATTAAAGCTTAATTTCTTCTTCTTGATGAAATATCCTCTCATTGGACATTTTGAAAAGCTTTTGAGCTGTATGTCATGTCCTCCAGAAGTGTGTAGAGTTAGCTAACCTGCCGTTAGAATTCAATCCATGATACCCTGAACGATATGAACCTTTGAAATCCAGAAGATGAGGCAGAAAGCTCCTGATGATACTCAGCACGTTGACCTTGTGCTATGAGTTGATATCCGCTAATATTACAGGGCTATAATCAAACGTACCGCCCAACATAGCTGCATGTTTGCAGGAGAAATGCACTGACTGCAGGAGTTAGAGCCATATGGAAACTATCTCATGTTTTGATCTTTAAATTAAATATGACATATACTTCGAGTCCAGGACAAATGTAGATATCAACAACAAAGATCCACACATGAATAAGAACAGAATATTACAAATATAAAAATACAACTCGAATAACGATATCCGAACTAGGAAAAGGGATGTCAGTATCAGGGCCCGACCGAGATCGGATTCTTGGGGCCGATACCGATACCAAGACTGGGGAGGGAAAAAAATCTGATACCGATATATCAGCCGATATCTTTCTCAGATCTACGTTCGAGCTTTAAAGATACATATATATATATAAAACACATTTATTATGCTTATTCATCAAATGCAGTTATCAAACACTTGTGGAAAAGATTTATAATGAAGACAAGATGGTCACTCAACTGGAAAGTAGCTGCCCATGTGCGTGCATCACTGTGGATGGGTGATTATGATTGTTGTAATCCATAAAGCGCCCTCTGCTGGTGAAAGAGAACTGCTAGTGTAATACAGTGAATTTCTAATTAAATGCTAATTGACTAGTGAATGAATCTAGTAATATTAGCGTATATCTGCGCTAAAATTAGCCGATATGGGTAGTCACTGGATATGCTAATATCGGCCGATATTATCGGCTGGACGATTAATCGGTCGGGTTCTAGTCAGTATGACATAAAGAAGCTTTATGTATAATAAAAGGTGGTTTAAAAGTTCAACAAAATAATAGTTGTTCTGGATATTTTGCAGAAAATACACAAACTTTGCAAACAGCTAGACTCTCTATTTGTTTATTTGCAGACTCATTTAAAACTCTTTTGTCCTTAATTAACCTGAAGAAGAGCACACAGCATCTAAAGAACAAGAGCCTCTTATAGATCCGTTCACTCTGTATTCAAATGATCTGTATGTTGACATGCACGGCTCACAGATCAAAGGCCTCTCCTCTGCATTAATGAGTTAAATATTACCTCTCAGAGCCAATCAGAGCGATCGAGCTGAACGTGAAGATGAGAGATCAAAGCAGCCGCCTATCGATCCCCCACCACCACCACCACCTCCTCAAACTCCACCTGCATCAGCCGGGCCGTCTGTCTGCAAAAACAGAGCATGCAGGCCTTCATTATGACAGGCTGGCTTCAGTCTGCACACTTTAACAAAGAGTCCAAATGAGAAACATGACGTAATGCAGTCGGTATGTGCGCGTGTAAAAAAGAAGCGGGCTAAAATAGTGATCGCTTTTCTTTTGCCCGGGTTATTAATGGGCAGCTCTGGCATCGCTCCTAAATGGGGATGTTGAATTTATTATTACAGGGTTGGACACTTTCCCAGGAGGGTTCATTATACACAGAAAGGAGATGCCTGTGTGTGTGTGTGTGTGTGTGTGTGTGTGTGTGTGTGTGTGTGCTCGTTTCTTATAGCTTACAAAAAAAAGGGCAGCGTAATATCTGAATAAAAAACAAATTAAAAAAGCTTAAATTTAGCTTCAAATGTGATTTCTAAACATGCAATCTTCTTCATCTTAATCCACTTAAAATAAGGTTTAATGATGAGATATTTTAGAGTTTTAAATTCAGCTCTTATTGCAATTAAGATGTAGATAAAACTCCATGTCTTATCTTCATCTCAGGGGCGATCCCCGTATGAGCTTGCATGATCAGCACACCACACACACACATCCACACTCACACACACACACACACACACACACACACACACACACACACACACACCCACACTCACACACACACCACACACACACACACACACACACTCACACACACACACACACACACACTCACACACACACACACACACACACACAGGCTGACATGGTGTACAGAAATGCTTTGCAGGGCGGTGTGAGCTGCAGAAACACTGTCCACTCTGCTTCATGCAAAGCCACATCCACCAGCAGCACCAGCAGCAGCACCTTCACGGTCACAAAGCCGCTCTCTCTCTCTCTCTCTCTCTCTCTCTCTCTCTCTCTCTCTCTCTGCAGGGATTACTCCAATAATCCGGGAGTATTTTGTTTCTTCCTCCAAAAGGTGAGAAGCGCACAAGGAAGCAGGATGTAGTGTTTGTTTCCACGCGGATTGTTTCAGGTCGGGATGAATGTGTGCTGTGAGTGTGTGTGTGTGTGTGTGTGTGTGTGTGTGTGTGTGTGTGTGTGTGTGTGTGTGTGTGTGTGTGTGTGTGTGTGTGTGTGTGTGTGTGTGTGTGTGTGTGTGTTTCGAGGTACGGCAGCCGGGCTGGGTTATGTGTCTTTATGATTTACGAGCCTGACTCCAGCAGCGGTTCAACCAGAGTTCAGAAAGCTGCATGCCTCCAGACTTATTCTCTCTCTCTCTCTCTCTCTCTCTCTCTCTCTCTCTCTCTTTCTGCTGCTTCTCTTCGTTTTTTAAAAATCTGCTGCTTAATAATTCTGCTCTGTTTAATTTCACATGAAGAGAGCATTAAATTCAATCACGGATATTCTCCGGGAAGATGTTTGCTTTGGTTTCGGTTCCGAGCTGCAGCGCACATTAGACCTGTGTGTGTGTGTGTGTGTGTGTGTGTGTGTGTGTGTGTGTGTGATGGATGACTTTCTCTCCAGATTCTGATACAACATTTCATTTCCGAGCTTGAGACAGGATTATACATTATTGAATAAAGGCTGTTATTTATTAACAGCAACGGAAACACACCCAATAAAAAAACTGTTTTATTTATATTAAATGCATTTTATTTTATGGGCTTCATTATGTTTTCATAAAAAGTATTTTCTGCATTTTTTTAAATTTATATAAAATGCGTTTTTCCTTAAATGCCTGTTTATATTCGGATGTTTCTGTGCAGGCTTACTTGAGAGCATTTTTCCTTGTTCTTGTGTTTCATTTATTCTGTTTTAAAAAAGACACAAAAACCTGATGCATAGCTCGATCTTTTGTTTTATTCAAAGAGAAAAAGGAAAGAAAATTGAGCCTTGTGGTAGGCCAGTCAGGTTTACAACCAAATCTCAGGGTCAAACAAAGAGGAAATCATTTCATTTCTGCTCACATTTTGTAAGATTATACTCAAATATTGTGTTTTTTTCCGTTTCAGAAGAGGCTTAGGGTTGTTGTGTTTCATTTATCATGATAAAGAGAAACACAAAAAGTAAGAATATATCTTGTTTTAAACAGAGAATGAGATAATGAGTCATGTGGTGTAGGCCGGTGAGGGTGTCCACTTAATTTCAGATGTAGATCAAAGGAAAATAATTCCATTTCTGCACAGATGTTGTAAGATTATTCTTAAATTTGTTGTTTTATTTCCTGTGTCCTATCAGTCCATGAGAGGCTTTTGGTTGGCTTGTGAGCTCCACAGTAAATTCTTTGTCGTTAATTAAAGGAGAAAAACTCGATCTCTGCACAATTCTTGCAGGAATTTCCTCAAATGTCTCATTTTACGGGGTTTCTTTCCACCATTTTTTTTAAATTTTGAGTCAGGAAATGTTTGTTTTTAGAGGATTTATGTAGAAGAAACTCTTAATTTCCTGTGGCCTATATGTCCACATCTTTATTTCCCGTGGCCTCTGTGTCGAGGAGAGGGCTTGCCATTCATGTCAGCAGACTATTGAGTTGATAAGATGGATCATGCAGTCTCCTCCCTGATTCTGTCTCCCGTCCTTTTTCTTCTTCTCCCTCTCAGGCCAGAAGCTCGGGGCTCTCTGGAAACCTGCCATGTGACATTTGGCTGCCGGCGCTCCGTCAGAAGGTCAAAGGGGCCGCACCACGTTTCATGGAGATGCAGAGACACTGCACTGAAAACCTGCAGCAAATTCAGCACCACGACTTCTTCAGCGAGGCGTTGGAGGATGTCGGCGGGTTGGGGTGTGATCGCCAGGCGGCTGCAGAGACGTTCGAGCGCTCGTTCACCCGGAGAGCCAAACAGCAAAAGTTCCCCATGAGCAAAAAGGTTTTCCCCTGGATGAAAGAGTCCAGACACTCAGATCAGAAACACGGCAGGAGAATCTCAGGTCTGTAACAATACGAGGCCTTTTCAATTAAAGCTGCATTAATTGAGAAAATGAGCTTATGTGTTCTCCTTTTCAGGTTCAAAAGGTCAGCGGACCATTAATCAAACACAGCCAGGCATGCAGCAGGAGGATAAACACACCTAGGCTCAGGTTTTAGACACTTTAAGGTGTCAACAAAGAGACAAACAGAACGTTTATTTGAATAAGACAAGGTTACAAAATGCTGCAACAACAATTAAAACACCAGAAATGATTTAGTCAAAATGTAGAAAAGATACTCATGTTTTTAAGAATAGAGTTTAAGTAGAATAAGCTGTGTTCTTCTGGAAGAGTTGTTTCCTCTATTTGAAACTATTCCTCCTCTAGAAGGCCTGATAATAATCTCTGTGTGTGTGTGTTTGTCTCTGTAACCGTTTCTGTGACCGTCAGGAGGAACTCAAGACATCTGGTATTAAATATAAAATCCCTGTTTGGAAAAATAACAACAACCATATGAGATACACTTCAAACTACAGGCTCCTGGACTTACATTATAATATCTTTATCCTTTCTTTAACTCCATATCTGTCAGACTTTATTGTATTTTTTATAAAACAAGAAAAACAAGAGAAAACTCTCAACAGCTACCTGATAAAAACATTTAAACTGATGTTTCTGTCGTCCTCCATTCCCTCTCTTGTCTCTGTGAGTTTAATGTATTTATGTGTTATCTACTTTTTGCTGATTCAGGTCCGGTTGGCTGACGTGTGTCACTCTCTCAGTTTGATGACAAAAAAAAAACATTAAAATGAGAGTGAGCAGGATGCACACTCACTGAAATAGGTTGTTTGCATTTTTTTAAATTTTACTTTTAACATTAAACAACATTGACAACATTAATATCTTGACAGATATTAAACATATGACATGAAAAACAAACAACAGAACAAACAAATACAAGTGTCACAGATACTTTGAGCCTATTGGTTGGTTGAAGATTCATTTTTTCTACACATAATTTGTTGTGTATGATGCTCATGTCCCTGTTTTGTTTTATATGTTAACCATTTTCCCCAGCCTTTGTCAGACTTGTCTTGCATTTTTATTTAACACCAGAAGGTTTACAAGTGGAACAGAATTTTTTTTTTTTATCTCTGGAAACTTTAAAAATAATTATATTAAACATTAATGGATTAGTTGTTTGCCAAAGCTAAACCTGACCGTCAGAGAGGAGGAACCTAACTTTAAATTATTCACATTTAAGAAGCTGAAATGTTGTCTTGTCCTAAAATTTCTCAAAGGCATTTTTTTTTATAATCAAGATCATTTTCGATTAATTTAATAGTCGAAATTAAATCGATGAATCCTTGCAGCCCTTATAATTACTGTCAGAAGAACAGAGTTTATTACTGGTGTTCGTTTGACCTCAGATTGATGATTATTTTGCTGGTTTGGTTTTTTTAGTGTGAGTGCATGCTTTGTTGATTTAATATGTATTTCAATGTGGATCACTGAAGATGACTTTGTGTCAGTAAACAGAAATAGAATCTAAAAAAGAAAATAAGCTGGTTACTGAGAATTCAATTTAAGACCTCAGTACTAAAGAGAAACTCCCCGTTTACCGCCTTGGCTGAGTCACAATAACTCATTCAAGCTTCCTGTTTCCTCATTGTTTTGTCTCCACAGACTGCACAGTCAACGAGAAGTGTCCGAGCGCGAGCCCGGCCTCCAAGAGGTCACGCACAGCGTACACGAGCGCGCAGCTGGTGGAGCTGGAGAAGGAGTTCCACTTCAGCCGCTACCTGTGCAGGCCGCGGCGCGTCGAGATGGCCAGCCTGCTCAACCTGCAGGAGAGGCAGATCAAGATCTGGTTCCAGAACCGGAGGATGAAGCAGAAGAAGGACGAGAGAGTGCAGGGCCTCAACACCACCACCACCTCCTCCTCCCCACCGTCCTCCCCCTCCGCCCCGGGCAGCCCCACTCTGTCGAGCCTGGGTTATGTCCATCTGGGCGGGGATTACCAGCCGGCCTCCCCTCCGCTCAAGTCCCAACAGCACCATCAGTCCCAGCCGGCGTACCCTGAAGAATTCTCCAAATACGCAGCTCCAGGCTTCACGCAGTTTCCCGCGCAGTACAACACGCACATTAACTCCCACACAACAGACCCAAACGTGGATGTAAGCGGGTCATATTTCACACAGAGCTGCACTCAGGACAGAATCATGCAGGCTCCAAAACTGACCCATCTGTAGCGCTCAAGATTCCTGCAAAAAAAAAAAGTACATTTAAATCACGAGCCAAGACTTCACCGACCTGCTGTGATGCATGCTTTCTTTTATTTATTTATTTGACTAATTAATCCAAGTGTTAGTCTCAAGTCATGGCTATTTATTTGTATTTATATTTATTCATCTGTGCCTCTACTTGAACGCATGGGCCTCCTCTCGTTTGCAGACACGTTAGAACACGTTTGAATGTAGCCCCTGATGTGTATTTTCAATTACAATGTGAGCTGCTGTTATTTCAGCTACATAAATAAAAACACAATTTGTTGACACCAAGACTCTCCAGAGTAAATACTCCTCAAAAAGCCAAGAAAAAAAAAACGAGCCAAAGATTTGTAAAAAACAAAGCAAAAAAAAAACGACCGAATGTCATTTCTGTGAGTGTAAAAGCTCAATTAGCAGCCAGAGCCTTTAACAGCACATTAACTCTTCCTTAATTACAGCCACCTTACGGGTGAGTGTGGACGTGATAGGTTTATGAAGATGTTGCATTATAGTGTTGGTGTCGTTAACTCTCAAGCATGAAACAAAAAAGGAGAGAGAGAGAGAGAGCGAGAGAGAGAGAGAGAGAGAGAGAGAATCTATATGGTTCTTAAATGTGTCTTTGTTCTGTTATGGGCAAAGTGGGCCACACAAGCTGTCAGTGCGTAAAGAGAGCGCATGATGGATCACTGAATCCACCGCGCTGCTTTTCACAGTGTCTGCAGGATTCAGGCTGAACAAATGTTTTTTTGCATTAGAGAAATAGGCTACACCTTTTGCCAAAACTTAAAATTCAGATCTCCGTAAAGCCAGATTAAATATTTTGACATTTACTTCTCAAAGTATTTTTTTTTCCCACACTGGAAATAAAAATAAATGAATGCAAAACTGACAAATTAAATCCGAGCTAGAAACCACTCACAGGCAACGAATCTGAAAGGGTTAATATGTAGGGCTAGATGAATACAGACTTCATTCATTTAAATTTATTTCCAAAAGATTTAGGACGATGTGGAAAATGTAAACAAAAACCGGAAGTGATGATTTAGAAAAACATGGAAACCTAATATTTAATGAATGATCGCACAAAGAAAAAATGTTGAAACTGAGAAATGTCATTGTTCCTTTAAAATTATAAGACAAATTTGAATTAAATTCCAGCAACACGATTTAAAAAAAAAGGTTGGGGCATGTAAAAAAAAAAAAAAGGATTTTAAACTCTAAAGCAACTTTAAACATCTTTAAGTTAAAGCGTGATGTTTGACCTCTTTGTTTAAATCCACATCATTACTGTGTGTTATTATTATTATGCTCGTTCAGTGATTATTTTTACATTTCGTCATTAATCTGTCATTTTCAGCTCCTCTTAACAGCACAGCCTGAAAATGTGTCCTGATGTTTGTGTTCTTATCAGATGGATGAGCTCGTCTGATTGAAGCATTTGTCATGTAAATGCGAGCCCGTTTGATGGACGAGCCCGCAGACTTGACAGAGTGCTGTAGGTCCTTTGCCATTGGCGTTTAGCGGGTCACATGGTGTGTCAGGAAGGTGATATGAGGGTGGAAGGCAGCTTTGACATACTACCTAGAAGGGTTAGGGGCAAAGGGAGCAGCGATTAATGACTGCTCGCTCTTGATCACTTTTCTGAACAAACAACAGGCCCCGGCTCCAGGATGAACTCCTACTTAGATTATCCAGTGTGCAACAGGGGAGCGAATCTCTTCAGTGCCAAGGCCGGATACCACACTTTAAACCATGGATACATGTCGTCCAACTCCTGCGCAACAAGTGAGACTTACGCACCAGACGGGCGCATAGTCGCTGCAACTTCTGCGCCACACCAGAGCCCGAGTCTCCCCCTGCACCATCAGACACACGTCAACTTGGACCTACAGTTTGCACCACAGAGTAACTCCATGTATGGCTCTCCTTTGGAGTACGGACATCACCAGTACGGCCTCGCTCCCGAGCAGGACCGCAGCTACATTCACGCTCAGGTTTCACCCCTGGGAACAAACATGGCTCCCTACACCGGGGACAGCTGCGGGCCTGGAGTCTCAACCGGGGGTCAGTACTTACATTTCGGCAGCGGGGATCAGAGGCTGCAAGAATACCCAGAGAGCGTTTACTCGAGACTTCCGGTTCATAACAAGGAGAAGGACCTGGAGCATGTGGAGGAGGCTTCGAAAACATTCGACTGGATGAAAGTGAAGAGAAATCCTCCCAAAACAGGTTTGTTCATCCTCACAGATATTTGAATTAAGAGCTGGGATTGCTGTTAAAAGAACCCATGAGGCCTCTGGGGATGATATGACACACAGTGCGTAAAAATGCAACTTACACAATGAAGCTTAAATCATTCTGGAAGAAAAAATCTATAATGACTAATGTCCTCCACATTTTTCCTATTCATTTTCACATTTTTCTTCACATGCAAACTCCATTCTTCAGCTCCATGACTCATGTTTTTTTTTTTCTCCACCATCATCCATTTCTCTCCTCAGCGGTCCTGTCGGAGTTCGGGGTTCCCGGCCAGCACAACGTGATCCGCACCAACTTCACCACCAAGCAGCTGACCGAGCTGGAGAAAGAGTTCCACTTCAACAAGTACCTGACGCGGGCGCGGAGGGTGGAGGTGGCCGCCAGTCTGGAGCTCAACGAGACGCAGGTGAAGATCTGGTTCCAGAATCGCCGCATGAAGCAGAAGAAACGCGAGAAGCTGGGCTGCGTTCTGGTCAACACACCGACACCTGTGGAGAAAGTCTCCGGGCCTGACACCTCTCCACAGGGGAAAGGGGAAAGACTGTGATCAATGAAGTGACTTTAAAAAAAAAAAAAAAAGAATAACATGACTGTGGGGCCTTCAGGGCAGGTTTTCTACTTCTTTGCCTCAGTGGCACCATTCCAGAAAGAAAAAAAACTGTGAAAAATGGACGTGCACTATAGAATACAGGGTATGTTTGTGTCTGCTAGTGTGCTTAAACTGCGTTTGTTTTACACATAAGAAGCTTGAAAAACACTTTTCTCTCGAGCATTGGTTTGTTTTGTGTTTGAGCACTGAGAACTCAGTGTGAATGTTTGCACTATTTATTTACAGGGTATTTTACAATGACTGTTCAGAGGATTTAGCTTAATAAAGAAAGTCTATCAAATAGAAGAAAAAGTGTCATAATTGATGTTTTTGTGAAGAGAAAACTGAAAAAAATGCTTTAATGTTCAATCAAACTTTTACTTTTCATATCGAGTTTGCGTCCTTCCATAAAGACATTTTCTGTTTAAAAAAAAAATGATTGTAAATAATAAATTTTTCTAAAGGATTTTGAATCGCATTACAAATTCTATTTCTGTATGTACTGGCATTAAAAAAAAAGGCCCCTTGCATAATGTGACAAGAGGAATCTTTCACAACACATGGGGTGGTTCTCACTGACCTTTTCACCTCCAAATACCTCCAGGGGCTCTAAACATGACAACAAACTCCAGGGAGCCCGGTCTCACCCTTGATTTGTTACCCAAATTCTGCCTGGATACAGCTGACACAGGTTGCACTGACGTCCACTTACTAGAGTTTAATACCAGTGATCAAACAACCACATTTTGCTTTATAAAAACAGGGAGAATAGTGGGATAAATCCACATTTCAGAGGTCACTGTGGCTTCAGTTTGAGCCAAACGTTTGCAGGACCTGACCACCTGGTTTCATGTGATGCTAAAGGGGCAGCAGTTTCAATATTTGCTCTGGGTGTTGGGTTTGTGCACACACTTTCTGCCCCAGCAGCACCGGCCTGTTGGTGCCCTTTTTTTCCCCTAAAGCTGAGGTTCACGCAGAGTTCAGGCACAAATGAATGCAGAGTCAATCTGTCAAGACACCCGGAGTGGCCTCGGAGAACTCTCGGCCTCTCATACTTTTACATTTTTGCAGGTTTTTGCTTTTAATATTTAGACTAAAGAGTTTAAAGATCATTGACGGGAAAATTGTTCTATGAAGAAAAAAGACGTTTCAAGGGAATGGAAATCTGCAATGATTTGAAATATATATGCATGAGTATGCAGTTCTCACACAACTATATTAAAAATTAATACAGCTCCACTAATAGAAGTTACAGTTGAAATAGCATACGGCCCATTACTGTAAATTGGAAAAAAAAGGCTGAGCGGGTTTGTTGTCAATGCATTTTCTTTACAACAGCAGAAGCTCTTCAGATGAGTCACAAGGCCAAGGACTGTGGAGGTGACAATAGCCACAGTGAAAAGTGACAGATTCAACAACAAAAAAAGAGAGGGGACAGTGCAGAAAACAAGTGTGGGGGGCTTCACTCCTGAGGTGTGATCCCTGCCATCTCTGTGGGTAATACCTCAGCGCTCCCAGCGGGCTCTCCATCTGGAGGTGTCAGAGTCGGTGCTGCAGCCAACACTCGGAGACAGATGTTCAGCTGGGAGGAGGAGGAGGGAGGAGGAGGATGTTTTTCACCTTCAGATCAGCCTCTTCGCCTTCTGCCGGAGAATGTAGGGCAAGGAGGAGAGGAGAGAGGAGAGAGGAGAGAGCGGTTAACGATCACTGAGGGACGAGGAGGACGATCCTACACGGTGACGAAAATAATCAAAACCTGCGCCTGGCTGCACAAACACAAACGCTCTCTGATAAACAGCAGCCATCTCTCTCTTCTCAGTTATCTAACACATCTTTAGCCCGCTCCCCCCCCCCTCCCACCCCCTGCTCTGCACTTTGTTTGAGGTCAACTCAGTGCTGTTTGTACCCCATGCTGCTCGCAGTTGTTGCAGGCTCTTTTACAAGTCTATTGCCAGGCTCACTTCCTTGGTTTTCGACCAGTTCCTCTGTCGCATGTCACTCTGCAGGGTCCCAGCGCTTCAAAGAGGGACCAGATACAGTATTCATGGGGGTAGAAGGGCGGGTAGGGGGGGGGGGGGGCGGGGTTGGGTCATCAGAGAGATACCACAGGAGTCATTTTTATTGGCAGATATCAAACACGGCTATTTAGGTTAACGCCATCTATCTGTCATGTTTGCAGTAGTTTGCTGCGATAGATGGACGCTGAATGAGCGTCTGCTGAATGATGGGAGAGAAATGTCGACCGAATCGGAGCGTTATTTACAATATTTATTATATTTTCTAAATAAAACTTAGAGACCTTCTCTGGTATAAGACAATAAAGACACAGATCCATCATCTGTCCGGGTGTTTTATTACAGTCTATCAACGTTTGTCAAGATGGAGAACGGCATTTCATGGCTGACCCGAGAAATACTGGCCGGGAAGAAATTTGACTGCAACTAGTTATATTTTTCAATATTTGTTCCCAATTAATCCCTTTTTTTTGATAGAAATTAGCAAAAATAACCCAAAGTGATGGCATCAGTTGTGTGTTTTTATAGCCGACCAATAGCTACAAAAGTATTTATTTTCAATTTAAAACAACTTCAATCAGTAAATTCTTCAATTTGTGAGTTTGTTTGACTTTTTGTTTGACTTTCGTTTGTTTGACTTTTTGTCTGAAAATGTTAAATAAAAAACTTCTGACAGGGTTGTCACTATACCAAGGTTTTAAACTTTGCTACAACTCTAATAAACATCAAACTATTCAGATATCTGTTTTGGCAATACGGCCAAAAATATAGAAGAGTTAGGCACCAAATGTCGAGTCATTTCTTGATTTTAATCATTAAAGAACACAGGAAAATTCGATTGTAGTGTTGTAGTACTCAAAATTGATCTTGGTCTTGAGACTACTTTTTAAAGGTCTCAGAATCAAAAGCATTTTTACTCAGACCAGGCAAACTCCAGATTTGAAATCAAGACCACCACTGATCGGCTTCTTTCTCATGTCATCACTGTGATTAGAAGGAAAAACTCCCCTTTCTAATAACTTCAATTCATTTGTAGTTTAGTTCGCCCCCCCTCCCTCAGACCCCACAGCCCCAACATTCCCGGTGTTTCTGTCTAAATTAGTGACACGCCCCTAAAACACAAGACGATGATTTTTCTGTGAGTCTTGGTCGTGCCTCGGTCTCGATCCCTGAAGGTCTGGTCTTGTCTCGGAGCACTCTGGTCTTCAGTATATCTTGGTCTAGACTACAACACTAGCGTATTTCACAAATAAATTGGCGATGTACTTTTGCACTTTAGACAGACGGTGTCTCCTGCTCTGTTCTCGGTCCGTCTAGAAAAGACATCAATGAAACATTCACAACTTTATGAGACGCCCAAAAACAAAGTGTACTCCAGGGATGTCAGGATTTGAGAATTTGCTGATTTTCTGAAATGTTAACAGTCTTAGTTGCTGTTTAAATTTCTGTTCACCATTTTATTATTTTAGGAGCTCAAGTAAGAAGAAAGAACCAAAGAATTAAGTCATGACAGCAAAAAACAGATTAAAAAAAAGAGATTACTGGGGCTCGCTGGTGGCACAGTGGCAGGGCGCGCGTCCCATGTGTTGAGACTCTCGTCTCGAGCGGTAGGCCCGGGTTTGCTTCCACCGTGGCCCCTTTCCGCACGTCATTCCCCACTCTCTCTCTCCCTGGTTTCCAACTCTATCCACTGTCCTCTCTCTGCATTAAAGGCACGAAAAAGCCCAAAATAAATCTTTAAAAAAATAAAAAAAGAGGTTACTTAAACACTAAAACCCAGCAGCTCTACAGCGCTGTTTAAAGTGTAAATATCAGTGGGTTAAAAGGTTAAGCATCCTCAGCTTTTTATCAAACATATCTTTGCTGGGTTATCAGAATCAGATCTGATATAGTGACACAGTTTGACCCCAAACCTGGATAACAAGGTTTAATGTTCTTATTATCACCTGCACAGATCTGCAGCAACATAAGCTCTAATGTAATCTAGCTCTGATTATTTTCAGGATCATTTGAACAGAATTTGTAATTGCGTCCTTAGCTTGATCACTTTAGGAACGCAGCTGTGGAAGGTTTAATTGTTCGTCCCTGGATTATGTGATGCGTTATAAGCCGGTGTACCTGAAGGCCACTCTAGATCTGACCCTCCAAATAAAATAAAAGATCTACAGAAAGATATGTTTGAATGAATGAAGACGAAAGTGATGGGAATAAAAACTGAAAAAGAATTCCTTAATATCAATATTTATTTGATATCCATGATTTCCTCCTTCTTGTTGTTCATAGTGGAGAATCGCTAACTGGTTATGTACGGCCTATCTTCTTCTTCTTCTTCCTTTGTTATGAGGCTCTTTTTAGCCCGGGCTCAGAGATTCTTGACAACCATCCCCCCATCCGAGTCAGGCTCGATTGGATCTGGAAGCGCCAGCCGACCTGAAGCCTCGTCCTCCTGGGCCCCCCCCCCACCACCACCACCACCCCCCCTGCGACTGCATCCTTTCCCCCTCTCCATCAGCATAGTAACTGAGAGAGACAAGTGACTTGGCCAGGGTTAACGTCTTAATACTCCCCGGGATTGCCTCCAGGATCCAAATGGCTACCTCTAATAGTTTTCCTCCTCCGTGTGGCTGTCAGGCTGCCACGACTATATGCCGTAAGAAAAACAAGAGCAGCTGAGAGGCGGCGTAACGAAGCAGCACCATGAAATAATGAGGGGTGGTGAGGAAGAAGAGAGAAGCAATGAGACGGGTTTTTGAATCCAGATTTGAGCTTTTTTTGGGGGAAAAAGACGCTCGTTGATGTGATGCTACTTTGCACGTCGAAATTAAAGCGGCCTCTTTTCTTAAAGCCAAGGAGGAGAGTGTGTGAGTGGGGGGGGGGGGGGGTACCAGAACTCAATCAGTGTCACGTCACATGGTTCAAAGCGGCCAATTCGATGCTGCCAGGAGGTTGAGAAATGCAAGGTGACAGTTCATTTTACCAGTGACAGTGTGTCGGTCTCGCTTGCTGCTTTCCCCAGTCAATTCCCAGCGAGCAGTGAAGGTTGAGCGTTGCTGGAGACAGACAGCAGCAGCTACCCCCCCCCCCCCCTCCTCCTCCTTCTCTTCCCTCACCACCACTCTCTCATCGACCCCACTCTGCTTTGTATTCCAATTAACTGGACAGAGGGAGAGGCGGTGGTGTGCAGGATCACAAGCACAGGCAGACACATTCTTCTGGCGTCCTTCCAGTCTCTCCATCGATAGCGCTGCTCTTCCTCTTCTTCCACCCTCTCTCTCTCTCTCTCTCTCTCTGCTCCTTCCCTTTTTCCTCTTCTCTCCTTTGGGCCAGTTGTTCCAGGGGGGTAATTCATAGATTCTTTCTTTAACAACCGCCTCTGGGGACAATGTCTCGGTAATGAAAAATAGCTCCCGCTCACGCATTCATACATCACATGTAATAGAGGTGTGTAATCGCTCAAGTCGAGTCGACGCACGGCGAGCTGTAACTGCCACCCTTAACAGACACCTCAAATAATGCTGAATTAATATTTTGAAACGGCTCATATATCCTAACATAATACAATTTGAATGATTTTATATTCAATGCTTTCATGGCTAACATTGATTCAAGTACAAGCTTCCCCCGGAGTCAGTCAATACGTGCGCTGACTGAGGGTTGTAGATTTAGCGCAACACATTTGCTCCTCAGTCTTTTGTGTCCTCAATCTATCATCACTTTTTACCCCCCCCCCAAACACACACACACACACACACACACACACACACACACACACACACACACACACACACACACACACACACACTGACGTATGTTTGAGCAATGGGTGGGTTGGGAATACAATGATTCTGAGGAAATCCGAAAAGTAAACTACCTCTTTTTATCTCCTCGAGGACAACACAAACATTTACAACGGGCCTCTTAAGAATCAAGCCACACACACACTTCTTTTAAAAAAAGAAAATCAAGGGTTTGAATATAGTGACATGTTGAATTAAAGGGGCCAGATCTGAGCTCCAACTTGAGATGCTTGCCTTTGAAAAGTGACACCTATTCATAAAGAGTGATTAATGATGAGATTTGGGGAACAGCTGAAATAAAATGTAACTTTAAGCTTCTTTTTTTTCCGCATGATGTTTAAAGCAGATTTTTCATTTGAAGTAAAAAAAAAAGAAAGAAAACATGCCCTCCAACTACAGCACTTCCTTTCCTTAAATAAAGATAAAGAGCCTGAAAGACAGGCATGGGTGCTTTGCTGTTTGCCCATCTCAGTTTCTGCCTATCTTGAGAATGCAGTGTGGTGTGCGTGTGTGTTTGCAGGACAGGATACACACACTCAAACACACACCCTTCATGCCCTGAGGATCCTCCTGACTCTCTCTCTGTCTCTCTCTCTCGGCTCTATCAGATCAGAGAGACCCGCTGTCCCTCCCCACACCGCAATGCAAATGAAAAGGAATGCGCTGATAAAAGGCCAGATCCTAAAGATGAGAGGGCAGAAGGAGGACAGAGGCAGCGAATGCTTAAGGGGGGGGGGGGAGCCTCTTGGGGAGATGAGAGGTGGCAGAGGAGTCAGTGTTGGTAGTAGTGGGAGATCATAGCCTTGCTCCCCCTCAGCGGCGTTTGATACAGGGCTTTTGTCGCTCTTTCAGCGGTGCATTGTTGGGTGGTGTAATCCCCGTCGGATTACAAAGGGCTTCCCTTTTCATATGGGACTGACCCAGCAGGCAGGTGGCTGGGGCTCTGTGGAGCTGTCAGGGGGAGGGAACCTCTTTTCCAGGGGAGGGGACCCCAGTTCCTCTTACCTTCACAGGGGCTTTTTGCTGGGAGGCCAGTCAGGCGCAGGTCAACGTGGGGACACTTCTGACATGGGATTCAACTCGCCCTGACCCCTCGGCATCCTGTAGAGAAGACATGAAATACGGAAAATTACTGAATAATATTTAAATGATCCGTGCTGAACATAAAAATGCTGCCAATAATGCTCCTGAATTGTATTTAAAAATATAAATTACAATATTGTGTAGATCTATCTTAAGGTATTGCTAAATTTGGGATTTTTGCAGCACCCAGAAATCATCAGAAATGTCTTATTTTAGAAATCAGAAGAATGCAAAACAAATTTAAAATGTGTTTATGCAAATTGTCTTTTAGTGTATAACATCTGAAATACAATTAAAAATGTTGCATAACATCAATTTCTCTTAAAATATTTTGCATTTAATCTTTATTCAGCTAATAAGAATCAGAGTGAATAATACAAATTAAATGTTGTGTATCTGTGTGATGCTGCCCAGGATGTGCAATTATTATCTTACACTCTTCTTAAATACACTTTTATATATTTTAAAAGTAAGACAAATACAACATCAACCCAACATAGCCTTAATTGATATCCGGTGAATACAGTCGATGAGAGCAGAGTCTGATTGAGCTTTGGTTTCTTGATGGCTTTCCGTGTAGTGTTTCAGTAATACAGGATCAATAAGGTGACAGTCAGGCCCAGCACTATTTCTATTACTACTAAAACCAATATCTACTCTACAGCAGTGTATATAAAAGCACTGTGTAGGTCATCCTATTGCTGTTACCTCTTAACTGGTAATACAAAACCATTCATCCATGCCCTGTCACATTTAGTAGTGAGGGACACAGTTAGTAAGGCTGCATTCAAGTGTTGTAAGGAATTATCTAACTAGTATTAAAATGTGACTCAAAGACCAATTAAAACTGTGATTTCAGAAACATCTAAAAGTCTGAATTATCTCTAATGACCAATGGTAATGACTAATTGTTACATAAAGCATATTCATACCACTGAACATCCTGGTCTACATTATCGTTTTCAGCAAAACATCACTCGAGTGAACGACTTGACTCGTTAATGAAGGCAGCATATGCACAAGAAGTCAAAAACATTTTTTTATTCAAATTAAAAAAAATAAAATGAATTCCTAGCTTTCTTATTAAAGTTTTTTTTTTAATTCGTTGTTGTAAAACATAATAACAAAATATTTTAAATAAAATCTCTACCGTCGTCGTAAAGCATCGACTCATTAGTATAACATTTCGGATTTCCAATTTTACAACCTGTCTATCCAAAGGGCAGATGTGAGTACATGAACGCAGCATTCGCCCAACGGCCAACGGAAAAATGCAGTTGGGTTAAATTAAAGAAAGAAAGAAAAAAACAATTTAAAAACGAATGTTTAACTTTGTATTTTAACGTTAATGGGAATGTCTCTAAACTTACTCATAAATGTTGAAGAGGATCGCCGGCTGCTTAGTTACAGACAGGTAACGCTAAACAAGGTTTGTAAAGTACGTCGATAAAGACTCGACGTTAAACAGCTTATTTAGCTAATTTACGTAAAGGGGCAGCTAGCTAATAGTACATTCTCTAAATGTTAACGCAATGTAAATGTTAAACCGTGAACGTTTCACTTTTTGTTGCGTGAGTTCAACAGGTTGGCAGGTGAGTACAGAGAAGCTTACAGGAAACGTAAAAAACGCGTACATTTATTACTTCCGGTGTGCACATTTCGAAGGGTAGCACTTTTCGCTAGAACACCTGGCTAACGTTCATCTAGCTGGTTAACGAAAGCGGCTGTGTAGATAGTAGCCTCCTTCACAGTACGTGGCTTCCTATTAAATGGACGATTAAGATCTGACGTACAAGGTTGGTAATAACAGTACAAATAAGCAAAACATGTAAGAATAATCCACATAATTTTAATGTAAACATAAACTCTAGTTATGATAGTTTGTAGGTTTTGGGTAATGATTTTATTTGAACATTTTTCAGGACTTTTTGTAGAATTGAAGGACTGAACATTTGGGCCTGTGTGGGAAATTATACAAATGTAATACAGTAACTTATTCAAATCAACTAAAGGTTTTGTTATTTGTTTCTACATTAAACTGGGGCACAGGTACTTAATAAACCAGCCTGTATAGTTGGAGTCTTTTTTTCTCTAATTCTTAAGATTAAATCAGCACAGGCCAAATAAAACAGGCCACCAGCTATAACCTAAAAATAAATAAATACATTTGTGTAATAGGGCATTTTGCATGGCATCTTAAGACAGAAAGGCCAGTTGACTCCTGGGCTGAATGTCAAGTAAAGCAGAGTAATTTCTCAAATGCACTGGCCTTCAGTTGTTTCTGTTCTGCTGGGTGCAGTGTTTGTTTTCAGTTTGCTGTTTAGATATTATTTTAACCCAACTTGGCTCCATTCCACTTCAAAATCCCTCTCACAAAGCCCTGACATTAAGGTCAGGATGAAACTCCTAAGGGGAAATCTTATTTTGCTGAATTTTCCATCTAATAATGCAGTACTGTTATTGATTCCTTCTGTGAAATGTACTTTTTCCTTCCTCTTTTGCAGGTAGCGTTTCCTGTAAAAGCTCAGCATCTGAGCAGAGTTGGCAGGGATTCGCATTGGACTCCTCAACAGTCTGTATTCTTGCCAAGTTGGACATTTGAGCCCAGATTATTTGGCAGAAGGTTTAAAGGTGTGAGTAAAAAGATTGAATCGGTGTTTACAGAGTTTCTAAACTGTTACTGGTCATGGAAATTGTTTTAAAAGGTACAAAAATGATTGACAGTTGGTTATTCAAGCTTAAACGATATGCTTTACTATTCTGTTTTCACCACAAACCCCTGCAGCTTCATAAGAGTATTTACCTTTGTTTACATCTTTATAAGTAGCTATGCTGGGCTCAGATGCTGCTTAAGGTGGCCAATGTACGGAATCATTGTCCGCCTTTCAGGCTCGTGTTAGTGCCATTCTCAATACTACAGGGCTCTCTGAAAGAGTCAGTTAAACTATGTCACAGAAAACCAAAGGAAGTTGTCATATGTGCACCAGCTCCACCCCGTTTTGTGCAAATCTCGATGCATGCAAGGAAGTCGGGTTTCAGAGCATGAGGACACAGGTGGTTAGATCCTGCACCGGTTAGTCTGTGAGTGTGTGAACTGTGTGCCAGGCTCTTGTTCCTGTCATGGAGCTGTAACAATATGACAGTTGCTGTGCACTCATAGGATACTTTGTGGACTACAAACCTCTGTGTGAAGGTTCAGAAAAAGTCTAAAAAGTCAAAAGTGGGTTCGTGTTGGACAGGTAACCAGGGATGGGGACGATTCCGCACGACATTAAGAGGCTTTTGGACGGTAATACCTTTATGTCTTTACTGTTGATAATGCTTATTCAAACTGTGCAGCTTTATTTTAAAATCCTGGTATTAAATATATATATATGTATATAATAAATATATACTTAACTTTATACTTTATCTCAACAATAGGTCTAAATAATCATAAAAAAGCTTTAGAAATCTAAATTCAGGACACCAACAAAGGGATACAAATCCCGACAGTTGACAAGTTCTCACTAATTAAAACACAAAGAGACATTTGCGCCAATGTTTCAAGACACGTTGAATACCTTGTGTCACTTAGTGTGGGCTAAATAAGAAACATGATGATTACGTTTTCCTAATCGATGAATCAACACATACATTCATACATAACATTTCTCAGTACAGCATGAAATGTGGAGACGATTAGTAACAAACGACTTGCACTCGTCCAATTTGTTAAATTGAGAAATATTCTGAATGCATCATTTTACACCATCTGTATATTTTTTTTGTTTTAGCTTTGCTGTAATTGCACCAAAAGTGAGCAGTAAACAGCGGAGTACAGTAAGCTCTAAAAAGCTCTTTTTTAATGATGCTCCTGCAAAATAAGAAATTTGAGTACCAGTACATTAGTTTGAGCACTGACGCTGCACATCATCATCATCATCACTCAAGTAATTCCTGACAGTATGTCCCTGATATTTGACTTCGTCCTGCACACTAATGACTTGATCAGCGATAAAGAAAGAGGCTTGTCCCTACAGAGTAAAGGGTCAGGATTATAGAAAGCACATTAGTATCAAACGTAAAAAAAAACATTATCTTTCTTTTGCCCTTTTCATGTAGAGTAACACGAACAGTATTTTATTACATTTGCATGTTCTGCCGATCCAGCAGACAGTTCTTTTGTAACAACATTTGCATGTTTGTGTCCTGTGGAGGGTTTAAAGAAATAAGGCTCACACATCTGATAAGTGATGTGGACATACCTGTTTTTTTCTTTGTACTGTAATATAATTATGACATCGCTTCCAATCACTTACTCGTATGATATCATTTTCCTGTTTTCAGGCCGCATAAGAAAGCACTTTATTTGGTAAATACCTGAGAATATTTTCACTTAAGAAGCTGGAATCAGAGTTATATATTATTCTTCGAGCATATTTGTGGATTATCAAAACAGATTGTGATTAATTTAAAAGTGGGGCGTGATCTGGTGCTAGAGCCAACAACAACAAAGCAGCCTGAGGATCTGACATTAGTTTAGTGTTGGTTAGCAAACTGTCCATAATGTTGTTACAGAGAAGGGAAAATACAGAGAGGTCGAGGTTGCTTCTCAGAGCACAGCTCCTGAAAGCGAAACACCTCCTGCTACTACAGCTAACGTCAGCAGCAACAGCGACAACACATCTTAGCAAACTAGAAACAAGAGGTGTGGGCGGCTACTGTGCCTCGCTCAAAAAAAACTGTTTGTTTCCAACTTAACGAGGGCTTTGTGAAAATGTGTATACTGGATTATTTGTCATGTACAAAATCAGGAGACTTGTGAACTAAAAAAAAAATTCTGAATTGAATTGGACACTGATGGATAAACAATTACCTAATCAGGTGCAGGTCTAACTGGCAGGTAACATCAAATCATAAAGCTTTAGCCTTTTGTCGAGGAAAAGGAAATTCTGTGAATACAAAAAATCCAAAGAAGTGAATTAAAGATATAAGAAAGTAGAGATGAAAACTGCCAGATTGTAGGATTACAATATTTGACATTTTTACATTGTTTTGTATGTGTTCATATTGTTGTTTCCATCTGCTGTAAGCTGGCAACTTGATTCAGAGATGAAACAGCACAAAGAATTATACACTTTATTGATATTTTAGAGACACACAGACTTGGCATCTCATGGTTATGGAATATGTTAGAAAGAAGTGAGGAACAGTATTTTTTGCCAAATCGTTCAGAGTCGTGTCCTTAAACTCTCCATGAACGTTCTCTGCTCCCTTCAGACTGTGAGCTGTTCATATTCGAGATCTTGCAAGATGAAGACCTGAGTGAAAACGCCCGAGAGACACGACAGGTCTTACTGAATAACTTCCGGGTCGTCCATGTAAGGTAGGAGTCACCTTTAGGAGCAGCTTTCAATCGGGGCGCTGGTGGTCTAGTGGTTAGTTAGTGCACCTCCTGTACAAAGGCTGTAGTTCTCGACTCAGCCGGCCTGGCTTCAATCTGACATGTGGCTCCTTTCTGCATGTCGTTCCACACTCTCTCTCTGTCTCTCTCTCTCTCTCTCTCTCTCTCTCTCTCTCTCTCTCTCTCTCTCTCTCTCTCCCTGATTCCTGACTTCATCCCATTTTCCTGTCACTCTAAAGCCCTGAAATAAATCTTTTAAAAAGTGAAAGAAGCAGCATTAAATATGCACAGAAAGATGCTTTTCTCGCCAAGTGTTGCATAATACTTTCATGAAACCATTATCTTACTTTTGACTACACAAGAGCTTTAATTGTTGCTCTAATTGCAGTATGCTAAATAGCATTTTAGCGAACCGTTTGGTGTAATGGTGTCACCTTCAGGACTTCCTGCTCCTGATTATTAAAAGGTTTTTTCTTATAGTTGTCTGTTTTGATCAGAACACCTTAACGGGGCAGCAGTAGCTCAGTCTGTAGGGTCTTGGGTTGGGAACCAGAGTCCCGCACGGGCCAAAGTGTAGACCATAGAGAAAAGGGTGATCGAGCTTTTTCTGTGATGGCACCTCAACTCTGGAACAGACTCTTCTTTTTAAAGATTTATTTTTGGGCTTTTTTGCCTTTAATGGGAGACAGGACAGTGGATAGAGTTGGAGATCAGGGAGAGAGAAAGAGGGGAATGACTTGCGGAAAAGGAAGCAAAGGTGGGATTTGAACCTGGGCCGCCCGCTTTGAAGACTATAGTTTCCATACATCGGGCACGCGCACTAACCACTGCACCACTGCACCACTACACCACTACACCACCAGCGCCCCAGACTTCCCCGTCTTTCAATCCGTTCACCAGACTCTGTTTCTGCTTTTAAAGACTCATTTTCACAAACTTGACTTTTTCACTGACAGATAATTTGATCAGATCTCCAGTTTGCATATTTGACCTCTTCTGTTTTATTGTTTTTACCTTCATTTGTCTTCATCACATAAAGTTAACATGCTTCTGTTTGAACTGTATGTCTGAATTCTGCTGTTTTTTCTGTGTGTGCATCTTTGATTGTCTCCTTTAAATTGCTTCTGTAAAGAACTTCATGCTCACGCTAAAGTATTATTATTACAGTATGGAAATAGCTGAGAAGTGTCACTTCACTCTGACATTTCTCCATCAACACA